AATATATGCATTCTATTTGTTAAAAAGACGTTGTATTTCTTTGAGCATCTTGTTTAATTGCTCTTTTTGCTCTGATGCATTATTGGGTCTATAAATTGTAGAAGTTTTTCAAAAACTTCAAGTCTAAAACAATCCATAACAAATTTTGGTTAGGATGGTCTACTTCTTGAGAAAGCCATTCCCTTTTCAACTTTAGCTCTCGTGTTCTTTTCCCTCCAGTTTTCATCTTTCTTTTCTCCCATTTTCTATCCAATAAATCATCCCCATGTCAGTGGCTGCAACAGAAATCTTAAGTTTGACAGCTCTGTTCCCGCGCATCACACTCACCTAGGTGCTCTTCTCCCTAAAATCCCCATCCTCTAAATCTCCAGACATACTTCAGCTCACTGCAAAAAGAAAAGGTAAAAAGATCTCTTGTAGCATGGGTCCAGTTGAGATGTATTGTGTTTTAGTGCAGAAGCTTTTAATTGTGAGGGTAGAACAGAAATCAGTGACGCAAAGTGGATTCTTTTTAAATGATATAGCAACACACCACATGTAGAAATCACACCTGCATGGAGTATACAGTACGGTATGATTGAAGGTGTTGCTGTGAATTGCAGCAATAAACCACCAGAGTCCGCTAAAACTTCCTGAAAAAGTTCTGCATTTAAAAAAAATCCAGAAATCAGTTCCACCTCCATAATCCTTGCTCTTATTTCCTAATTAGTCTAAACTTAGGAGACACGTTTCTCCTGCATTGTGATGCACTTTTGAAGCTATAAGTTCAGCACACACCTCTAAACTCTCACCAGGAACATGTGCAGTACAGTTGGAAATGTTGAGTTTTAAACACACATGACCCAGAACAGAACAGATATTGCATTTCTGAAACCTTTTCCTTCCTACCTGATCCATCCGCTCAGGTAAAAGCTCTGCGATTGTTTTCAGCTGTTGGGGTGCTCTTAGGCTCAGGGACTGTTTCTGAGGTTGGCTGTCAGACGTGGCTGCGCAGTGGCACAGTGGTTAGTGCTGTTGCCTTGTAGCAAGAAGGTCCTGGGTTCGCTTCCCAGCCTGGAATATTTCAGCATGGAGTTTGCATGTTCTCCCTGTGCAGCCGGGTACTCCGGCTTCCTCCCACAGTCCAAAAACATGACTGTTAGGTTAATTGGTCAGTCTAAATTGTCCTTAGGTCAAAGTCAGTTTAATTGTCACTTCTGCCAGATGTATAGGACATACAGAGAAGTGAAATTATGTTACTCTCAAACTCTCGCTAGATAGAAAATAAAAATTTAGTATAAAAACAGTAACCAAGTTCAGAGAGACTGTGGGGGAAAAGAGAGGAGAGGTGGGAGAGCCGGGAGGGAGTTTAGCTTCCTATCTGCCTGATGGATAAAGCCATCCTTCAGTCTGTTGGTCCTGGCCTTGAGACTCCGCAGTCTCCTCCCTGACGGCAGCAGCTCGAAGAGGCTTTGCATTGGGTGAGTGGGATCAGCCGCAATGCGAAGCGCCTTTTTTGTGAGGCAGGTGTTGTAAATGTCTGGTAGGGAGGGGCGAGAGACCCCAATGACCTTCTCTGTGGCTCTCACTATATGTTGGAGGGTTTTAATGCAGGAAATGTTGCAGGCTCCGAACCACACAGTGATGCCGCACGACAGGATGCTCTTGATGGTGCCTCTGTAGAAAGTGTTGAAAGCCAAATGGGGGCTGGTGCTCTTGCTCTTCTTAGTTTGCGGAGGAAGAAGAGACGCTGCTGTGATTTCCTCGCCAATACTATGGTGTTGTTCGTCCAGGAGAGATCCTCTGTAATGTGCACACCCAGGAACTTGGTCCTGCTCACTCTCTCCACAGACACACCGTTGATGGTCAGAGGAGCATGCTGAGGTGTGAGTGTGTGTGTGATTGTTTGTCCTGTGTGTCTCTGTGTTGCCCTGCGATGGACTGGCACTCTGTCCAGGATGTACCCCGCCTGATTGCCCGTTGACTGCTGGAGATAGGCACCAGCGCCCCCCACCCCGCAACCCTGCGTGGACTAAGCAGGTTCAGAAAATGGATGGATGGATGGATGGGCTCTCCGATATGTGTTTCTTAAGACGTTGTCAGGACTCACCAAGACCTAACATCTCCAGAAGCCACTAGTGTGTGTTTACAACCTGACAATCAATTTATCCAGCAGGACGAAGGCCGGGCAGCATTTCTGTGTTCTTTAAAATGACTCCTTCTCACTTTCCTGTGACTCTCTCATCTTTGTGGGTTTTTATATAAACCTGTCACTCATATCCTCCCAGTTGGTAATTAAAGTCTCCCAGTTACTCTTTGCTTTGACTGGTTCCATGAATGAATCACCCAGAAACTATTCTTAGATCTAGTAAGCCACCTGTTGCTATTGGATACGCATTGTTATACAAGAATCTTTATTTTCCTTTTTTTTTTCTCTACAAGTTGGCAAATCCAAAGAAAGGGGGATTTGCAGATCTGGATTTACACCAGTAAACTGGTGCTCAGCTGCACTAAGAGCTATTGTCTGGTTGTTTTTTTTTATTGAAAAAATAAAAATAAAAAAATAGTCGAGGGAAGTCCATCTTGTGTGACAAACTGGTCTGTCCGGGGATGAAATTCACTTTGAATGGACTGATGAGGATGAGGCCTTTTCTTTACGACATCATTTAGATGACCTTAAAATGCTTCTGTGATCAAATGACTGTTCAAAATGAAGAGATCCAATTTTGACTGGAGCAGTATTTTATTATTCTTGAAACCAAAAACTCTAACAATGGAAAAATAAAATAAATCCACTGTGTGTCTTACAACAGTTGTCCAGAAATCACTTATGTTCTAATAAAATGGATTTTAAGAGACTACAAAGATAGTAACTTTTTTAAAGCAGGTAAAATAGGTTGAGCACGTGTAGTAAGTAAGCAGTAAGTAAAATTTATTTACATAGCACTTATCACATAGAATCACAGTGCTTCACATAGATCAAAACAAAATGAAACAAAGCATAAAATCATAATGATCTCAAAACAATTAACATCAGAAAAAATAAAGTCATACAATTATAAAATTTCATAAACAGTTGATGAGGATCGGGATGGTAATTAGACAAGCAGGAGATGACTGAGGTCCACAAATCAATACCGAGATGACGACAGTCACCACAGAAGGGATCTAGCCTTGCCGGTCAGCTTATATAACTGAGCTAAATTTAGCCCAACTTCTATGATACGTCAGCACAGGAGGAGAAAACACACAACTTATGACTTCTTCTATTGATTACCCGATGCAGCAGAGTCTGTTGAGACGTGGGCGAGTGTACCGCCAGGTTCCTCAACAATGATTATGTGGGAGTGGAGCAGAGTCTAATTAGTAAGCATGAAAAGTTCTCTTTCTGCTACGCTGACATAAAAAATGGACCGACAAAGACAGGACAGGGTTTTACACTCAGGGGCTGGGTGATTAGGAGGATTGGGCACAGGTGATATTAATAAACAAGAGGAGGAGCAGGACAGGGCAGGTGAGGAAAGCCCCAACTAAGGCCTGTTAAACAAAGCTACTGGACTAAATAACTTAACACTGTAGAAATAAGACACTGGAGAACTAAAGATAATAAATGACCTATAGGAGTAATAGAACCAAAAACACTGGAAGACAGGGGAGGATGATACCCAAGGGAGAAACGAACTAGACAATCTACAATAACAGAAAACTAATGATCAGAAAAGTGACTAAGGGAAACATAAGAGAAACCTGGAGAGAACCTGGAGGGGGCTGGGGACCACAGGGAGGCACCTGAGGGGGGATGCAGACAAGGAGACGCATGAGGAACACAAGGAGACTCGAGGGAGACGCAGACCATGACAGTTTCAGAATTAAATGTTCTTTAGAAGTTTATTTTAGATACCAAGTTCTGCCTGTGCTTGTTGAAAAAGAAACCCATTTTTAATAACATTCAATAATTTACAAATCTCAGGTTTCATTATTGTTATTTTCTGACCAGAAGACAGTTTGTTTTCAGCTGAGGAGAAGATTAAATATCTGTTGTCATGATTTGTTGCAGTAAAAGAAAATGTTCCTTCTGTTTGGTATCAGCACATAAATCATGATTCTGTTGCAGTCTGGATCATTTTTGGTTTCCCTTCTCATCAGGATTTGCACACATTTTATTTGAAACTTCCTTTGGATCAAACACCAATTGAGAAATTACTCTTAATTACCAGAGTATTTAATTTGGTCAGTAAATCATGAGATTTTCATGTTAAAAATAATTTTAGAAGCTAAATGTGGTTTGTGACAATCAAGATAAACCAAATCCATAAAGCTTTTATTTTGAAATATTAACGATAATCATCCAGAGTGAGTGCTTGTGTCCACTCAGATCTATAAGCAGCTCACAGACGCAATTAGGCTCATCTCATTTTTCCGCCTCCATTCTCCTGCTTGGAAGTTGATCTCAGCAGGAAATTTGAAAGGGTCTCTCGGTTTCTAAAATGCCCTTGAAAGAAGAAGGTTAGAGAATTAGTGGATGATCTCAAAAAGAGGGGAAAAAACTGTTTGTTTTGTAGAAATCTTCTTAACATAGGGCATTTCTAAATATATTGTATTAAATAAAACCTTCTAAAGCTCATCTGCCATAAGGACCGGATAAGCTTTGAGCTTTGCTGCAACAATTGTTTAATGAAGCCGATTTACCTGCACCTTTTCAATTGACTCTGGTGTAAAATGACACCTAAAACTATGATGTGGCGGTGTGATTAGCACCTTTGGGATTTTTTTTCTCTGTGTGTGGAAGTAAAATACCTGCTGCAAAAGTCATGTGAGGAGAAGGTGATCCAAATTTGGAAAATAAGTCAGAGCGTGCATTTGCCTGTTTTATAACCACCACTGGATGGCACTAAAGATAAAAGTGGACAAATACGCATGAATGGATCAGAGGACAAGAGGAACAAATAAACCACTGAGATGCTTCTAGAAGTGCACCAACAGCATTCTGATTCATTTCCCTGTTTTCATCCTGTCACCAGGTGGGTAAAGTCAACCTGCTGGCAGCTCAGCGCAGAGAGCAGCATATTCTGCTGATGGTGGTGTCCATGGTGTCCTGCTACATGCTGTGCTGGATGCCCTATGGCGTCATGGCCCTGATGGCCACCTTTGGGAGGGCGGGGCTGGTCTCTCCCACGGCCAGCGTGGTGCCGTCCATCCTGGCCAAGTTCAGCACAGTCATTAATCCCATTATCTACGTGTTCTTCAACAACCAGGTGACAACCAGGCTCTAGTTATACCTTCGCTGACACAAGAAATGAATCAAGTTCTGTTCTTTTAAAACTCCTGCTGACGGGAGCTGATCACGACTCACTCTGTTTTATGGCAGTTTTATCGATGCTTTGTGGCCTTCATAAAGTGCAGCGATGAGCCACCATTTGGCCAAGGAGAAGGACTTCCAGCTCTGAAAACTCAGCAGTCAGAGGCCCTCCACATTCGGAGACAAGCCTCCTCCAGCTCCTCGCAGCCTCAGCCCCCCAGCTGCAGCAGAAGCACCATCGCCTGTAGCCACCACCACCACCACGACAGCAGGAACATCCTGTGTGTCCACTACACACCTTAGAAAACACACCTAAGTCTCTTCTGTTGTTCATACCCTGAAAGTGCAACTAAAACACATTTGTTATTTATGGACCATCCCTGAAAAGGAGATGCTACATCTCAAGGGGCCCTCCAGTAACAAATAAATAAATAAATAAACACGACTGTTGATACCCGACAGGTTGTTGTCACCTTTTAAATGTTTTGAATGTAAAACTGCAGCAGTGCCTGACAGTTTATGATTCCCTACTTTATTTCTACAGAGGCAGACTCTGACCTGCATAGCTGATCCGTGACCTTTTAGTGTGTTTATTCTAATTCTTCTAGCATCAGGTGTGCCAATTTAAACACATAAATGCATCTGAACACTCTGAGAGTACTGAATGTATTTGCTGCACTCATCAGGAAGTAGGAAGAAAACGAAAAGGTTTCTGGGCCATGTTCATCCAAACGTGCTGATAAATAATGAATACAGTGGTGTGAAAAACTATTTGCCCCCTTCCTGATTTCTTATTCTTTTGCATGTTTGTCACACAAAATGTTTCTGATCATCAAACACATTTAACCATTAGTCAGAGATAACACAAGAAAACACAAAATGCAGTTTTGAAATGATGGTTTTTATTATTTAGGGAGAGAACTAAATCCAAACCTACATTGCCCTTTGCTTTGCAAAGTTTGCATAAAATAAAATCATGTCTCACTATTCCCGTTTAGTTTTCTTTTTTACTTTACTGTAGTTTCAGGAAATATTAGGTTTAAACTTAGCAACGAGTGAGATCTTGGTTCACAAACAACTTTTCAGATCTAAAACAAAAGAGACATAAAACCTCTGCATAAATCAGCGTATACAGCTGTGGGACCACAAAGGGAAGCTCTCATACAAGCATCTTTTGCCTTCCTGAGGTGGCTGCATCGCTAAGCACGCTTTCTTCAAATGTTCACATAACCCAGAGCTTTGATGGGTTGCAGGTTTTTTTCTGCAGCTGCGCTTTTTAGATTTTTTGGAGGAAATATTCTAAGAATTCAGAGACATAACTTTACCCTGTAACTCTGCTTGTCTCTGTGTCTTTAAAACGCAGCACAGGGCACAAACATCATAAAACAAATCACAAAACTAAGCCATGAATCTTTTTTTCAAATAAGTGAAAGCACTAGCGTTTAAGATTTCCATGGTACCACAGGCATATCACTTTTTGATTACATCTACATCTGGTCAGAAACCTCCAACCTCACACACCAACTCAGGCTCCTTCCCCACCAGAGAGGTGACATTCCGCTAGCTTTTGTAGCCGAGGATCAGACCGCCAAGGTCCCTGCCCTTGGCTACCACCCGACACACAATGCACCCGACCCCTTTGGCCCCTTCCACAAGTGGTGAGCTCAATGGAAGGGGGACCCACGTCTCCTCTTTGGGCTGTGCCTGGCCGGGCTCCATGGGTGAAAGCCCGGCCACCAGGTGCTCACTAACGTGTCCCAACTCCAGGCCTGGCTCCAGAGGGGGGGCTAATAGTGATTAAAGTATTAAATGATATCTGTATTAATACAGATTCAGGCAAAACATCTGTTTTAGTGATGCTCAAGCTCAATGCAGCGTCTGATGCTGTGGACCACAACATCCTTTTTGACTATTAAACTGGGTGGGACTATCAACTACAGTCCATAGTTGGTTCCAATCATACCTCACAGACAGGAATTATGTTGTTGCTATTGGTGATCATCAATCTAAGCAGATCACCCTGACATGCAGGGTCCCCCAAGGCTTGAGTCGGTCGGTAACAAGATGGCGCCTGTGCTTGGCTTAGCCGCAGTCACCGGTCACTTTTTCAAACTTTTCTCCACTAACCTCCTATTTTCCACCTTGCTCCTGTCTGCGATCCTCTTCAGTAGTGTCCCTGCTACCATCTCCTATGATCGCCAGACTCTTTTGTCCTTCTGTTCGTTCACGATCGCCCAAGATGCACCGAGGACGTAACATCCTGTTTGTTTACCTGAGTGGGGCACCGGCCCGGAGCCAAACGACGATCCAGAGCTGCGCACCTCTAGCGATGTTTGTCCGGTCCCGGGAAAACGTCGGAGGAAAAGAGGTAAACGAGCAGGAATCCAGGTGAGAATAAGACTTCTCTTAAAGCGTGGTTTATCTGGTAAACATTGGCGTGATCTTCTAGCTTCTTGTCCTTTGTTTGGTGACCTGAGCGCCACTTCCGCATTTCCGCCAGGCAGCGTTGCGACGCGTTTCATCCGTCCAAGTTTTTTAAGGTCGGTTTATCCTCATTCCTCAGTGGTTTCTCCTCCTGTTCCCTCCATAAGCGGTTTTTATAAACACTGTGGATCTAACCCTGCTAATTTACGTCCACTAACTCCAGCTGTTTCTGTAGTTTCTGATTCCTCCACCTCACTCAGCATGGCCCTATAGAGCTCCGGGAGTTGACGTCACTTCTCCCGGCATGCAACAGTTCAAATCGAAACGGCGCCATATTGGCATGCAGAAGCCGGCAGCTGGACTATTTGTTATTGTCAGAAAACTCAATCAAACGGGAAATATGGTAGATTCCTGTTGTGCCCCAGGATGCAGAACAGACGCGGACGACATAAGGAATGAGTCATCTACAGGATTCCACAAGACCCGGAGCGCCGCAAACGTTGGATCATTTTAATAAAACGCCCTAGTGCCCGTGCGAAAATGAAACTGTGGGATCCCGAGAGTAAAGGTTTTCGCTTATGCAGCGACTGCTTCATATCAGGTACTTAAACCAACGTTTCCTCAACTGTGTGTGGTATTTATTTTAAATGCTTTTATTACGATTCTTAGTGGGCTTCCTAAACTTATTTTGGCGTGGCTTTTTCTGTCTTATTACTCATAGCAGCAAGTAAACGTCACGTAAAACGTTGCCTCGTGAGTTCTGCGTGCTGCCGTTTCCGTGTTTTATGATCACAGCAATTAACCGGCTAAGCTGTATTTAATTTTTAAGCAATGGTTGATCAATTGTCAGATCACACATAAAAAGCACTTTGGATTGCTATTATCTGTCTCACCGAGACTACTTACGTGTAAATCTGTTATTTGTCTGTCCATCCATCCATTTTCATCCACGTATCCGGAGTCGGGTTGCGGGGGCAGTAGCGTGACTTCCCTCTCCCCAGCCGCCGGAGCCAGCTCCTTTGGGTAAATCCCAAGGGGTTCCCCGGTCAGGTCCGGTGTTGTGCCGGTAAGAAGCCCGCTCCAACAGCTTCTGGCATCGGAGCGGGCAGTAGAGTCGAGAGTCTCAGACCTTCTCCCCAGCTCCTCCGGCCGGGGGAATCCCAATGGGTTCCCCGGTCAGGTCCGGTGTTGTGCCGGTAAGAAGTCCACTCCGACATCTTCTGGCGTTTTTAAAAAGTATCCCAGGGGCACGGTAAGGGTCGGAGATGTTTAGTCTATTTAATTTCTGACTATATAAAACGATTTCTTCTGTTTTAAAGTGTGAAGTAAACTCCGACGAAGTAAAATCCAAGCGGATCCCGTTCATGTTCATGGTTACATCCGTGTTTGTTTACCTTTTTTGCATGCCAAAATGGCGTCCACTAACTGAGAGTCACGTGGGGTCCGGAGCTCTATTGAACACCCGCTCTGTTAACAGTAACATAATTTAATTCTCTCTAAAAACCTGGATTTTATGTTTCTGACTGAAGTTTGGCAGCAAACATCTGATTATTCCGGTCTGATTGAACTTTGCCCGAGTGGTTATTATTTTCTTAGCCAGCCCCGGGGTTCTGGTCGTGGTGGAGGCCTAGCTGTTGTTTTCAGAGACCATCTTCCATGTAGCTCTACAACCTCTGGTCACTTTGCTTCCTTTGAACTGCAGCTGATTAAAGTCGGGCATAAGGGCCCGTTCTACTGTGCTGTGGTCTATCGTCCACCTGGTCCAAACAGTTCTTTCCTTCAGGAGTTTAGTGACTTTCTATCCTCCACTGTGAAGCTGTCCAGACTGGTGATTTTTGGTGACTTTAACATCCATGTTGATGATCCCTCTGATCACTTTGCCATGAATTTCTCCAGCCTTATGGACGCCTTCAGCTTTACCCAGCATGTTTCTGGCCCCACACACACCAGGGGGCACACTCTAGACCTTGTTTTTACCCTGGGTCTAAATGCTGACAGTGTTTGTCCTGAGGACGTTTATATTTCAGATCACCATTGCATTTTCTTTAACTTGTCAGTTTCTGCGTCCCCACCTCCTGCTCGCCGTATGGTTAGTTCTCATTTTCTTAATGAGAGCACAGCTAGCAATTTTTCTGCTGCTTTTGATCCACCCTGTTCTTCTGATAATGACCCAGACTCCTTAACTTCTCAGTTTAACGAGCACTGCCTCTCCATTCTGGACAACATCTGTCCTGTCAGAACCAGATCATTTCCTGCAGTGAACCCTACTCCCTGGTTTAATGACAGCCTTCGCAGCCTGAAGCGCCAATGCAGAAAAATTGAGTGTTTGTGGATGAAAACCCATCTCCACATCCATCTGCTGCACCTAAAGGATCTTCTGGCATCCTTTAACTCTGCAGTCAGAGACGCCAGGGTTTCCTATTTTTCCATCCTGGTGTCCCAGAGCAAAGGGAACCCCAAGGTGCTGTTTAACACCATCAGCACCATCGTCTCTCCTGCCTCTCCTACAGCCTCCATCCACTCTGTTGCAGACTGTGAGAACTTTCTGTCTTTCTTTGTGGACAAAGTCAATAAGGTTAGATCTAGCATCTCTCCTTCAGCCTTATCGCCGCCTCTCCCGACTCCAACCAGGCCCATCATCCTAGATAGCTTTGCTCCTGTGTCTTTGTCTGAGTTAACCAAACTAGAGCATGCCCCCTCGACATCTTACCCTCATCTTTGTTTAAAAGTGCTTTTCTGTCCATCGGTCCCAGCGTGCTCTCTATAATTAATGCTTCTCTGGTCTCTGGTCAGGTCCCTGCTTACTTTAAGAACGCTGTAATCCACCCGCTTCTTTAAAAACGAGTCTCGACCCCTCTCTCCATAGCAGCTTCAGACCCATCTCTAAACTTCCGTTCAACTCCAAGATCTTGGAAAAGGTTGTGGCTGAAAACTCATAGCTGCTCTTGATGAACATAACATCTATGATAGCTTCCAGTCAGCTTTTCGTAGAGCTCATTCTACTGAAACCGCTCTTCTTAGGGTCTCTGATGACCTTCTGACTCACAGTGATGCAGGGGACTGTTCTGTTCCGGTCCTGCTGGACCTGACTGCAGCCTTTGACACTGTTGACCATCACCTGCTACTGGAGAGGCTCAGAGACTGGGTAGGCCTTTCAGGAACTGCTCTGGAGTGGTTCTCCTTGTATCTCTCTGAGCGCTCCTTTTCTGTGGTCGTCTCCAAGTTTAGGTCCTCCACCACCTCCCTTACCCATGGTGTCCCACAAGGTTCTGTGCTGGGGCCTCTGCTCTTCCTCCTCTATCTGATTCCTCTTCAGCATATCCTGAGCTCCTTCAAAGGAATCTCCTACCATCTTTATGCAGATGACATCCAACTGTACATCTCCTTTAAGCCCCATGAAATGTCTAAGCTGCAGCTGTTACACGCCAGCTTAGACTCTATCAAAACCTGGATGGCTGGGAGTTTTCTACAGCTGAATGAAGATAAGACTGAGATCCTCATCTGTGCCCCAGACAAGCTGGTTCCCAAAGTCAGAGACTCTTGGTCAGCTTGCTTCTCACACCAAACCTTCCGACAGGAATCTTGGTGTGACCTTTGACCCAGCTCTCACCCTGGATTCTCATGTCAGTTCTCTTGTTCGCTCTTCCTTCTTCCATCTCAGGAACATTGCTAAGCTGAGTCCCATTCTGTCTCACTCTGAACTTGAGACAGTTCTCCACACCTTCATCTCCTCACACTTAGACTACTGTAACTCTCTTTTCACGTGTCTGAGCAGAACCTCCCTGAACCGTCTACAGGTGGTTCAGAATGCCTGTGCTCGGCTTCTGACCAAGGCCTCCAAATACACCCACATCACCCCGCTTCTCCTCCAGCTTCACTGGCTGCCAGTCAACTTCAGAGTTCATTTCAAGATCCTGGTTCTGGTCTATAGGGCCTTACATGGACAAGCACTATCTTACATTGGTGATCTCCTTAGTCCCTACACCCCAGCAGGTCCCTGAGGTCCAGTGATCAAAGCCTACTGGTTGTGCAGCACACCAGGCTAAAGACCAAAGGTGACAGATCATTTGCTGCTGTGGCCCCCAGACTCTGGAACTCTCTCCCCCTGAGCCTGAGATCAGTGGACTCAGTGGTCTCCTTCAAAAAGCAGCTGGACTCACCTGTTCAAGCTGGCTTTTGGATGACCTTCTTCACCACTCTCTCTTTATTCTGCTCTCCCCACCTATTCCACCTTCCTCAGGATCCACTAATTTCCCTCTTTCCTATTTACTCTCTCTTTCTTAACATTTTTGTAATCACAATTGTCTATTTTTGCTCATTTTAAAAATATTTTAAACATTTTCTAAATGCTTTTTTATATTTTTACATTTTTTGTTTTTGTGAAGCGCCTCGTGATTTTTTTCTTGAGAGGCGCTATAGAAATGATATTTTCTTCTTCTTCTTCTTGATTCTTGCACTGCTTTTCAAGACAAAGACCCAGGTTAGGAATCTTGGTGTCATAATTGATTCCGACCTGAGCTTCACTGGTCACATTAGGGCTATAACTAGATCAGCGTTTTATCATCTGCATCAAAGAGCACGACTCAGGGCAGGGGTCTCATGTCCAGACAAGACCTAGAGAAACTCATTCATGTGTTCATCTACAGCAGGCTGGACATTTGCAATGGTCTTCTAACTAGTCTTCCCAAAAAGCTGTAAAACAAAGGCAGCTCATTCAGAATGCTGCTAGTCTAAACAAGAACCAAGGGAACTGAACACATCACTCCTGTTCTTAAATTTCTACACTGGTTACCAGTAAACTACAGAATCGACTTCAAAGTACTCCTACTAGTTTATAACTCACTCAATGGCATGGGGCCAAAATACATGTCAGATTTCCTTCAGGTATATACGTCCAGCAGGGCTCTGAGATCTTTAGGACACAGTCAGCTGGTAGAACCTCAGGTCAGAACCAAACAGGGTGATGCTGCTTTTAGATAGGCTGCACACAGATGGAATCAGCTTCCTCATGACCTCAGATGTGGCCTAACTCTAAAATTGTTTAATTGAAAATTAAAAACCTTCATGTTTTCATCAACCTTTGAATACATGCTTCTTATGCTGCACTTTCTGCACTGTAACTGCTCACCTTATGACTATGCCTTTTATCTGTTTGTTGAATCTGAAATTGATATCTACGTACATTTCTTTTTTTATTTTTTTTGTGTGTTTGCTGTTAATGCTTTTGTAAAGCACTTTGAATTGCCTTTGTGTTTGAAGTGTGCTATACAAAAACAGCTGCCTTACCTTAGCCTAGTGAACTAGACCAAATTTTTGCTTTGCAAAGAATGGTCTAGACATGCTCCATTGGAACCTCAGCAGCTCCTACCAGGACTCTGGCTAGCCAATCACAGCTCTCTAGAGGGGTTTCAAACACATAAAGAGCTGTGATTGGTCCATAATGGTGGGCCAATCATAGTGCTCTATCTGCTTATTGAACAAATCACAGAGCTTTATCTGCTTTGTGGGCCAATCAGGGCACTCTATATGCCTGGTGGGTGGGATGATGCAACAGAGTGAAACAAGAGTATGTCACATTCTTTGTCCAGTGGAATGAGGAGATCATTTGAAAGACAACGGTAGAACCTGCCCCACAACCGAGAGCCGTCAATGGAGCATGGCCAGACTAAATAATACATTTATTTAGTCTGGCTTGCCAGGCTAGACTTACCTTGCTTTATTTTCTGTTCTGAAAACTTCTACTTTCACAACCTCCTCTAGGCTGAACCATCCTTTCATATCAGACTTGCACGGGCTAGTTGCAACACCTGGTGAGCAGCAGCAACACAGCGAGGTGTTTCACTTTGGCCCAATTTTTGACAGTACAGTCTCAGTAAATGTAAGACTTGTGCAGCGATTACTAGACAAGCTAATTATGCATAAAGAGTCTGGGAACCTGAATGACCTAGATTCAGGTTGCATCAAGCCACACACGTTTGAGGTTTGGTCAGTGTACTTTTATCAACCACTTAAAAGAAATAAGTTAAATTATTAAGGTTCAGGACAATTTGATCAGACATAATTTCATTCTTTAGGACCAATTAAAACATCTGACTGATGTTTAGTGAAGCAGAGCTTTGCATCTGATGCACTTCAGAGTGCTCTGCAAAGTAAACGTTTATAAATAACTGCTTGCTTTTGATTGTCACAGAGTAGCACAAAGTAATGCAATAAATAGAATCATGACATACATGGCAGAAGGAGGCGTGACATTATGAGCACATTCATGTCCTCTCAATAGGTTAGATCTGTCGCAGATCTGAAGGCCCCACAGCTTCCAGGAAGTAGACAAAGAAAAACTCAGTTGCTTGAGAGAGCATTTGCTCAGAGGTGCATGGGATGTCACGGATGTCAGGCCTCTCTGGGTTCCACTGCTCTTCTCCATCATGATCAACACCTACCAGACCAGCGTGGCTCCACCGCCGGTGCCTCCACGCTACGCCAAGCCCCAACCGGTCCTCATCCCGGCTCAGCTTCCAGCACCGAACAGCGGCAAGCCTCTCATCCGATTTCTGGTTGCTTTAGTGATTCTGCACTTGCTGCTGTCTGTTGGAGGGTTCAGTTATCTGTTCCATCAACAAAACCCAGGTTCATCTGTAAGTATGCTTTTATCGATTGTAACCAAGTTTTACTTATGAAACAGGAAAAATTACAATATGGTGCAAAGGTTCATTTCATTCAGTAACTCAACTTATAAGTTTAAAGTAATGTATTTGATAGACTCGTGCAAAGCCAGATATTTGAAGCCTTTGTTATAACTGTGATGATTACGGCTTGCAGCTTGCAGATGAAAACCCCACATTCAAAATTTCAGACAGTTAGAATATTGTGAAAAGGTTCAATATTCTAGACTCAAAGTGTCACACTCTGATCCGCTACTGAATCCAGAATACCTGCTAAGGGTTCCTGAGCCTTTAGATGGTCTCTCAGTTTATGTTGAATTACCAACATAAATTAACTTTTGCACCATTTTTCAAGTTTCACCTGCAAATAAGAGCCTGATGCATAAATTACCTGATTAGTTGATACTAAATGAATTCAGATGTTGCTAAATAAAACACTATCACATTGCAATTTTAAGAAGTGTTTGAAAAGTTTACTCTAAATATGGGTTTGCTTATCTTTAGATGCTGAAAGTGTTTGTGTGCTTTCACACATGAAAAGGTCGCACCCTGCAAAGCAATGAAAGCACAGGAAATGGTTCACAGATATTTCAAATGTTGAGCATTTTAAAAAATGCATTCAAATTAAATCAGTGATTTATAGAAATGTACATATATGAAGCATTGTGAGAAAATAATTAGCTTTCTTTTTTATCAAAATAGGAAAACCTCCCCTCCCATCAGCGACAAGGTAATTTTTCTGATTAAATCTACATCTGAGCTTCTAAAGAAAACTAGCTGACCACACGAACGTCTGACATGTTTTTTTATTTTATTTATTTATTTATTTTGTTTGGTTTGTTTCCAGTTGGTTTTCTCTCAGCAGAAAAACAAGAAATTACTTACAGAGCTTTGGCACGAATGGTAGCAACCACTCCAAAAGAGGAATCAAGTAAGGAAATAAGATTAATTTAGAAATAAATGCATATTATTTTTAAGAGACTGCTGAAACACCGTCCTCTCTCCCCACAGAGGGTTATCTCCAGTGGGACATGAAACACTCCATTCGCAAAAACATCAACTACTACCGAAGCAGCTGGCTGACCATCCTTGAGCCTGGTGATTATTTTGTTTACTCCAGAGTGACCTTTTCCAAAAGTCACGTTAAAGAACCGCTGACCAGCTGGGTCAAAATGAGAAAGACTGAGGAGGAGGAGGAAAAGGTTATGATGGTGGCCTCCTGCAGCTTGTCCGATTCTGCATCGAGCCCTCAGTTGTGCACCGCCTCACAGGGGGACCTGATCTCCCTGGAGAGGGGGGACCAGCTCAGCGTCTGGGTACCAGACCTCTCTCTTGTAAACTATAAAGATGGTGCAACTGTCTTTGGGATGTACAAACTATAGGACTCTAGCAGGAGCACGTGCACGGATCTGAACTCTGTGGGGACTCTACATCTGGATTTATAGCTACCAAGAAATCATCAGAGTGGATCAAACAGACATTTTGTTGGAACTAAGAGACAAAATGCACATTCAGAAATTATAATTTATTAAATAACGTGCAATTCTGTTTTGTGGATAGTAGTTTTATATTTATTTCTGTGTATTGCTGCATTTGTCTCTGATAAGATTTTATTTTTTAAAATCTATTATTCTTCCCCATTTTTTAAACATTTTTAGTAAAAAATAAAAAAAAACTTGTTTTCTTTGCATTTTATTGCTGGGTTTATTAGTTATTGTACCTAGAAGCTGCCGTGTCCAAGAGGGGAGCATTTATTCTTAAAAACTTACTTTGGACAAAAGATTGCAAGACTCCAGCCCTTTGAGATGTTGATTTAAAAGAAGAAAAAATCACTAATAATGATCTTTTGCTAACAAGTTCATTAAAACCAACTGAAGATAGTTTAGTCGCTCCCAGAATGTACAAAAAGCCTCCTCATTTAGGACTGAATAACAGCTAAAATGGCCTTTTTATCATTAAACTAGACTTGAGCAGAAAAGGCAACATGTTTTCCATCAACATGTTAATTCAGTTTTGATTAACAAAAAGTTTATGAACCTAAAAAGGTTGTTAAAATTGAAGACAAAACAATTTCTCTGCGTTTAATATTCAGAATAATTTCCTATAAATGCTAATTATGGTGTCTATTTTAGGATTAAGTTATTCTAAAGGGAGCTTATGAGTAACTTCGTGTGAGAGCTTTACTTGATGAGTAATCTATCCCGACCCAGCAAACTCGAAACGATAGTTAAGCCCTCAGACGTGTGCTTCTCATGGTGGAGGCATGGAAAGTGTGAATCTCTATGGAGGTGTGTAGGTGCAGAGGCAGCACTCTCTCACAGGATGTCACCCATTCTTGTCACTCCTTCCATCGTGCAACGAGTTTCCTGAGAGTGAACCTGAGCGACCTACTAATTCCTGCATGGCTCGTGAGTCGACAGCAGGATGGAAAAGCCTGCCTTGGAGGATTTCCAGCACAAATGAGATTGCAACAGCTTTCCGTTTTACATTTGGTTAAACAAATTCAAAGTTTATATTAAACTTTTAATAAAAGATCCAAACAAACAAAGTACAGGGTTTTTAGGTAAGAGAGAGAATACAATACTTGCATAGAACGGTCTTTAAAATGAAAAAGAAAGAAAACAACACAGTGCACAGGAAATATAACTTCAGCTGGACTGGAGTTCCTCTCACCAGTAAGTGCTCAATGAGGATTTTGGAAATTAAAAAAAAATTCAGTGTGTGATGCTTAATGAACAGTTTTTACAGAAAACAACAAACAAGCTATAATGTTAAGCAATAAACAAGTGATAAAAGCTGGAAAGCAGTAATAGACCAGCTCCAGCTCAAAAGCAAGTTGTGCCTTTAAAAGCATGAAGGTGACACTTCTGCAGATGAACCTCATGCTGCTCTGAGGTTTCTACCGAGACGTGTGCAAAAAACAGCACTTCCCACAAAGACACTGTTTCACAATCTGAACTACTATGGATCACCTGCAAGTGGAAAACTAGGCCATGGGTTAAGTTAAATAACTGAGAAACCTGGTTGAAGAAAAGGCTAATTCTCAGTCGGATGTGTGGCGGAGAGAGACTGAAAATGTTTGGGTCCATTTCTGTTATTGCAGGTTCTCCAGGTCTGACCGACCACCACTGCTGCGGCGGCGGCTGAGCCAGGGCTCGGTCAGTAAAGCAGTCACTTATTGCATTTCATTAACAGTCACCGCTTCTCTGCAGAACAGACAACAGCGTCGACAGTGCATCCGCGCTAAACCATGAGGAAATGTACAGAGGCCAGGCCACGTTAATGTACCAACTCATACACTCATCAGGCTCGAGCCGTTTCAGCTAAGATACTGCAATAACGACACTTTGATGATCATTTACTGACTTAGTCCCAGTCGGTCTTAAACTCTCTTTTTTGGTTTTCGGACCCCTTCGGGAGGCACTTAGACATTTGAGCACTTCTCTACACTCATATATAAACGTTCTTTTCCTCAATTCTGCCAGAATCCACCAGGATAAGAGATATAAACCTTCCTTACTCTCAAAACAAACATTTTACTAAAGTATTTCCTCATTTGTGATAAAAAAGATCTTTGTTTTTCTCACAAAACTACATATATATGGCTTTCACTACTTTTAAATGTTCATGTTAATAAATACAGATGATGTTTTATAATCCAAAATAAAGAAAAGCTGAATATTTTGGGTTACAATTATTCTTGTATATATATATATATATATATAAGAGTAAATTACCTTTTGTACTAATAAATAGTGCACAGTTAAGTTTTTCCTATGTGTTGATGCCCTGGAAGCTTTGAAGTCCATATCTGAATAAAAGGATCACATTTCTGACGCAAAATTCATAGTAACACTGTAGATTGATGCAGTTTTTTTAAAATAAACAGTCAGCGGAGACATTTGAGACTGTTCACCGTGGTGAGCTCACTTGTTTGACATGCCTACAAAAATGTCTTGAACACAAGGCAACAATCATCTAAACGGTTTAAAAAAGATCCCAGGCCTTTATGGATAAATAAAAACTGACAGTGACAAAGTCATGAGTTCTGTTTTAGAAAGAAGAGCATGCAAGAGAAGGCTTGATGGCTTTGTACTCCTTTCATTTTTCCAACTGAACACACAAATAAAGCAGTCTGGGTGTTTTTTTTTTTTTGTTGTCTTGTTTCTTCTTGTCCAACACTGGCCCGTTTGCTGGGTGGAGTTTACGGAACGAGTCACCATGTGGCAGGAGATTTGGAAACATGGTGGTGGAGCCCAGCTACATACAAGGAAGCTTGTTTTTGTTTGTCTCATTTAGTGACGCTGGATCAGGAAGACGGATCTCATCATCATAATGAAGAAAGAAACTCCAAGGTTTGAGAGTCTGATTCTGCTGCGTGAGACTGAAATGTGAAGACACGACAAAGATGCACAAATAAACACACAAACACTTGTCCCAGTGCAGGTCAGCCCACACGTAGCACCATGAAACCAGGACGCGTTCAGTGGCCGCTGTCCTCCCAAGAGCTGTCGTTCTTCTGCTTGGACAGTTTTCGGACTAGCCTCTCCAGCTCTTTGCGAGACTTCTGCTCCTCCTCCAGGAACTGCTTCATCCATTTGTTCTCCTGCAGAGTGTATGAAAAAGAGCTGTATTTAATGAATAATGTAAGTAAGACATTTTTATTTACATAGCACTCATCACTGAAAGAAAATCCCAAAGTGATTCACATAGATTTAAAAAAATCACAAGGTCATAACATCATAATGATCTTAAATAAATTAAAATCAGGAAAACAAATTCATGACGTTACTAAATGATCGTAAATATAAATCAAGTGAAAGATGATTATTAATTCAAGTAAAAAAAAGAACAAAAACACAGTAGATTTAGGTAAAAGCAGGTCTAAATAAAAGGGTCTACAGCTGCTTTTTAAAGGTGTCCAGGCTGTCAATACGATGTAAGATTCCTCTTAAGCCCAGAGACCCTGGTGCTACAGAAGAAAATACTCTTTCCAGACTAAAAAAAAATAAAAAATAAACTACTCGGGTCACGTTCTAGGGTTACAGACACCAGCCAGACCACCTTATATTTTTAATGTCACGGTTGAAAGTTCTGACGCAGTTTAAAAGGGACATTATGCAAAACTCGCCTTTGGCTGCCATGTGGGTCTCTGCTGCCTCTATAAACACTCTAAATGTAATAAAAACCCATCCATCTTGTAAATGGCTGCAAGTAGGTGGATTGTCAACGTCACTCACTCAATTGTATATAAATGGGCGTTAACCCGGATGTGGACGTGGCGCTGGCATTCCACCTGGCTTGAAGAGTTGCAGCAGACCAAACCTCCACGTTAGTGAGGGCATTCTGATTAAAATTGATTAAATAAGAACGTGTCGCCCTATCAAATGCTTTGTACATTTAGTCTATGGTCTTGCCGTGCCAAGCCTCTGCGTGACATTACTTTGATTGCACCCCATGGCAAGAGGAGCAAGGTATTTGTTCTTTGTTTCTGTTTGTTGCTCCTGATGTTTGTCAGCAACTGTCTTTAATTTGTAAATTATGTATTTTCAGTTTTCACTGTGTTTGCACAGTGTTTGGCATCAGGTGCTCGGTGCGATTCTGGGAATGAGACGTATGCATCTACAGCCTGACGCAAATAAAAAGTCGCACCCGTCTAAGCTCTCCTCCTTATTTCTCTTGGATGCTAAGGGGCAGTAACAGACAGAAACAAAGAACAAATGTCTCTTTTTTTGACCATGTTTATTTAGGAAATTATGTGCCTGAAATGACTCATTTGAAAAAGTCCTAGTTTGTGATGTCACAAATGGGGAAAAACAAACCACCTCTCACATGCAAAAGAGAGCTGCTACTGGAGGAGCAGCGGTTCTCCTCCAAGCTCCCCCTAGATATCAAAGCCTCTCTGCACATTTTCCAAAATGTATTTAACCGATTATTGAAGCCATTAAGTGGTTAATTCTTTGTTAACCGTAAACTCCCTCTCCAGCCCCCCTCCTGCGCACGCACACAGAGAAAAAAATATAAAATATAAATAAAACTAACGCTTTTCCTCCTACTCTTTTAACATCACTCAGACACAGAACCAAAGTCCCACGCCTGTTAAAACATTCATAAACTAAAAACAACGTTAGTGGGATGAGAGCTGAAATGTCCACCAGGACATGTTGTGTAATGGGCCGTCCGGCATTACAGCACTGCTTATAGCGCATTGTGGAGGCTACACATTTAAAAAAACACTTGAGTTTCCTTACATTGAACTAATTACACCAAAGTTTCCAAACTACAGGAGGCAGACACCAAGCTGTCACAAACGCAGGAGCCTTGTTTCATTTTGCTGCACAGCTTTATTTCCATGTTTTTCCAGGCTCAACGCTTTGATGTCGGCCTCATTTTGTTAACTACCACATAAAGAATGCTCCCACGCTGTGCACTTTCCTAAACGCTTAATTTTTGAGTAAATTTATTTGATCATGTGACAAGCTCTTCTTCTGTGGTTTTGACAGTGGCATTCTTGTGCCTTCTGGTGGCAAAAATATATATTACACCCATGCACAGCAGAAGGACGTGAGTTCAGCTGGCAGTTAACGGGACTTAACCGGCCAACTGTGTACACCCCTACTCTCAGCTTACAGCAGAAAGGCAGGGGCTGGGTGGGCGTGGCCAGCGGCAGCTCATTTTCTGGCAAAGCCCTGAAACGACTCATTCCAGAAGTGACTGAAACTGTCAAGAATTAAAATGCTGAAATTGCTTCATGTGAGAGGGATTTAGTGCAAAAAACTTCTTAAACATGTTTTGTATTGATCATAGAACTATTGTAACTTAAGGAAAAAGTCATTATTGGTCTCCTTTAACATTTCTTCAGCTCAGCTCAAGGGAAAATAATGGAGCTTCAGTACTGTTGCTGCAGTAGAAAACATGTTTTTAAAATCACCTTTGTGAAATCTAACCAATGCACTCAGTGTGAAAGCATAAACTAAAAGGTCTTTTCTTACATTAACGAGCATGTATCAATTATTATTATGCACAATATTGCAGTAGTTCAAGATCTTGTGCAGTCTGCTATTAGTTAGGGCATGCATGACTTGGTTATCACAATATATGCCAGCTGGCTGTGGTGACCTTTTGAATTTGGTCAACTCCATAAGTCAGTTAGTTGTAGACGTACATGCGGCGTCTCATTAAAATACATCCAATGGTTCATGAGATGTTAACTAAAAGAATAAACAAGCAGATATCACGTTATTGCCCCCCTGTGCCCACCTGTGTCCACCTGCCTCGTGTTACCTGATTACCCATCCCAGTGTGTACATAGTCCTTTGTGTCCTGTATTAATGAGGTGGAGTCTTGGCTAATGGCCAACTATCTACATCTGAATGAGGGAAAGACAGAGCTCATTGTTTTTCACCCCAACAGCAGGAATGTGGATTGTTATGTTGATCTTGGCCCTCTTTCTCCATACTCAAAACCAGCTGTTACCAGTTTGGGGGAGAAACTTGATGCAGGACTTAAATTTGAGGCTCACATCAACTCTGTGATCCGGTCCAGTTTCTTTCACCTGAGACGCCTTGCTAAAATCAAGCATATGCTGTCGAGAGCCCACCTGGAGCGGGTGCTGCATGCATTTGTAATTTCTAGGCTTGACTACTGCAACTCTCTCTATGCAGGGTTGTGTCAGTCATCACTGCGTCGCCTACAGGTTGTGCAGAACAGCGCAGCCAGGTTCCTGACTGGGACCAGGAAACAGGACCACATCAGTCCGGTTCTGGCCTCCCTGCACTGGCTTCCGGTTTGCTATCGTTCACAATTCAAAATCCTCGTCTTTGTTTATCATTTCTTCCAGGGTGGTGGTCCCGCCTATCTGGCCACTCTCCTGAACAAACATTCCCCATCACGCGCTCTGCGCTCCTCTGACCAAGGCCTGCTCGCTGTCCCTCGTTCTAGGTGTCGTACCCGCGGGGACCGGGCTTTCTCAGTCCTAGCACCGTCACTCTGGAACCAGTTGCCACCCTCAGTTAGGCTGTCCCCATCTCTGCCTGTCTTTAATGGGCCATTCCCATCTGTACCGGGTCGGCTCGGGCCGGGTAGCCCCAGTCGGCCCCAGCCTGGCCCGGTTGATTCCACACATCCTTGTCTTAAGCCCATGTGGGCTGATTCGACCCACCAATCAGAGGCTTGCTCTAATGGAAGGTATGAATCTGCTGTCAGCAGTGGGTGTGTTGGCCCTGGTCGGCCTGAAGCAGACCCCCTCGAGAAGAGGGCCGAGAATGAGCCTTGGTTGGCCTGGAAAAATACCAGGCCACCCAGATATGTAAACAACCTACGCTACCCGGCCCGACCCGGTACAGATGGGAATGGCCCATAAGAATCGCCTAAAAACACACCTCCTCCGCTTGGCGGTTCCAGAACATGTTTGATTTTGGCCCTCTTTTATGTTGAATTTATTTCACAGTTTTCATTGGTTCAATCTATCCATCCACGCAATCCAAATGTGTTTCACACATTTGTCCTGTACCAAAATGTTTCATCTATCTTGTAATTTGTATTTTGTAATTTGTATTTTGTAATTTGAATTGCTTTTATTGTTGATTTACTCAATATATTTACCTACAACTGTACCATGTTCAGCGCTTTGGGCTTCCTGACAGGGTTGCGGAAGGCGCTTTATAAATAAAGCTTTGATTGATTGGTTGATTGATTGATTGATTGATATAAGCCTTGTGTGTTGCTTGTGAGTTGTCAGTTCGTACTCATTACATGTCAGTTTATGTTCACATCTGTCTACCCGTCGTGTCTGCACTCCTGACCATTAAAGAGGAACCAATTGTCCATTGCTGTCTTGCCTGGGTTGATTTACCTGCCTGAAGGATCCGCTCTTCCTCCCTCACCTTCCCTCCACACCATGACGGCAGATTAGACATGCCAACCTTCAGTCTGTGTTTTTTTTGACCAACATTCAATAACTTTCGTAAAAGTCCACCATCAATGAAAGGTTTGCACCCATACAACTCATTAACAATTACTCACATTCATGAATAACCTCACTTACCTTTTTTAACTCATGAACTTCATCCTTTAAAGCATAAACTGCATCAACCAGGCTCCTAAAAATCCAAAACAAACCACAAATCAGGATGTAGAAGAGAGAGAACAGTGCTCCTGCGTTGTATGGGTCTTTAATCCCCCTGGTCCTCATTAGAGGAAGACAAATAATGCCTTTTATTTGAAGGTTTCTCAAGCAAACTGATCATTCAGCTGCTGAATTGGGATCAATATCTGATTTATGAATCTCATTACAGAAACAAAAACACAGTTTGTAGAATCATTAACAAAGCACTGAGAAAGAAAATACAAGCCTACGCTTTAGTAGAACGTTAGTAAACTTACTTTTCCTCAATAACTGTCTGCCCGTTGCTTTTAATCTCCTCCACAATAATCTTCTCCTCTTCTGGCAGGAGCACCTGAGGAGGGCACTCTTTACGCACAGCTGCACACGAGCACACACATAAAGAGAAAATCTGATAATTTATGGCCTTAATTGAAAAGGTGACAAAGGAAAAGAAAACACAAACACACCTGTGATGTTCTGGTGCACGCAGACTCCTGTGCAATAAGCCTCAATCACTCGAAGTATCTGAGCGTCCTCCTCCAGAGCAGCTGTGCCTGTGAAAGCCAGCTTTTAGAACAGATACATCTGGAGAATCCATCAAGAGAGGCTATCACGGTGGCCATTAACCAGGAGTCATGGTCTGTGCTAGCCTGGCAAGCTGTCCTATATATGTGAAAATGTAGTTTGGCCACGACCCACTGACGGATCTTGGATGGCAGAATCTGTGGTTTCTTTCAAACTGTGTCCACATGCCACTGGACAATAAACAATGTGGCATACTCACGGCTACAGATCTCAGTGAACAGGGCAGTCTACCATAGAGCCCTGCACGGGCCTAAAATCTGAGCCCGTGTCCGGCCCGGCCCGAGAAGGTTTTCAGGATTCTCTGGCCCGACCCGAGCCCAACTTTTTTTTAACCTTTCATAATGTTTTAGCGTGATAGAATGCTCTGCATTCTAATTATCTGTGAGAAGCGTTCTGCAGTAAAAAAAAAAAAAAAGAAAAGAAAGAAAAACAGCATTCATGCAGCTTTTTTTCTAACAGAGCATATTTTTCAAGCGGCAGATGAAATTTATGAACACTATATTAATTGGATGCGGTTGTAAATGTAATCTGCTCTAAAAATGTGCTCTTGTGCAATTAGAAAAAAAAGCAGCATTCTAATTTTCTAACTGTGAGCGCATTTTCAGAGCGGCAGATTAAATAAATGTTCCCAATTAATATATTTAATATTTAATCTGCCGCTCTGAAAATGCGCTCTGCAGTTGGAAAAAAACCCAGCAATGAAAGCTGTAATTTTTTTTACTGCAGAGCAAATTTATTCACAGAAAAATAGAATGCTGCCGTTTTCATGAGAATAAATGAATGGTTTCTGACATCAAAGTGGACATAACATGGCATTAGGGCTGCAACAAACGATTATTTGGATAATCGATTAATCGGATGGGGTCTCGACACGATTAATCGGATTACATGGGGAAATTTTTAAAAACTGCTAGGGAAACGTTATTTCTCTCCTTCCTTCACTTTATTTAACACAACATTATTAGAAAACAGTTCAATAGCAGAAAAACAACATGCCATCACCTAAATTGTCTTATAAGGTGTATAGACAGAGACCCTAAGCTACATCTATCTGTGACCTAAAATGCTTGGTCCAAGTTAAACAGCTTAAGGGCAATTCTCATCTGTTTTGTTTGATCTCATCTGTTGACATTTATTTTAAATGTAATTAAACATAGGCTGTGAATTAATCAAAATTGATCACTATTTCCAAAAATGACTGAAAAAATACCAAATAAAACAAAAGTAAATGAATGCCATCCTCCTTGTGTGATGCCCTGGGCAACTGCCATAAAGTCACATCAAGAAATGCTGCTGATCATTCCAATGATCCCAAATAGACTCACATTAGGCCACATGAAAGCAACTGAACCCAAAAATATATTAACCAGTATATAACTGCACTCTCACACAACACGCCTGCAGCAACAGTTAGGACTCCTCCCTCCCTTTTAAAAGCGTTTTTGCTTCTGAGGACATTGTGGTTGTAAAACCACATGCTAGTAGTCTGGCCTCGGTGTGATCAACCAGTTTCTGCGGGAATGTGACGGCGGAACCAGGGCCAGATTAACACTTTGTTGTACCCTGGGCAACAATATTCAAGGGCTCCATCATCACGACCCGAGGATCACCATAATGTGGTCACATACAGAATATTTTACTGTAATATGCAGTAAATATACTCAATACTTGAATGCCTGACAACACTTAACCCGCCCAGAGTAACCTTTGACCCACCTCGTGTGGACTGGCCAATGAGGAGAGGGTCTTAACTTGAGGCCCTCTCTTCATTGGTCAGTCTGCAGGAGACTGACTCTCAACTGACGTTCAGTCGTAGGCAGCGAAGCGTCTCTGTGCAGCGCAAAAGCCCGGGTGGACAGTTTGTTTAATGTAGGGTGATCATATTTCCATTTCCAAACAAGAGGACAGGGGATATGTGCCTATGACGTCACACTATGGCAACGCCACACAAACCATGATGGGACCCATTTTTTGTAAGAACTAAATTAATATCAGATTCTGCCAATTAAAGGGCTCTAAAACAATTCATATGTAAATATTTTGCATATTTAATGCAAAATCTAATTTTTCTGCTTTAGTGCTGCAACAAGGTTTTATTAATAATAAATTATTATACCTTTTGTTTTACTACAGCATCGGTAAGCTTCCTGTGCACAGATTATTAAGGATGCTTGTTTCAGCTGTGAGATTAGACGATAGGATCAATGAAAAAAATAAGTTGTCACACACTCCATGGAAACTTTCAGAGAATCCACAAATAGTGGCTTTCAAATGGTTTTGTTACTTTTTGCAAGTTTATAAAAGAAGCAGATGAGACAGCGTGTCTGATAATTTAGTTCTTCATCTGATAATATTAGAACATGTCAGTAATGTCTGAGGGGCTTTTATAAACACCGTATAACTAACACTACTGGAGAGGGTATGAATTACACAGAGGCTTCTGGGGAGCCCAGTTATTGTGTGTGTGTGTGTGTGTGGGGGGGGGGGGGGGGGGGGGGTATTTTGCCTTGGCCCCCAAAATGTCTTGAAACGGCCCTGGGTGTGTGACTGAGTTTTGAAGGTGATCTGAATTGTATCAGATGTGTAAATATGACATGTGTATAACTTATTGTTTTTTATAGGTAAAAACGTGTAGTGGAGATAAATCTACCTACATTTGACTTTTCAACACTTTGTTTTGTTTTCTTGTTTTTATTTAACTATTTTCCTGTCCTGTCTGTCTCTCATCTTCCTGCATCTCCTCTTAATTCTCCAGAAAATCTGTTGCCTGGATTCTTACCTTTTCACCTCATCAGTTACTTTTGAGCAGATCAAAGAGATCTCCTGACCGAAAAGCGCAGAGCGCGTTTTCGATGCTGCGTGAGGTGACATCACCACAGCACAGGTGATGAGCTCCACAGTAGCGCGCTTCAGGCACAAATAAGACAGAAAATAGAGAACATGTGCAGACATGAACGATCGTGTGCTAATTATAGTTTTTTGGTTGCGCCACTTTGAGAATGGACCGTGCGCTGGAAGCAGCTGCCTGGATCGCTGCGCAACAATGCGGAACCGGTTCGCAGCAGCGCAAGTCTGCCGGCTCTCCCTCGCGCTGATCTGCGGCTCTCCCTCGCGCTGATCTGACTTGCTCTGGTCGGCGCGCAACAGCGGGCGGGAAGGGGCGCTTTTGGAAGAGTTGTGCGACACAACGAATCGATGACGCAATTCGTTGCCAACGCTTTTAGTAATCGATTTTCATCGAATTTATCGATTCGTTGTTGCAGCCCTACATGGCATATTAGAATAGGGGCACATGTTTTAATCAGCAGTTTGAGAATTTGTTTATATAGGCACATTTATAAACCACACAGACCTTAACTGAGCTAACAGTGCGTGAGAAGCAGGCAGGTGCTGCTGCGTTCAAGTGTTTCAGTTTTTTTTATGAATTCGATTTTTAAAAAAAGGCGCCCGGCCCGTGTCCGAGGTAATTACACAGTCGTTGGCCCGAAGCCCGGCCCTCGAGCCGTCGGACCGGGCTGACCCGCGGGCCTAGGGCTTCAGTGCAGGGCTCTAGTCCACCATACACTGTTGAGGACGATGCAAAACATCCTTTTTCTAAATAAGAACTTTCATACCTTTTTCTGTTTTTGACCCAAAGAAAAGCCCAAGTCTAAATGGTCCAAAGTTGATGCCGAAGCCATTTCAAACAAGCCTCTACCATCTTAGTATCGCTCAGCCGTAATAACATCCTGCCCACCAAACCGACAGAACACTGTGATTGGCCAGCCACCAGACTGGTCAGGGCTGCAGTGGTTCCTGTTGGCTAAACCGACATGAGAAGCTAAATCATTTTGCTCTGATGGTCTAGACATCTAGGGCAGGTCAGTGCATGAAGTATCTTGTTGATGTTGAAACTGCAGGTTGTTGTTGTTGTTATTGTTGTAAACACCTTATGATCCATTAACATGGAAATTTTTTTTGTCGGACGCGTCCCATACATTTATACAGACTATTGTATTAGCTCCCTGTGTTGACTCCACTCTCACTGTACATGTTTAATATGAGCAGGAGTGGGAGGGGCTTTAACCATTCAAATTTCAAAATCTCCTCCCCCTCTCTGATAATTTCATGGACCACAGCTTTCATTTGTAGCTCATTCACAACAATAATCTATATTACTGACACTGACAATTTAAACCAGACAAAGATCTAAAATGTATTTAAAGCAAATCAAAACACTTAAATAATATTTTCTAATATAAATGTATAACTCTTACTTTTTCTGATCTGAATCTCGTCATCAGAGGGCTTTCGCTCTTTCCTCCTGTTTCCGGGCAGGAACTTCTTCATGGGCCGTGGGCTCTTGCTGGAGTCCTGAAGGAGAACAACAATCGGTTAAACTCTGCAAACACAAATTCCCACTTATACACACACCGGAAAGCTGAGGCTCCAGTCCAAACAGAGTGCAAGCTCACAGGGATGAGAATCCCAAATGCACAAAAGAATCATCAACGGACAAGGCAGTAAGCGTGTGGTGGCGACTGAGACCAGGGCGGCCAGGTGGGGTGTGTGTGTGTGTGTGTGTGTGTGTGTGTGTGTGTGTGTGTGTGTGTGTGTGTGTGTGTGTGTGTGTGTGTGTGTGTGTGTGTGTGTGTGTGTGTGTTCAGATGCATCCGTCTATCAGGAGGTTGCTAAAATGTTCTCTCAAAAAGATTTGTAATCTTTATCACCAAAACTACAACAAAAAAGAAATCAAAGCTTCACCTGCATAGTTGTTTAAAAGCCTCAAGAAAGAAATTCAAGATATTATATAATTAATTTCACATGTCATCACACCACAAGAACAAAAGCGGTTTTATTAATGGGTCTTTTTTCCTTACTTAAAAAAAAAGGACAAACATGGCTTCCTTTGAACAGAAACGCTGAGGGGAGATGACTAATAAACCTTCACCAAAGTAACAATCATTCCATGTGTGATGTAATCATGAAAACATAGACAAGGAGACTGCGGAGAGCCTTTAATATTATTTTTTTCCTCAAACCACAGACCAGATTTCAGAAGTATACAGGGCTGTGTGAAAGTATTAGTCCCCATACACATGACTTCTACCACACTTAAAAGTTTCAGATCAGCAAGCAGGTTTCAATATCAGACAAAGAACCTCAAAAACCTCATGATGAGATTTGCTATAAAACGTTTTGGAGATGCTCAAGAAAAACATGACTTCGTAGCACATCGTACATTGATAATACAGTTAGGCATGGTGGCAGGTGTGTTACGGTCCGGGGCTGCTTTGCTCTAACTGATGGAACCATGAATCATCTGATCTTAAACAAACCGTTCATGCTGGAAAACCCTTCAACGAGTAAAAATATTCCTTAATACTGATGTGAGAATCATTATTATTTATCACAAACTATTTACTGCTAGTTGACACCAACGGTCTTACAACCAATTATGTTTAGGACAAGGGTCTTCAACTAAATTAGTTTAAGGACCAGAGTTTTTTCCAGCAGACACTGTGAGGGCCAGATGCTTTTCTACAATAAAGTTAAAGTATTATTGTATCTTAATTTAATACTATTTAAAATGGCTTTATTCGCCATATAAACGGTTTTGATCGTTGTTTTAGTTGTGTTTGGAGAACGTAAACAATTATCTATATCTGGGGCTTGCAATATGCTGCTAAACTTCGTTAGGGCCTAGAGGGTTGGTGGGCCGGATGTAGCCCGCGAGCTGCCAGTTGAAGTTCAGTGGTTTAGGGGGTCATTTACTTTGTAAAGAATGGGTCGTTTACATCTTACTTATGAACCATAAAATGTGAGATTCCATAGAAATATGAAATATCAGTCTGATGGAACTTTGACTATTTTAACCAGAAGATCGGAACTTTTTCTTGCAGGGATTAAGCGACATTTTGTATTAACTCCAAGGAAAGAGAGAGAGCCAGGTTTAAAATAGTTAAGAAATTTATTTCTACACAATTTAAACAAGGCTAACTTAAAACACTGTGTACTGATGGAACTAAGGTGGAGTGAGACGTGATGAATGATGATGGTGTGTGTGTGGAATGTTATTCAGAACCAGCGGATCCGGAGAAGCAGTTAGTTCTGAGTGGGAGTGAATGTTTCACTCTAAACTTTAGTAGGAGATTTATAACACACATGAAACGCCATCTGTCGGTCTACGTACCCAGGGGAAGCCTCCATCAGATCCAGAATGCAGAGGTCCTCGTGGACCCTCTTTGGTACCGAAGCCGGTAGAAAAGCAGCGGTGCTGGCCAAACTAGTCTTGGAATGCTTCCAGGTCACGGCAGGTTATCACTGGTGTCTCCGGGACCCTGAAGGGGTCGTGAGGTTAAGCTTTTATTCTGAAGGAACCGTTGCGGTCAGGTGTAACTTATCCAGCTTGTTGAGGTTCTTTATGGCTGAAGAGGAAGTCCGGATGGCCTGTCCGAGACTTCTCTAGAACGCTTTGAACTAAAGAAAATGTGGCGTGGGATAGCTTTTATAATTGTCATATTTTGGTTTACTGGCGAATCAGAATTTGACATGCAAAAGAGGGTTTATACAAACACCACAGATAACCACGCCTAGCCAGAAACGAAGGTTCTGATTGGGTCAGACAAAAGGAAATGTGTCGTGTGCTTTAGCTTTATGTGTCTTTAGTGTCTAGTGCAAATGTCCAGGATTATAATAACTTGTAAAATACCACTGATCACAGGATTATAATATCAAGTAATAACATTGTCATTTCACAGATCATTGGGCTCACATTATTATTGGTAATTAACAAAGTTGTTGATTATATATTTATCAAAATAGTTCTTCGTCTTCGCTGACAGAGGTGAAGCAGTTCAGATGAGCAGAGGGCATGAAAGACCTTGGCCACTATCTCATGTAAATTAGGCTGTCAGAGACTTTATGTCTCTGCTCGAGCAGACACAGCAGATCATGACCTTTAGGTCAAAAACAGGACATTCATGATGCTACAACTTTGTCAATTCCCTTTATTTATTTAAAAAATTATTTTAAAAATAAATTCAGCATTTTCTCAGGCCATCTCTATCTGATATTTACATCTTCTTTTTTGCTGATCTGAAACATTTAAGGGTCTCCTACACTACCAGGTGGTTTTATACCCATTTTCTGTAATTCTTCTTGCTTATCAAAGATGTAAAATGACCTGACAAACGTATTTAAATAAGTCCCTTTGCCATAAACACTTGCTATGACTAACAAGTGTAGTGTTTAAAAACCACCAGATAAATAATGGGGATCGTTTTGTAACAAAATTCCATTTCCAGACTGTTTTATTTTTCCTTTAGTCTATGATGTCAGACTGTAATAAAACAGTGCCAACAAATCCATTGATGTGGGACAAACCCCAACTGCTCAAAGTCCCTTCTGTAGTGGAATTTCTTCAGCACACATGTGTGTGGGAAATTGGATTTCAAAAAGGCAAAACGGTACTGCACCAGGTGAATGGCACCTTGTAGGGAATGGGGGAAATAAAGAAGCTATCTCGTGGGGTCACAGAAAACAGGAAACCAACAAGATGACAATGAAAAGGGAAGAAGTGAAGCAAACACAGCAGCAATGAGCTCAACACACTCACAGGCAACCCAACCCACATCTTTGCCCACAAACACACATGCTAGAACACACACTTGTGCTAGCACACACACAGACAGAAACAGAGTTAGATCTAACCTTACCTTCATGATATAAGACATCCTCTACAGAAGGCAGAGTGGAAAAAGAGAAAAAGGGGAAAATGTGTATGAAACATTATGATGAGAGAGGAACATGACAGAAAGTTACTAAAGTGCTCAACATGCCCTCAGGATTTCAGTTTTATTTTGTTTGTGCAAAACAGGGAGAATATTCTCGACCAAATGGTTTCCATAGAAAATAAAGAACAAAGGTGTAGAGGGAAACATGACACCAAGGGGGTGAGGGAAACCACACTCATTCACTCTTTTACACTCTATATTTAACAGACTGGCAGAATATGAATAGTAGCAATTTCATGAATTATTTAATTGTCAATTTAATCAAAGTAAACAAGTTCAGAGGTCTGCAACCAGGTTCTTCTCCCTGTGCTTTAGCTGTGACAGTAAAATGAAGAGTTTCTCTTGCTTATCCTGTTTTTAGTTGCAAATGTTTGCAACTTAAGAGATTTTTCTAGATTCTCTTAATTTCATCCCAAAACCTTTTGCAGTTTTTGAACTTCATTCTTAAACTGATGAGCTTTTTGAGGATGTAATCCTGCTATTTTTTTATTTCTAACAAACTTGGCTGTTTCAGAAGGATTCTAATGCCTCATTAAAGCAGCCTTTACTCAGATGAAGTTTGTTTTTGGAGGGGGTTTCCTGCATCAGACTAAAAATATGCAAACCTGTACAGTTTTTTTGTTAACTGAAGTTTTCCAGTTTGAAATAATAAATATGCATATGTTGTGTACGTTTCTTAGAAAAAATGCGTATAAATGATTTGTACATTATGCATTTGCTGTTTTATTTCAAAAGTTTAGGCTAATAAAATGTGAAAAAAAACACGTGGTTCAGAAGACACTGAATGTAATCATTGCAGAGCAGATAAAACCAGCAGTAATAGCTACAAGCATGATTGCTTTCACCCTAATGAACTAATTTAAAATCATTTTAAAAGCAGACTCAATAAAGTGACCACAAGAGGCTGCAGATGAGTGTCTATTATCTCGCAGTGTGGCAGAAAGCTATAACTGAATGTGCTGACATGAAAATGCTTCTGCCGCCCACGTGGACCACAGCGAGAGCATCCTCTCACAACACAAATAAGTAGTTCATAACCACGGCTGAACTCATAGCTCTCGAAAGCCAGTCACACACGCAGACCATGCAGACATTACTGGAATACAATTCCTCAGAACTGCATCACCTCCTGCTACCTGAATCCGTCTCGAAACCGCTCCGTTTTGTTCATGATCATAACGATGCTCGAATAAACGGTGGCAATTAAAAGATTCAAGCTGAGCCCTAAAACTGTTCCAGGAATTAAATTAAAATCTACCACTGATAAGTGAGCTAATGTCATTAGGAATCAGAAAACTCATTAGACAGGGACTTAATTAGGCCACAGTAGGACACTTTAAGATAAGTAAACAGGAGTCTTGGAGTTTGAATAAATCTAAGACAAAAGCAGAAAGAGATGAACCCGGTAAGGAGGGGGGCTTCTTGCAGGTTCTGACTATCACTGATGCATGAGTGATTCTGAGAACTCTGTTTATGCACGTCCACCACTTCCTACCTCTTTGTAGCCGAGTGCAGCGGAGGGCTTGAGAGGCGGAGCAGGACGCAGACAGCTGAGAGACCACGGCTTGCTGATCTTTGGTGGTTCCAGGGGACCTCGGTTGGCAGCGCTGATACTGCCCACATGGGACAGGTGTGTGGGGACGCCCACCATGCTCAGAGGCTTGCCCTCCACATTCTAAACAAGAAAGTCAGAGCAAACGAGTGAAAATAATTTGGGCGTTTTAACCCTCCCACTGTCCTAATGGGTGTGACCCCGCGAGGAAAGTTTACCATTGAGCAGGGTTGATGGTTTATCCCTTGGGTCCATGTGGCAGGGGTGAGGAGTGAGCACCGCTAAATCATCAATCCTGCTCAATGGTCAACTTTCCTCGCGGGGTCACACCCATTAGGACAGTGGGAGGGTTAAAATCTACGCTGGGTTAGAATTTTGGATTTTAGCGCTTTAAAGCAACTCTAAATAGTGTTTAACACTTTAAGCTTTTGCTTTCAAAGTGGATTTCAGTGATTCTTGAGGTAAACACTTTACAGACTTCAGATTGAACAGCACTCTGTGATCCTCTACTGACCAGAAACTTCACTTAACAGTTTTGTGGGAAGAGTAGGTGCACTGGAGGCTTCACGGCAACAGCTGTTTACTCTGCCAATAGCTAACATAAAGGCTAGCAGTTAGCTTTTTCAGTTCGCTGACCATCAATAATGGTGAAGCCAAAGAATTTTGCATGTTTGTTGACATTATGACAGAGCCTGGAAGTAAAAGTTTGATAGTAGTGTCTTTGGGGGGGGAGCAGAGAGCTAAACCAGCGTGAACATCTCCTACACTCGTTTGAGGACGCTAAAGAAAGCTAAAAAAGCCACAGACTGATAGTGACCTGGGTTTGTTGCTACTGGACTTGTAAATAATAGTTTTTTTTCCCAACTGTGTGGATCTTTGTCTTCTTGTATCAGTTGGTTCATGTTAGCGTTATCTCCTTTTAGCGCTAGCTACAGCAGGCTGCAGCAGGCTTGTTTACAGCAGTTATAAATCCACTTGCAAACAGTAGAACAGAAAGGCAGTAAACGTATTTAGTGTTGCTTTAAGCACAGGAGAGTTTTGACTTTAAACATATGTTTAATAGTAGGTGCACGTACCTTTGAGATGGTGCTTGCAGGGCTGCCTCCTTTGGTATAAGGCTGCAGATGCTCCAGCCACTCCTGTAACTCCTGTGTGCTGCTACAGTACACCGTAAAACGATCAATCACGCTTCCTACAACATACAAGCACACACACGTGCACAAACCAGAGCACACTTTAGTGAAAGTGAAACAGGCTTACACATACAGCTATTAAGCCCCACTGATAAAACCTACCAGAAACAATATCCCACACTAAAAACAGACTGTTTAGGCAGTGTATCATGTAAACTTCAAGTAATCTTCTATCTAGATTGATTTGCCCTCTCAAATAAGAAATTAGTCTTTATGGAATTAATAAACAGAGTAAATGTAAAAATAATGTTCTGGCTAAGAACATTCCAACACAAGGTGGTAACTGTAGCCCCAGAATACAGACTTTAAAGTGCGAGTAAAGGTATGGGTGGAGATGTATTTCATCCACACTTCCTGTTAGGAAGACGCTTCTGACAGAGGCGTCGCCTGGTGAACCAAGAGAGCGGCACTGAGGCAGTGATAGACCGCACCCCCCCTCAACCCCCCCGCATGTGCTGTCAGAGTTTCTCAATCTAAAAACGAGTTGTTAACTAGCGTGTGCGCCCTCGCGTGTGCACGCACTCCTACAAGACTTACCCCTCAGGAGAAGAGCAGACACAGATTCTGCAGCATTCTGGAGGATTTCCTGTTAAACGCGATCATTACATGAAAAGGGGAGGACGACATTTTTCAAGGAGGCGAGCGACTCCGAGCGCTGATGTGTCATATCGGCAGGTGAGTTGCTGAGCCAGCTGGAGGTGCGGCTGCCTCACAGTGAAGTACAGCCACGTAGTCATTAGCTGACGTCACGTTTTTCAGCTTAGCCATCAGCCACAGCTGATTATAAATAAATGTGGAGCAAAGTTTTAACCTGAAGATGTAGATCGAATTAAGGTTTTGGGCTGAAATGTTAATTTAAAGTAAGTTGCATTAAACTGCCACACTAATGATTACACATGTGTACAGCACCATTAGACACTCATCTATGCAGGTTATCAGCAAAAAGGTTAATTTAGGCGTTGCTTGCTCTTTAATGAATTAACTCTAAATCCACATCTGTGATGATCATAGATGTACCAACACTCCACCGTGTGGAAAAAAGAAGCTTCTAGGAGGGAGGCCTTCAATGGCACTAGCTTGAGCCTTTTTCCTCAGTAAAGACCTGTTACTGCAGCAAATATGGTAACATCTGGTGTAAAAGCATTCCTTACCGCATTAGATCCAGATTTGTACCACCTCCTTTCATACTTTCCAAACGTTATTTAATTTCAAGAAATTTTATTTTTGCTGTGATGCAAACCTGTAATGTCGAATGCATGATGAGCATTATCTGCATCTTCTGCTTGTCTCGTTACCGTGGTACCCGCTAGTGCCATCCTACCCTGAGATGAAGAAAAGATAAAGGAGGTAAATAAATACATAGTGAATAAATTACAATTAAACTGCATTTTAAAAAATGACAGAAAACGGTTATATCCACCTAGCTAGGTATTGAATTAGCATGTTTACAGAACACTTTGGCAGAAAATAAACAATAAAAAATAAAAACAAAAGATCTATGATAGCTAGGATGCTGTTACAATGAGTATTAATACTTGGGATTTTTATTTAGTATAATATTTAATATGACATTAAACTATTTTAATTTTTTTAATATAACTATTGTTTAGTTATTGATTATTTGTTGACTAAACAAATGAAAAATGACCAAATTCTAAAATAAAATTTTAATAATTCTGTAACATTTGTAATAAGAAACTGTTTTCTTACTAAATACATGATGAGAAACCATCCTTTTTAAGTTTCATGATTGTTGTATCTGTTCTAAACTACAGCTAAGTTACAGTCTGATTTGGTTCATCGACAAAGCTCATACATCTCAGAATAAACTGCCAACAAAAAAAAAAAAAACATTTTAAAGCCCATTCAATAAAAACATTTATTCACTCAGTTAATCAGTTTAATCAAAAGTCTGTCTTCTTATAAAGTTTGTGGTTAAATCTAAAGATCCAGTTCACTTACAACTTTTAAGGCTATTTTCAAGTCTTTCTATACATTATCAAAGGTGTGGAACACTGAAAACACATTTGTAATGATTATAATATTTCTGATTATAATGGGTCACTGAGTTTTTCATGCAGGCAGAACATGAAAATAGTCTCCTACACCTATCTCCTGCAATAACTTCTGATAAGAAAATAAACAATGAAACTCAAGGATTAGAAAATCCTAACAGATCTACATCACACTGTCACGTAACATTCACGGACTCACCTAGCCTGGCCAGCCAAGCCCCATACTTCCTTATGGGAAGCATTAAGGTTGGTTTATGCTTGACGCGAACGCGAGGTTCGCACGGCTCCACGCAGCGAAATTGCGTCATTTTAACAACCACGCACCTCCACCGCGCCTCCGCACGGCCCAAAATTTCTGCAACGTGCACCTAGGAAATTTTCTAACCACGCGGATGGTCGGACGCAGAAAAACATGGCAGACCGGCAAGAACTAGTATGGCAGAGGTTTGTAAATACAGACATTTTTATGATTCAGCTCTCAAAGATCACCGTGATCAACATGTTGTTAATAATTCTTGGAGAGAAATAGCTCGCACTGTCGGAAAAGATGAGGACGCTGTTAAAAAAATGCTGGAATGCCATGTTGTAAACAACAGTAATTTTTACTTCTACTATGGTGTAATGCCGTAGAGCTACATGCTGCCACCTACAGTTTGGGAGAATATTGGCTCACCGCAGAGACGAGCCGCACAAACCATAAACGCTGCGAGTTGTGAAGCGCGTTCCATCCGCGAGCTGCATCACCAAGCGGAAAGTAAATGCGTCAAGCATAAACCAAGCTTTAGGTCTAGAAACTCTTCTATTCAAATAGCCCCACCCCCTGAGAATTCTAACTGAGCCATTCAGCACTGAGCAGTGTACATCACACACCGCAAAGCTCAGTTTCTCATAAACAAAGAAGATGGAGTCTGAGGCGGAGTTCACTTACTTGGACACGTTTTTAAAACCACGTTCAGAATCACATTGCTGTTATCCAATCAGAGGCGAGATATTCAAATATCAGGAAATAAGGCTCCAAATCCTGCGTGTCCAAGTAATTTAAAAGCCCTCTACTGATGTGCTATTTGTTAGTTCCTGAAACAAGTGCAACTGACCCCCCCCCCCCCCCATCTTTTCTGTAAGACCTTGTGTTTAAATGTGAGTCTCATGTGCAGCACAGATCATCTCACCTGATAAATAAAGCCACTCATCCGAGGACTGGTAGAAAGTATAACTAACACATTAGGGAATAGCATCAGGTAGCGCTCCTCTCTTTCCTGGGAAGAAGAAAATAATAAGCATTGTATGTTTGCAGATCAGACACCAGAAGCTGCTACTGCTGCAGATGAGCGGCTGTAAAATTTTCTAACATCCAGTAAGTCAGAAAGTGTTTGTGCTACTTTAAGTTCCTAAAGCTAGAAGAGCAGCTGATGCTGAGAATTAATTGCCAAAAGCACTTCTACACCTGCTGAAAGTGGTTGCCCATGACTGACAGTTGGTTTACATAAAGGCCCAACTTAGGGTTTCTTCCAACCACTGCTTCAAATTCAGCCCCTGCACAGAAACTCCACAAGAAAGCTAAGTCTGCATTATCCCCCACATCTGGCCTACTTAGGTTTGTGTTGTGTTGCTTGTGGGGGATATTACAGAAATGGCAATGAAGGAGACGAGCTAGCACACACTTTAATAAATAGTGGGAACTTGTGGAAATCAAAATACTTTGTGCAGCATGAAGATGGTGGAAGGAAACTAAATGCGTCTTGGTTTTATTTGTGTTGGGATCATTTCCTGTAGTTCAAGTATTCCCTTAGAAGCAAGAAAAGTCACAGCCTACAACATGTTTATCAGCTGATTCTGCTCTGATCCATCCAAACCGGTCTCTCACCTCGTTAGAACCACTCCTCACATGAACCTGGGACGTGTAGACCACTTGACCCAGACTCTTCATGCTGTCCCCCTCCCAGCCCCGAACTGGCTCCGACAAGATCTGCAGCTCTAGATTTTTACGCTTTCGAAGGTCCTGAGACTGTAACTAAACACACAGTTGCACATATTAATACCATACCAAGTTTATTTCTATAGTACACTTTAAAACAGTGGTTAGAGCTGTTGCCTTGTAGCGAGAAGGTCCTGGGTTCGCTTCCCGGCCTGGGATCTTTCTGCATGGAGTTTGCATGTTCTCCCTGTGCATGTGTGGGTTCTCTCCGGGTACTCCGGCTTCCTCCCACAGTCCAAAAGCATGACTGTTAGGTTGATTGGTCTGTCTAAATTGTCGTTAGGTGTGAGTGTGCATGATTGTTTGTCCTGTGTGTCTCTGTGTTGCCCTGCGATGGACTGGCTCTCTGTCCAGGGTGTACCCCGCCTGATTGCCCATTGACCGCTGGAGATAGGCACCAGCCCCCCCCCCCCATGCAGGCCCGTTTGATCCCTATTTGCATCTTGAGTCTTTTAGAGAGAATATTGTGATTAACTATGTCAAAATCTGTGGAAAGGTTGAGAAGTAAGAGGAGGATATTACAGCCTGATTCTGTGGCCACCAGTATGTTGCTGTGCAAGCAAATATGGGCGGATTCTGTGGCGTGCTTAGGCCTGAAGCCAGATTGAAAAGGATCTAAGAGTGTTCCTCAAGACAATGTAGAAAAGGGTTATGGACTACCTTCTCTAGGAATTTGAATTTTTGGACATGCAGACAACTAATGTGAAAAATTACAAGAAATGTTAACATTTTTGTTTATTTTGTTTAATAATCCGTTTCTTACCTTATTAAAAAAACTCAATGAGTGACTTTTTCTCTATTATCTTCATTATCTTTTAAGACTGCACCAGCTCCACCAACTTTGTGCCATTTTCATGTTTTATTCAGCTTTCAGATGTATGTCAGCTAACCTGTATCATAAAGTTGCACATTTTCAGGTGTTATGTGGGGACTCTCCCCTTCAAATGAGAAAAAATGACAGTGCAACATCTATGGTTTTTCCACTGCTTCTGTAGACTAGCACGATGGAGCTGTTCCTCAGAGCCTACCCACCCAACCGCACGTTCAAAACACACACAAAAATTGAATTTGCAAATGAAAGCAGGCAGCGCCACACGAGGTTTGTCTTCCCGTTTACTGTGAAGCTGCACTGAACAGATGAGTGAGTCACTTCTGTTCTTACAAGGAACTGAAGAGACACAACGGGTAAAGAGTATCTCAAAGTGTTGTTGACTCAGGTGCAACGCTGTCGCTAGGTTTGGATCCACTTCTTTTAAGATGGCATTTCGATTCACACCTACAGTAGGAACAACGTAATCATTTCACATACGGCGAAGGCAAAGATCACTTTCATTAGGACTGAAAAGTGTTACGATAAAACAAGAACTGGCTGCAAATCTTTTAATTATTAAAAAAGCATTTGATTGTATCGTGGTCTGTTTTTATCAAGCATAACTGAATTAGAGCTCTATAGTTTGTTTAAACCATGTTCTTACATTTGACACAGATTTAAATGCATTAAATATGTATTTCAGAAAAGTGAGAAACAGCAAACAGGGAGAGGGATGTAGAGTCTAGTATTTCAGGGTTAGTTTATTTCTCCCGTTGGTCATTTCTGTCTCTTTGCTGTTTTTACAATTCTGTATTTTGTGACCCTAAAGTTTATTAAGAAAATTAAACAACAAGAAATTAAAAAAAATTGTAGAGGAATGAAAAAATAACTAATTCAATGGAAAGTTTGTTCTGTACTGATTAAATTAATAAAGATGCAACACAATATTAGGTTAAGCAGCCACCTAATCCCAGAAACCCACACTTACCAGGAGGTTCTTGAATGCTGCTGTTGCCTTTATGATATCTGTATAATCTGGGTGAGCTTCCTGTAATCCCAACAAACATCAAATCAAAACAGTAGAAGAGGATCAGCATAACTTATAGTAGAATAATAAGATAATACTTCTTATTATCATCATTACTGTAAAACACAATGGTTGTGCAACACAGATTAATCATATAATACTTTGCAGAGCAGGTTGGCATGGCTGTGCTGCAGAGTGAACATCAAAATGCTGTGGCTGTGTTTAATGCACTCTACAATAGTGCAAAGGATCTCACTAATGTATTAAAACATGTCTACAATGAAAGATATACATGAAAATTGAAGTAGAGGCCGGCCGATATATTAAGTATTTTCTATATCGGCCATCATCCAAAATAGTTTTAAAAGCAGAAAAAACAAAAATCTGGCACCTCTGTGGCCAACTGCCACCACTACTAGAGTGAAGAAAGGACTCAAAGGATCCCAACACACCATTTTTTATGTTTCAAGTATTTTTTATATTTGAAGTTCAATAAATATTAAGAAATTTATGGACTTATTTAATTTGCATTGCACACAGTGAGTGTTCAGTTGTCTTTCACAATCAATGCGCTGCTAAAACGTTTATATCGGCTTTAATAGTCGGCTATCGGCAACAAAACTCATTTAAAAATCGGTATCGGCCTTAAAAAAATAATAACATATTGGTCGGCCTCTACATTGAAGTGCATGTAGCAGCAGAGAAGAATTATGGGATAGCATTATGTCACTCCATCCATTAAGCAGAAGCCTTTTAAATTTGATGAATAAATAAACAACAGGCTGGAAGCTGAAGCCTAAGTTCTCAATGACAGACTTTTTTTTTTCAGGACACAAACAAACAAATGTTCTCTGTATCCAAATACTACACCCTGATGTTCGCCTGTACCTCCACGTGTCTCTCTAGCTCCTGCAGCAGCGTTGGGTATTTGTCGAGCCTCAAGAAGGGCTTACTGAGGCTGGTGGTCAGAGTCAGGACTCCTGGAGCGCTGGCTCCCAAGTTCTCCATGAACTTGTCCAGTTCCTCTCTGTCAAAACACATATAATACATAAATCAGGCAGGTTTGGTGCAATGTTTCCAGAATCTTAGAAATGTTGAAAAATGTTCACGTACATTTCAGGCATGTTGATTTCTGATGTTACAAGCATCTGAGCATTTTTGACCCTAAAGTTAATCTTCATGTACACAGATAACACATTTAAAAACTGTAACTATCAAGCCCAAGCCCCAAAACAATATTTTATATGTAAATTTTAAGTTTAAAAGCCCAGAGTGGTTTGATAAACCAAAAGCAACACACACACAAACACAAATAAATGGCCATCATGCATGATGATTTGTGGTATTTGTGCACTTGTGAAGATGAAGCACATTATCTTTATTATTACTGCACAAGGAACCATAGCTGAAACCCGTTAACCCTAGAGAAGGTCTTCTTTACTTCTGCTAAACAACACTGAACCACATTCTACCTGTTGAGGGGTCTTAATGTCCAAAAATGTGTGTGAACTGATGTCACACACACACCTGTAAAAAAAAGAAAAAAAAAAGATCCCAAACAAGTGCGAGACTAAATCTATTTGATAAGCAAAAACAATGAAAAACTGCATCAGCAACAACGACTCTGCTCCAAAAGCAGGTCTCACCACCCGGGCACAGCTTTAACTCAACTAACTGCTGTCATCTGAACACGTGAAAATACCATCACGGTTACGAGTTTAACAGGAAAAACAAAAAACCCACTAAGTTTCGTTGTGTCAGTTCAGTGATAAACATGAAGCAGGCTTTGAAAGGAACATGCAGTTTTCCACGATCCACAGCTTCATTCACACAATGTCCTGTGACTGCCACTAGTGAAAACTAGTAAAGCAGTAGCATCAGAGACGCAAATGTGCTTACTGTGAAAAAAGCAGCAGCCTTCCGGGCTTTCAGAAATAACCACAACTCTATATATCCTGTCAACAGTCAACTTCCTGTGTGTAACTCAGACTGTTCCATCTAGACGACTCCCACCATTATGGCTTCATTTGAGCTGTACTGTAGAGATATTCTGTTATGTTTATAACAAGTTAATTACTCCATGTAAAAAACACTGAGTGATAATGAATAAGACTTGTAATGGTAGGAAGAGAAACCTTCTAGAGACACTAGTTTCTAGAGTTTAGCATCCAGAGCTTTTAAAGAAGGCAATGCTGACACCTAGTGGATAGAAGCAACACTACAACACAACAGAAAGCCACATGCCCCCTTAATGCCAACTAAAACTATTTAGAAATATTTTAGGCAGGTGCCAAGAGACTAACTTGCATTATTAATCTACATTTTGACACCAGGTTAAATGTCATGACTGTTCTCTGGTGAGATTATAATCCAGTTAGACGTGCTGTTTTGTGAGGAAGTCTGACTTTTGATTGGTGAGGATGCAGACAGCTGAGGGGTGGCTGGAACAGTAGCTCAGGTACAGATTCTTGATCTGATTCATCAGGTTTAAATAACAGGCGGCCACTCGCTGCTGGCTCTCTGGGACTCTGCAGAGTAAAAAAAAAAAAAACAAAGAATGAGGAGACGAAAAGTATTCACAGCATCTGACTAACGGTTTATTGACTTTTACTTAAAAGCAACACTAAAGAGTCTTAAGACTTTAGGCTATTGCTTCCAAACTGGTTTCAGTGGTTCTTCAGCCACAACCTTGAGCAGCTTCACATTGGACAGCACTCAGTAGAAACTGCATTTAACAGTTTTGTGCTGCGGGTACGATTTTTCTTTATGAGGAACTTGCCCTGAGTTTCACTGTGTTCTTTAAACCTCATTTCAGGTATGTGTGTTAACTTGTCAACACAGGGGCGGGTAGGTGCAAAAGTGGACTTGCTTTATGGCAATAGCTATTTAATAGGGATGCACCGAAAATTCGGGCACCAAAAGTTTTCGGCCGAAAATTTTCATTTCGGTGCACCACTACGATTTACTGTGCTGGTAGCTAACATACAGGCTAGCAGTTAGCTTTTAATGTTCACCAATGGTCAAAAAAAATCACATGTAGAAGAAATGGAAGAATTTTTTTTTTTGTTGGCATCATGGCAAAGTCTAGAAGCAAAAGAGAGCAATGTCTTATGAGATGAAGCAAAGAGCTAAAACCAGAGTGAACATCGGCACGGCCTACACTTATTAGGGAGCTGAAGGAGGCTACAAAATCACAGCATGATGGTGACTTGGCTTTTTTGCCACTGAACTAATATTTGTTGTCCAACTAATTGAGCTTTTTACTTCATGATATATTCTCATATCAGTTGGCTCATGTTAGCATTAGCACATTGAAGACAAAGAACTCTTTCCTTTAATAAATCAGAAGAACTCTATTTTTAATAAAGCTAATCAAACAAAGTGTTAGTCCAATAATAAATGTGAACCAATCTGTGAAATGACAATGTTATGATCAGTAGTATGTTAATAAGTAATATAACTTTAAACTAGCTGCACTAGACATTCTCATCCACGTAATGCTTAAAGTCACATGACACATTTCCTTTTTCAGATCCAATCAGAACCTTCCAGATCTGACGCGAGGCGTGGTTTTGTCGGTGCTTGGTAAATCCCCTCTTGTTGTCCCTTTTTTGATTTGACCGTAAATCAAAACATCCAAATTATAAAACTATGCCCACGTCATCTTAAATTCATTTAAGCATTCTAGAGAAGTTGTCAGAATGGCCAATCCGTAACTTTTCTCTTAAAGCCGAAAGAACCTAACGACAAGCTGGATTAAATCTCTTGCATGTTCCACCTGCTGCAACGGTTCCTTTCGGAATAAAAGCTGAACCATCGACCCCTTTTTGGGTCTCGCTAGATACCAAAAAACTGTCGTGACCTGGGAGTATCTCAAGACAGGACTGGTCGGCAGCCGCTGCTGTGCTACAGGCTTCGGCTCCAGAAAGGTCCAAGCTGGACCTCTACACCTCCTAATCTAGACGGGGACTTCCGCTGGGTATGTAGACCGACAGAATGGCGTCTCAATGTGTGTTATAATCTCCAGACCAAAGCTTAGAGCGAAACATCATCTTCACTCCCATCAGAACTAGTCATTTCTCCAGATTTGCTGGTTCTGAACAACACTCTACACACCATCCATCTTGCCTCATTCACACCGAGATCCATCCATCACACAGAGTGTTGAGTGTTTAAAGTTAGTCTAGTTTTAATTTGTTTAGAAATAAATCTTTAAACTTTTAAACCTGACTCTCTTTCTTTTGTCTCTGAGTTAATACGAAGTGGTTACATAATCCCTGCAATAAAAAGTTCCAATCTTCTGGTTTAAGTAATCCAAAGGTCCATAAGATTGATTTCATATTTCCTATGGAATCTCACATTTTATGGTTCATTAAATAATATGTAAATGTAATCGTTACAATTCATTAGGTTGATCTTCGACTTTCACAACTTACTTGGTACATTCTTCCAGAGCTAAACACAGGCCCTGTTGGAAGGTGAGGATCTCCTCCAGGTTTCCACACAAGGTGCTGCTGTCTGCACTGCTTAATCTAAACATACAAGATGCAATCATCAGAAAAGAAAAGTATGAACTATTTAAAATATATTCAACCATGTGATGCATACAGTCATGGTCAAAAGGCAGTTGATCCTTTCCCATTCTCAGATCTTACAGATCACAGTCCTTCAGATCAAAGCAACCTCTGATGAACACCATCATTTTTGTAGCTTTATGTCTACAAAAATGATGGTAAAACCACTTTCAGCAGGTTGTCACATCTCTGAAGATTAACGGTCAAAGTTATTTAATTATTACAACACAGCTTCAGCTCACTGGGGTTTCTGTAGTTCCATGGCAGGAATCTGTGAGCCTGGGGCCCAGGTTTAACTCAGCCATTGCAGTACAGCATTGTTTTTTCTTTACAAAAAGGGTGTGTATTGGCTAGAATCTGGCATTACGATATATATCAGGGGAGACAATACGATATATTGTGATACTAAAAGCCAGATGATATTTACAATTTTAAGACGTAATATAATTGGAAAACGCCACCAAGGCACACTCGATGTTATTGAAAGATCTTGTTTCGCCAGAACGAACGCAGTAAAACTGCTTCCACCTAGCAGTCAGAGTTTGAAGTGCACCACACAAATATTGTGCATATAAATTCAATATGCTATAATGAATATAAATTCATCAATATGCTGATGCTGATTTCATGACCAAATTTCAACCCAGCTTTTACTGCAGATGCAAACATTAGAATGTCACAGAGGAGTTTATAATTGACAAAATGTCTGCAAGGGTCTGATGCCTTTAAGTTTAAGTTCTAATCATCAACTCTCCACCGCCATGCTTCATTGACACGTGTATGCTGAGAGGTTAATTTTATTTTTAGTCATAATCTGATCAGATGCAACTATGCATGTTTATAAGCTGTGCCACTTTGTTGCTTTAAAGGTGCATTATGTAGAAATGAAGTAAAAATGACATCCTGTGGTAAAATCAGGTTACTGCAACTACTTTAAATTACTCTGGAGCTTTTTGCTGGCCATCGCAAATGACAATTGCCAGTGCTGCAGTATTAGCTCGCAGGAGACACGGCAACCCCACACTCACTGATGGTAAACAGTAGTTACGTCCCTCCTTCCTTTGTTTTGAAAGGAGAAAAACTGACAATCCCCACAGCTGGATATGAAATATGTTTCAGTATAACCTTCCTTACAAAATTACTGAAACATCAGACTCTTTTGAGATTTTCTCACTGTAAAATTCTCACTATACTCTTACATACTGCTTCTTTGTGAGAGGAGTGATGCTTTTTTTCCAGTCAAAACTTCCCAACAGCTTAAACTAACCATGTTACTCCATGGGGCCATTTGCAGCACTCAGATTCATTTAGCACATTTTATGCATTTCTGTTGAGGAACTTTGTTTCTCCAGTAGGATGGTGCTGTAGATTCACACAGTTCAACATTTTGATGTGTATTGTTACTAGGGGTGTAACGGTACGCTAAAATCGTATTTGGTTTGGTCCCGTGTTTTAAAGAGTTTGGTTCAATTCATTTTTGGTACATTATATTTATTTATTTAATATCTGAAGCAGCTCCTATAGTGACCAGAACCAGGTGTCATCACAGGCTGCTGATCTAGCATGATGTTTTTAATTATTTCACAGGTTATTTATGCAGCTATGAGTGTCACCACAGACAGACAAGTGTGTTTGACTGTTGATGCTCCTGTCTTTATTTCTGCAGCGAGCCTTAAAAACTCGCCTCACACCGCCCAGAGTTTCTTCTTTAAAACTTGTTTTAAATAACGAGCTTCCTTCGTGCCGTATTTGTTGTTGTAGGATGAAAACTTCAGCAGATGTGTTTGCTTACATTTTAGCCACTGTGTGCCTGCAGTGTGAGAGAAGGCAGGAGCGACACAACGCTCCGTTCAGCATCTCTACAGGCTCCACAGCAGCAGCGACAGCCAGCTGGTTTGATCCGCTCTGAAAGGTGTTGTTCAGAATTTGCAGATCACATTTTTTAAATGGAGATCGGGCACATACAGCCATCATGCGTCACTCAATACAGCGTCAGTGCGGAAACTCGCCTAGGAACCTTTATCTGCTGCACTTAAATCACGCAAATAAAAATTCATTATTTAGCGGAAAAAATAAACCGAAACAGTTCGCACGTGGACCAAATCAAACAGGCCGAACCAAAACGGTTCAACACCTCCCGTGAACCGTTACACCCCTAATTGTTACTCATTGACAAAGTCAAATACATTTTTTGTTACATGAAGACTTTGGATGATTTTTGCCCTTGCTTTGAAAGGTTTGGACACTCCGGATTTAAACCTTAATTTACCCACCACAAACTTTAACTTTTAACATACTAACGCCTGTAGAGTTGCTTTGTGTGTGACCCCACTGACACTAACACTGAAAGAACTTGCTGTGGTTGAACTGAGATTAAACATAAATGTGTAACACCAGAAAATTATTAGGTTATACTATGATGAGAAACCACTTTATTCATGTAAATACTGAGTTTAAAGCAGATGTACATAACAAAATATTTACGATGACCGTAGTAGATTAATTAAATGCTTTTTAAAAAATGAATTTGAGTGATCCACCCAGCTTTAGGACTGGATTTAAACACACATCAAATATTGCTTCGCTACAACTTGGTCATTTGTCAGTGACTCTGCATTGAAACCAATTGAGCAAAAACACAATCAAGGTTTTAGATAGGAAACCACCCTTTTACAACATCTATAAAGTTTAAATTTTTTTTTTTTGTACTTTCGAAATTTTAATTTAAAAATTCTTGCCTCATTTACAAATCTCTCACAGGCCAAGCCCCAGCACCTTTAACAGATATTTTTAAATGGCAAAGACCCATCTGAGAGACTAGGTCAGTGATTAGAGGGGACGGCAAGATTAATTTCAGGAAAACCCTGTTTGCACAGAATACGCTCACTCAGGGGATGCAGTGAGTTGACAGAAGAGACAGCTCCTCTTTCAATTCCTTTAAAAGCAAATTAAAGTCTCTGTAGTATTTCTTTCTTGATTTAGTGTAATTTGCTTATTTTGCTAATGTTTTAACCATGCTTTGTATTCCATCATGTTTCATCTATCAGGTAATGTGTGAGTGCCTATGGGACTACGGATGGAAACTAGCTCTTAGCTAACTCTGGCATATTTACATTTTATGTACGTTCAGCATCAATATACTTTGTTCCATTCAAATAAACAAATCAGATTTAAATAAATAAAACATCTTCAGCTTCTAATCTTACTTGTCGCTGGCTTGCAGAGGTCGCAGGTAACAACTCAACACTGTTTGCAGTTCTTTAACAAACTCCCGCTCATGCTCCAGGATGTCTTGTACCACCTGGAGTAAAGCAACACAACAAAGAAAATACAAAATAGCATAAAAAAGGATGTCCTGAATGTAGGGTAGAAAAATAAGACAAACAATAACCGTCTGTCTTTGAAATGTATTTTCCTTTTTTAAAAGACTTACAATCATACAATGTCACTAGTATGGTTTTAATATTTTGCATTATTTATTTTACCAGAGATTGAACTGCTGAAGGCCATAAAGTCAACAATTGCCATGAAGTTAAGGTATTTTATCCGTACGGTATAACGTACCACGTTGTAGTAGTTCTTGGTCAGCTGAGTTGCTTTAGGAGACAAAGACTTTTCTGGAAATCAAACACATGATCAGAAGAATTTCAAAAAACTGATTCAAAACTAACGTAGGATCCATTTTAACAGTAGGATAAAGTAGTTTTAATTATATTTAATGTAATCATCATTTTAGGACCTCTGCCACCATGACATTGAGTTATCATACGACCCAGACAGGACACTCCAACTCACCACAGGGTTTGATCTCTCGGACGTAGTTACTGGGAAACCAGCCTGTCCTGCCATTGAGCGTGCCCTCCCACCATCCTCCCTCCTCCTGCCGCGTCACCAGGATCATGTCACCTTTACCGAACGACAGCTCATCCTCGTTGTTCTGCTTGAAGTTGAATCGAGCCTTCACCACCAGCTGCCCACCACCCCCATTCTCAGACATTTCCTGTAACGGGAGTCATCCGCGTCAACCAGTAAAACAAATACAAATCATATGTTGGATTAATTTTTCTGTGTGAAATCCCGCTTTAGATGAGTGGTTTCCAATCTGGGGTCCATGATCCCCGAGGAGGTCCACACAAGGTTGCAGGGGGGTCCCAACAATTATGTCTGTGTTGAGGTAGCAAAGTTACCACGATTGTATTTGTAAAAACTACATGTATAAAATCCCAAAAACCCACGCAAATGTTTAATAGTTCAGTTCATTTGTGATTGTAATATTTTTTAAGAAAACAAGTGCTTTTTAAGTAAAATAAGGTTGTATTTGGTGATATTTAATGTTTTTAGCATGCTTTATAAAAAATACTCAAGATAGGCCAGATGTTTGCATGCAGGTAAAGTGGATGTCATTCTTTTTCATAATGAGTAGGTAAACGTCTCTTAAAAGAATAAAATTAAATGTGGGCAACAGTGGCTCAGTCTGTTGCTGTTGTCGTGTCCTTGGGCAAGACACTTGCCTGCTGATGGTGGTCGGAAGGACCGGTGGCGCCTGTGTACAGCAGACTCGCCTCTGTCAGTGCGTCCCAGGGCAGCTGTGGCTACATCGTAGCTCATCACCACCAACGTGTGAATGACTGATTGTGTTGTAAAGTGCCTTGGGGGGGTTCCAGGACTCAAGAAGGTGCTATATCAAGTACAGGTTAAATACAGACCATTTCCCATTTAGCCATGAAGCTGTAAAGCCTGTATAGAGGCGATTAGATGATTTTAACACGATAACGGGGTCTAGAAAGGTCCAAATAACAATAATAAAAAGGGCATTTTCAGATGCCTTTCCTTGTAAGTTATAAACACATTATTTTAGGCTCTGTTTCTGATCAGCCTCTGTTTACAAAAATGTCCTAAAGGATTGATTTGCTAAAGGCTAGTCAGCCAGGACCACAGTGTATTGCTGCTGTCTGAAAACTGTTGCAATCTTGAAATTTCTATGGCAATTTGTGAGCTTGAACAGTCGCTCCTCCTTGAACCGTAACCTTATCGTGGTGGAGGAGTTTGAGTGCCCTAATGATCGAAGGAGCTATGTTGTCTGGGGCACTTTGTGCCTCTGGTAGGGTCTCCCATGACAAATTGGTCTTAGGTGAAGGGTGAGACAAAAACGGTTCAGAGGATCTTTCATGGATGTAAATTCAAAGAGTCGGAGTACCCAGCCCGGAGGGTTACCGGGGTCCCACCCTGGAGCCAGGCCTGGGGTTGGGGCCTGTGAGTGAGCGCCTGGTGGCCGGGCTTTCGCCCATGGGGCCCGGCCGGGTCCGGCCCGAACCGGATACATGGGCTCATCCAACTGTGGACCCACCACCCGCAGGAGGAACCTGAAGAGTCCAGTGCAATGTGGATCGAGTGGCAGACCAAGGCGGGAGCCTTGGCGGTCCAATTCCTGGACAAGGGAAACTGGTTTTTGGGACATGGAACGTCATCTCGCTGGCGGGAAAGGAGCAGGAGCTTGTGGCAGAGGTTGAGCGGTACCGGCTAGATATAGTCGGACTCACCTCGACACATAGCATTGGTTCTGGAACCCAAGTCCTTGAGAGGGGTTGGACACTCTCCTTTGCTGGAGTTGCTCTGGGTGAGAGGCGGAGGGCTGGGGTTAGCTTTTTGTTAGCCCCAAGACTCTCTGCTTGTGTGTTGGGGTTTACCCCGGGGGACGAGAGAGTAGCTTCCCTGCGCCTTCGGGTCGGGGAATGGGTCCTGACTGTTGTTTGTGCTTATGGGCCAAATATCAGTTCAGAGTACCCACCCTGGCAGCAGCGGAATGGTGGAAAGAATAATTTGAGGAGCTCCTCAATCCCACCTACGCGCATTCCGAGGAGGAACCAGAGCCGGGAGACCTGGGGATGGACTGTCCAATCTCGGGGTTAGAAGTTGCTGAGGTAGTCAAACAACTACACAGCGGCGGAGCCCCGGGGGTGGATGAGATTCGTCCTGGGTATCTCAAGGCTATGGATGTTGTAGGGCTGTCATGGTTGACACATCTCTGCAACATTGCGTGGTCATCAGGGGCAGTTGCTGTGGAGTGGCAGGCCGGGGTGGTGGTCCCCATCTTTAAGAAGGGTGACCTGAGGGTGTGTTCCAACTATAGGGGGATCACACTCCTCAGCCTCCCTGGAAAAGTCTACACCAATGTACTGGAGAGGAGGGTCCGATCGATGGTTGAATCTCAGATTGAGGAGGAGCAATTTTGTTTTCGTTCTGGCCGTGGAACTGTGGACCAGCTCTATACCCTTGCAAGGGTGATGGAGGGGGCATGGGAGTTTGCCCAACCAATCCACATGTGTTTTGTGGATTTGGAGAAGGCTTATGACCGTGTCCCCAGGGGCACCCTGTGGGAGACGCTCCAGGAGTATGGGGTGGGTGGCTTTCTGTTAAGGGCCATTCAGTCCCTTTACCAGAGGAGCGTGAGTTTGGTCCGCATAGCCGGTAGTAAGTCGGACCTGTTCCCGGTGAGGGTTGGACTCCGCCAGGGCTGCCCTTTGTCACCGGTTCTGTTCATTACCTTTATGGACAGAATTTCTAGGCGCAGCCGTGGTGTGGAGTGTGTCGAGTTTGGTGGCAGGAGAATCTCGTCTCTGCTTTTTGCGGATGATGTGGTCCTCCTAGCTTCATCCAGCTCTGACCTTCAGCCCTTGCTGGGTAGGTTCACGGCCGAGTGTGAAGCGGCTGGGATGAGGATCAGCACCTCCAAATCTGAGACCATGGTTCTCGACCGGAAAAGGGTGGCTTGCCAACTCCGGGTCGGGAGAGAGGTCCTACCTCAAGTGGAGGAATTTAAGTATCTTGGGGTCTTGTTCACGAGTGAGGGTAGGAGGGATCTGGAGATCGACAGGCGGATTGGTTCGGCGTCTGCAGTGATGCGGACCCTGAGCCGATCTGTCGTGGTGAAGAGGGAGCTGAGCCAGAAAGCCAGGTTCTCGATTTACCGGTCGATCTACGTCCCAATCCTCACCTATGGTCATGAGCTTTGGGTAATGACCGAAAGAATGAGATTGCGGATACAAGCGGCCGAAATGAGTTTCCTCTGTAGGGTGGCCGGGCTCAGCCTTAGAGATAGGGTGAGGAGCTCGGACATTCGGGAGGGACTCGGAGTAGAACCGCTGCTCCTCTGGATCAAAAGGAGTCAGTTGAGGTGGTTTGGGCATCTGGTCAGGATGCCTCCTCGACGCCTCCCCAGGGAGGTGTTTCGGACATGTCCTGCGGCCCCTGGGTCGACCCAGGACATGTTGGAGAGGTTACATCTCCAATCTGGTCCGGGAACGCCTTGGGGTCCTGCCGGAGGAGCTGGTGGAGAAGGCCGGGGAGAGGACGGTCTGGATCTCCCTAGTTGGGATGCTGCTACCGCGACCCGGACCCGGATAAGTGGAGGAAGACGATGACGACGACGAATTTGTGTTGTTTTATAAAATTTGACACCTCCGTTCTGTTTGCATTGCATGATTACTTACATTCAACCCAGTGCTTATTTATAGATTTGTATTTGGAGCAGCGTAAAGCACATCCTGTACATCCAGGAAACATTCAGCTAGAGTTTCTAAACACTTCTGCAAAAATTAACCATGCAACAGAAATCTAACAGCAGTGTGAAGATAAATAACTGAACACTTGTATGAACTACTGAGCACATCTGATGATTTAGAGATTTTTAAAGGGAGGAACCAACTTTAGTTCATCACTATTGTTAATTTACTGAATGCCAAATTTGTTGTTTTCCCTGGAACAACACCAAGTAGATTAGATAAAATTGGATTAGACTGGATTAGATTAGAGACCTAACTTTATTAATCCCTCTGGATGTTGTAATAGACCAGGGGTGTCCAATCCTGGTCCTGGAGAGCCGGTATCCCTCAGCAGGTTTTACATTAACTATGTTTCAACACACCTGATTTCAATAGCAGGTAATTAAGATGCTTCTGCAGAGCTTGATAAACTGCTGCACAGGTGATTCAACCACTGACTAGCATGATGGAGCAGAGAAACCACATAACCTGTTGGATACTGGCTCTCCATGATAAGGATTGGGTTCCCCTGGTTTAGATAATTCAGTTTCCAGCAGTAGCGCATCCTCGGAAAGACTGCTTCAAAAAGAAATACATGAAAAGCAACTACAAATAAACATATAAACAACATAAAAAATGTGAAATATAGCAAAAGCATTTACAGTACATCTTGATAAAATTGGTATAGTTACCCGTGATGTCAGAGGTTGTGTGTTCTCAGACAACAACTCAACACAAAAATTTGTGAATTCTTAAAAAAGGCAAAAAACCAAAGACTGTTGAATCCTGCAGTAACATAAACTGCAGGGAATTGGACTGGCAGCTTTCCAGTTAGAAAACAAGTTCGACAAACATGAATAGCAACAGGCCAATTTCCCAGCAGACACTTTAACTCGAACCAATGAGACAAGTACAGGTGTAATAACGAGAACAGAGTGATCGAGGAAATAGGAAAGAGGAAATTCTGCCTTTTCGCGTGATGAACAGAACCAGTTTTGCACAAGTGCAGATGCCTAGTAACTGTGATGTTTGCAGCCCTCACTAGAGAACCTGAGCTCATCCTGAGTCTAAATATTTTGCTATGAGATGAGTCAAGTTCACTGCTGAAACTTTAAAGAGTAAGTCACTCCCAAATCAACCTTTTTTGCTCATAAACTGTATAATTGTGTCTAAAGCAGTGTTTCCACCATAGGGAGCCCAAGTCTCCCCCTTCGGCTCATGGGTCCCCGGAAGAACGAAAAAATGAATGCAAGTCAATGGAGCTAAAACTGCTGTTTTCTAATGCCAGTTTAATGTGTGAAATGCTTTGAGATGACTCTTGTCATGATTTGGTGCTAAATAAATAAACTTGAATTGAATTGAATTAAACTGCTTTGCCTTACGCCTTAGATCGCACATATGCTGTAATTCAATTTAAATGAAAAGTAATGTGTGTTTCGACCACGCTTGTCACGTACTTTGAGATTTATCAGCTCATAAAAGTTTGTTATTAGCATGACTACACATCAGACGTCTGTAAGTTGCATGTATGACGTCACCACAGAATCTCCTCTTCCCTACTACGTCCCAAATGGCCAGATTTATGGTGGTCCTTTCCTCCTGAAAGAAGGATTTGAAGTTTGTTGAACTTGCAACCACTGGACCATGCAGGGGCGTAGCAAGCTCGTTTTAAGTGTGGGTGTTGAGATTATATACACACATATACAGGGTTATTTCATCTTAATTTCTATCATCTTTGGGTTTAGTGCATTCACTTACTATTAATTATAAAATTATAAATAACAGGTCACTACAGTCTGGGCATAGAAAGTGTTTCTAGGAACAGAAGCTTGTTGGCAGCAGCTCACCTGTTCCACTGACAGGTGAAACCCTCTCATCAGCAGCAGGTGATCAACAAACACCAGCCCAAAAAATAATAATAATAATAAAAAAATTTAAAAAACACCGACCTCAAACTGGGCCAGTGGGAATTTCCCCAGTCATGGCCTGGTTCCACCCGCCGTCTCCATTAGACATCAGAGCGTGGCTCCATTGGCGCTCATTAATGCGACTAGATTATACAAAGTTTTCGTAAATAAACACAACTTAGATCTGTGGCTCGTATTAAACCAAAACCAGGGCGCACCACGGGAGCGAGCTTGTAATGAGCTCGCAAGTTTTTGACGCTTGGGCGGTGCGGAGCAGTGGGGAAACGTGTTTAAGAAACGGAACCAACCGGAATACTGACGTAACACCGGAGCGCACAGGTGTGGGTTTAAATTGGCAACAGGAGAGGGAGGGGGAGAGGGCAAACACAGCGAGAGAAACACAGAGGGACCGGACTGATAGTAAAGTTTTAAAGCCTAACTGTGGGTAACTTGTGGGAGTTTAACCTCCACATCCTCCACGGGTGCGACACCCATGCCTGTGTCCTCCACTTATTACACACTCACGTATTTAGCAGCAGAACACCAGAGGTGTGAGAACTTCTCCACTCAATAACATCAGAGAAGGAGAAACAATCAGCTGCTTCCACTTCAACTTTAAGACAAACCACCAGAGTCCCAAACTGAAAAACACCATTTGAAGTCACGGACAACAAATGACGTTTGGACCCAAAAAACAGCAACTGGTGTTTAGCGCCATCTCGTTTCCTCTGGCATTGCGGGTGTCTGGTTCCGGCAGAGCATCTCAGGGAAGATACCCGAGGGGAGGGGTGAGTGCTCCGTGACTGTGTTTGTGTTCAGTACCTAGCTTGTTTGCAGATTGGTTGCAACAGCTTTAACACTTTGCACTACATTCATTTTTGAATCTGCCTTTGCTAATGGCAAAGAGGTGCCTAGTGGCGTTGCCTGTACCATATGTAGTTGCATTTTTCTTGACTGTAGCAGAGTCTCAGCCATGGCTCAGCCACTCACAAGCTGGTGAAACAATACAGCTCGGAGCTTTTTGCCTATTAAAAAAAAACGTCCCTCCCTTTCTTCTAGAGAACAAGGTGGAGGGAAAATAATGTTTCTCTATTTGCACCTCCAACTGAGGGACATGTCTGCGTGTGTGTGTTAATGACTCATTTCTCCAAAAGAGAAACTCCAAGCACGCACAAGGGTGCTGTCAATCACTGCCTCAACGACGTCCTCTTTGTTCACCAGGCAACACCTCCTCCTTTCAGCGCATTTTTCAAACAGAAAGTGTGAGTGGAGTAAGAATCAGGTAGGGGGTGACTTGCTCTTTAATGAACACTTACCAGAGTGTTTCATTTTTATTTGTATCTGCAAGTTAGTCAGTATATCCTTCAAATAAACAAGTTTATTTGCCATAAAAAGAAGTGTTTGGATGTGTGCTACACATCGTAGACAATCTAGTCCGGACTCCATCCTTAACCGTTTTGAGCATTTGTATTTAAATTGCCTGTAAATGCTGTAAAACTAATTTTAAAACTGGGATAAAAAAAGACAAGAAGAGAAGACCGTACCACTGATCTGGACTGTCTTCGCAGAGACCCTTTGGATTTGGCGGAGAACAGAGTGTGTGAAGCCGTGGCCTGATTAGGAGAGGATGAACCGGACTGAGGACATCTCTCAGCAGAACAGTCTACAGATACGGAAGAAAAACACAAACACATCATGCATTTATGTTTCTGAGCAGATAGCAGCACCTTAAAAATGCACTCATGCAGTTAGACTTATTTTGGAGGAGAACAATATGATGATAATTCATGTTAGCATGGTCAGCTGCTCTGTACAGCCCCAGGGTGGTGAAAACACACAGACTATGAATTCATCTTTCCTCTCAGGGCAGCCAGATTGAACCAAAGCTGACATAATAAGCCAAAAATAAACAAGTAGCTATCAAAACAACAACAGCTTACAGCTTTCAGATAAAAAGTGCATCAGAGTTGACTAAAGCAGCATCCAAGTTGTTTCCACGTATATTCTTTCCAAACATATTCTGATCCCCTCTTCCCTTGCTCTATCCCTGATATAAATTTGATTTCTGACAAATACAAGATGAAAAGCAGAATGTAATTTATGTTGCAGATGCTCAACCCTTCCATGCAGTAACATCACTCATCCACTGCAGCAGAGGAGCTTTGATTTAGGACGAGTAGCTGCCAGCTGTCCTGCAGTACCGAGTCCTGTAGCTCTAGAGATACATGGACAGGTCCTTTTCATCTTGTCTGCCGCCAGGATACATTTAAAAAGTGACACATGGCAGGATTACAAACCTCGCACATGCTTACAAACAGAAGTCCTCACAGAAGGGAGCCTATCAGAAGCCAACTGGACTAAATCCAAATCTGAGGTCTAATTCTTGCTCAGATCACAGAAGATAAAGACAGGCTGTGATGAACAATTAGACTCATGGCCCTTAAATTCAGATCAAATAAAGAGTCCAGCTGTGGGGAAATAAAACTGACAGGGACTAAAGCATATTTGCATTTATGAGCAGTAAAACAGGAACCTGATATATGTTCAAAATGGAGAAAGCAGGAGAGGCGCTGGTGTTTTCCATATGTAAAGTTGTTATTGCCGATCATGCTTGAAGTTGTACAATACCACTGAAACAGTGACAGGTGGGCTTCATGAACACCACGTGTGGCTCCCCTCACACAGTGAAGTCCAGCAATACCATGTTTTCATATGCTGACAACATTCAGAACATTTAATCTATGAAACACACATCTTGAGTACAGACGTGAAGCAAAATACATGAAGATGACAATAAAACAATGTTTTATGATGGATTGCATCATTTAACTTGCTACTAATCCATTTATAAAGATCAGCAGAGCAGCTGCAAGTTGTAGCCTGTGAAACACTTGGATATCGATTGGTAGTCAACACTGAATACAAACCCACGCCATCAGAGTTTACACTGGAATGGATTCCAGTTTTAATAAATTGGGCACTGATGAATGTAACATTTTTCCAAGGTAAGGTTCAGGTAACATCATGCAGCCCTGAAACATTGATTTAACTGTTTTTACCAATTTTATGACTAATTATACATTTCAAGGCAAATACTGAAAAAAGATTAAAAGGTCTCATCTGTTTATTTTCTCAATACATGTGCTGTGGTCTCTCTAGTATGAATGAATGCCTTTTGGGTGGTTTTCTGTGGAAGAAAGGCTCTGGCACCTCCATTTCAGGGGTAAAAAGTTTGTCCGAGCATAGGGGGTGGACGGCAGGATTTGGAGTATTCTCATTAATATTCATGTTATGCAAACAAACAAACAAACGTTTTCTGAGCATTTCCCCGTCTATTTGCTTTAAGTGTCTAATACAGGAGATTTCCATGTTCAGCCTGCACGTGAAACTCAGTGACTGATCATATTTCAAAAAGAATACGTTTCTCACCTTTAAACGCTTGATGATTTCTCAGCACGTCTACAATAATTCAGGACAAGGCAGCAACAGTTTGTTTATGTTTATTTATTTGGCAGACGCTTTTATCCAAAGCGACTTACAATTTATAACCTATAGGGCATGTTGTGACCTGTGAGGGAAACCGGAGTACCCCGAGGAAACCCACGCATGCATGGGGAGAACACGCAACTCCACGCAGAAAGGCCGCAGCTGAGCCGAGTTTCGAACCTGCAACCTTCGTGCTGCGAGGCAACAGTGCTAACCACTGCACCACCATGCAGCCAGTATTATACATACAAACAATCATGGGACACTGTTTGAGGAACAGTGAAAAAACTGCTCAAGAACACCTGCAACACACACTGCTCTGCCAGCTGTCGATCCACATTTTTAAAGAGCTCAATGAGAAAAGATCTTCAGCAGGGCTCGGACACAATGCACCAAACACCATTCAAGGCATTCTCCATTAAAACTGGTATATTTGGTCAACCATTTCAATTAAAGACATTTATTAATGGTGCATACTTTTGGTACAGTTATGACACTTAAAGAAGATATACACTGACCAATTTTTTCAAATCACCATCTATCTAAGAACAGGTGAGAGCTTAGCATCTGAGAAGTTCTGAGGTGTCATTTTCATCTGTCAACACAATATGAAACCTTTAGTGATGCAGACAGCAGCTTCTCGTTTACTGAAACAACAATACTTGTTTAAAACTGAAGTTCAGAAACCATGACATCATTGTCACACGTGGACGAGCCAGCTTTTAGTGATAGCGTATGAAAACAATTCAGTGGCTAATGTGCACTAAAGCCAAAGCTAATGTTTTAGGTGTGGGCGACCAAATGGTTTTAAACAGAGCAGAGAGAAAATGCAAAGCTGTTACCTTGTGTGGCAAAGTTGACTGCCAGCAGAGTACTCAGGACTTTGCCAAAGTTCTCCCCAGTGTATAACCACTCTGGTTCAAAACCCTGGGGGGAAGAAAACATCAGAGAAGATGCAGTCAGACCAGAAAAACCTAAACGTATCCCGATCATCTGAGCTGGAAGAGGCTGAACCTAGAGTCAAATTTAGACCTTTTCAAACAGAGGAACACATCTGAGTTCTGGTTCTTTATTGCACACACAATGGTGGAGAAAGAGAAAATTTACTTTGTAACAAAAACAGAAAAAACTAAAAATATACGTATATACAAGCTCATACATACATTATATACATATATACACATTACATATATACACAAATATACATATACATACACATATGTATATATATATATATATATATATATATATATATATATATATATATATATAAATACATATACATACATACATACGTACGTACGTACGAACGTGCGTGCGTGTGTGTGTGTAAAACAGATTACAGGTCAAGGCTACTAATCAGTATTAATATGCTAATTATGAAAGTAGCAGTAAAGTATGCTATACAATTCTAAATGTCAGTGAAGGTGTACGATCATAAATGCGAGCACAGAGTGAATAAACAGGCCCTGATCAGTAATCGGTGCTTCTTCCTCTTTGTTTATCTAAGAGCAGAAGTGAAAGCAGTATATCTGCTTTTGTGTGTGTGTGTGTGTGTGTGTGTGTGTGTGTGTGTGTGTGTGTGTGTGTGTGTGTGTGTGTGTGTGTAGTCACAGTGAGCTGCCACTAATGCCATAGCAAAAAAAGATAGAAATACTTTAACCATAATCACTGAGGTAAGGGCCAGCTCCAGTAGTCACACAGACATCCTCTGGCTGACACATTCAACAGCGTCTCAGAAAACATCTGCCACTGACCTACTGACTGGTGGCAGAAGGTCTAATTATGGGCTAAAGCGGAGCTGGCGGGTAAAAGCTAACAGGACCTCCCAGACATAACAACCCAGCTGGACAGAACTACTCAACCACTAAAGCAAGCCAAGTCTGCTGACTCAATTAACTGTTTAAAGAAACCAAGTGATGTGTTTCAAAACCAAAACAGGTTATTTATAACACTGGAAACGTCAATAATGTCCACTGTGGCAGCTGCTGGTAAAATAACCAAGAAACTCCTAACATCTGCAAATGATTCAACTCTTTCTCCTATAGGACATACTTTTGCAACCCAGGACAGTTAAGAGATAGCCTGGCCTGCCAGTCTCGTCCTCTGTTTAATTCTACACAGAAGGAGGCATGCTGGCCAGGCTAGTTAGAGATGTCTCGGAGAGCTTTCAGCCTGCGCCCAAACATTTATTCATTTGCATTTTAATGTAAAAGAGAAGTTTGTGAGGAAGTAAACTTCGTGTTTGTGTTTCTTATACAGCGTGATGCAATCAATTATCTTTCTCTTTTAGTTTAGAGTGAGTTCCCTACCATGATCCATATAAACATATGACACCATATGTCAGCGTGCTTAGCAGATCACAACACATTCAAGATGGTTAACAAATATTTCTGAAAACTGCAATAGCCAGGGATGAATAAAGAAGATAAAAAAAACTTATGTTATTATCATAATTACACACCTTTAATAAAATAAACGAGTCAACTCACCTCAACTTTCAAGGACGAGCATCCTCTTAAAAACTCCTTAATGTTGGAAATGCAGTCGCTTTCAGTTCTGGGATCCTGACAATACTGAACACACGGAATAAGTACGTTATAAACACAGACTGTCCATCGGTTCAGTGTGCCAAACAGTCATCAGACACACACATTAAACCGCTTCAAGCATCACTTTAGTTCCATTTGTGATTATAATAACGATGCAGTGGCATTCCAACAATGGTGAGCTCGTGATCTGAAACAGTGCTTGGTTCTTCGTGCGTCTCCTTCATGCAGACATAACCATAAACCCCAGTGAAACGCCAAAAGAGCCATATTTAAGCAAAACATCCGCTCCCAGCACTGCCCTTCAAAATAAAAGTCCGCCTTGTGCTACTGACGAGCACGAGGTGATGGAGACATTAGAAGAAGAAATACTTATTTGGTTTTAGAATTAACCGGAATTTTTTTATTGAGTCCAACATGAAACTACAAAAGTAAAGATACGAAACTAGCTAAAAAGAGTGAGTCGAGTAAAGCAGAAGCAGCAACTTCCGGTTGCCTTCTGCTCTGGGGAGGTCGTACACACTGGGAAGAGCAGCCGCTCAAGAGGAAGTGACGACCAGAATTTGCAACTGTTATCACTATCAACTTTCTTATCGCCAGACTTAACATTAAAATACACATGCATCACAGTACAATTCCAAATTCCGTGACTTTAATTAAACCCTCTGTCCATTCTACCCCTAACAGGGGGCGTTTAGTGCAGCCTTGATAGACCTATTCACTCAGATCAAGAACGCGTAACATTTTATCTCTTCACAGGAAGCCACTTACTGAAAACCCCTCGTCAGTAAACTCACTAGATGCTCCCGTTATCCAACGCAACACTCACTACGCGAAAGAACTAAGTTTGCTGTTGAAACTCTAAGCTCGCAAACAGAAAGCTGAGCCTGTGAAGTGCAAGAAGTTCCTGTCGGTATCGCTTTCATCAAACCCCTCCCTTATTTCCAAATCTCTGCTGATCATTCTCCATTTACTTGATAAATCAGCAGCTCACCTTGGGAGTGAAGCTAGGTATGAGCCGCTCCGTGAGCTTGCACAGGACGACCCCATCCTTGAGTGATGTCTTCAGAAACTCCTCCGGGTCCGCTATGTTCTTCTTGGGCGAGCTGAGCACTCCCAGCGATATCAACCACGTTACCGTCTGCTCTTCGGGATTCATAGCTCCGCAGAACGACCATTTCTTAAGCCCGCATAGCTACAAGAAAACTGGCGGCCTGTTCCGTAGGTATCAATATGCAGCTCACATCCGCACTTCTGCAAGTTAAAAAAAAGGCTGTGTGGGGGGAGAGGCGACGCAGTTCAGGACGCAGAACTGATGATCACCCCTACTGGTATACAGGAACCTCAACAACACGTTTCCTGCAAGTTGACTTTATCACAGGAAGTAAGGCTCAGAAAACTAATATGTTTGGTGTTCATCACATCATGCAAGAGGGGAAACCTAATCCAGAATAAAAATGTGTATTTGGTAATAACGCAGTCAAATTAGCGAGCATGTAAAATAAAAGCAAAATAGGTATGTTCAGTGTTTATGAGTTTTATGAATATTTACATTTGCAGGATGGGGACAACTTTGCTAAACCCGACCATAAAAACAATCTAGGCCTACCTCTTATTGGTCCGTTAAAATAATTTTTACAAAACCAGTTTAAAACATTCATACATTTTGAAGGCAGACATAAACTGTATTTTAACAATATTTTAAAAAACATAATAACTTGACACCACTGCTCTTTGAAAAATATTTATTAAAAAATAATAAGATTTTTTTTAAAGAACTCCTGAATTCTTCCCACTTTAAGTTGCTCCAGTTCTGATTCATCCAGCACCTGCACAGAGCTGGATCAGCACCTGAAAAATATTGAAGAAAAAAATGTACATTTGTTCTTTTTTATGCTTTAGACAACTCAAAAACTTCAAAAAGAACCAAATATTAAGTGCCAACAAAAATATTTATAGGTGTGGGAAACTGGTTTAATATATTTGCAGTGGCCTCTGGTAGAAATGAATGCCTTGCAAGCAGCCCTCAGGGCAAAAAAGCCCTGAATAGCTTGGATCAGCATGAACAAGTCTGCTGTTGTAGAGTGGAAACCATGTCAGTTCCAATACCATCATGAAAAAAATAAACTGCACGTAGGAGACAAGGATTAAGAAAAATAAAGATAAATAAATGTAACTTATGTAAATGTATATAACAGATGAGTGGTTGAATTTACAGTTCTTTTAAATGGTTTACAATGTGTCCAAATTTTGAGATGTTCCATAAAGTCTTCACGATGTCGTGATGACTTTATTTTTATGTCATCACGCTGAGAAGTCCAATTGGGTATCTAAAAAGAACAACTTATGCTGTTTGGGAATATTTCAGGTACAAAGCAAACTTAAAGGAAGAGCCTCTAAACACTGAAGAGATCATTTGAGCTAAATAAAAGACAACCTCTAAAGATGTAGGTCCCGTCAGCACAGGAGCGATCCGGAGCTAAAATAGCAACCTTCTGTTTGGAATATGTTATTAAAAGAGACACTTTTCTGGTGGAAAATAAGCTGCCAGTTTTTCCCAGATGTCGCAACTAGCCCTTAAGTACCCGTATGTCTGTGCCACAAGCTCATCGAAGGGAGTTTTCAGCTGTCGTTCTACAACATCCTATGTTGAAGCCAGAAAAGGTAAACAATCTGGTTATTTAAGCAAATAATCTTTCTATATGCTGCAATAACATTATGTGCGTTATGTTATTTTTTAGTAATGGTGTTGGTTATACAATTTCTGAACGGCAAAAGTCCAAATGAACAGTTTGGTAATTCCACTTGAGGCTAACATCATTTTTAAATCAGTCCCAGTAAAAGTGGTCAAATGTGGAGGAAGTTGGATGTATTAAAATGTGGATACCGCCTAAGCTTACTGACTGGTGCTAGCGTTGTATATTGCATGTGGAGACAGGTTTAAAGACACATGGTAAATGGCCTGTATTTGACATTGGGCCTTCTAGAGTCCTGGAACCCCCCAAGGCGATTTACAACACAGTCATTCATTCACCCATACATACACACATTCACACACCAGTGGGGATGACCTACGATGTAGCCACAGCTGCCCTGGGGTGCGCTGACAGAGGCGAGGCTGCTGAGCACCGGCGCCACCGGTCCCTCTGACCACCACCAGCAGGCAACATGGGTTGTGTCTTGCCCAAAGACACAACAAAAGCGACAGATTGAGCGGGGCTCGAACCTGCAACCTTCCAATTACGGGGCGAGCACTTAACTCCTGTGCCACTGTCACCCATACCATAGATTGAGCCCAACGACTGAGCTCAGTTTATGGGTCGTGGCAAGGCCATATATTTACGATGACTTGCCAAGCTAATTTAAAGGTGCAATAGGAGACAGGGCTGTACAGTGCAACATATATGTCTCACGTGCAATGAAAAAAACTCTGTGCGACAAACTATTTTTAGACATGGCACTGGTGTGACATCTTTTCAAGTTACTTTTTCCCCTTTATTGAACAAGGTAAGTTGCTTTAGATTGTGTAGGAAAGGTGCCTTTTACTGGCGCACAATGTGCTAATCTAGGTGCTGTGGAGGAAAACAGAGAAACCAGCATGTAAGACACAAAGGCAGAAACAGTCCAAAGTTTGGGCAGATTAGCTAATGCTAGTGGGTATCAGGTTCACAATGAAGCGGGGTTCTAAAAAAACACGATGGTTGTGAAACTAAGGCTACGTTCACACTGCAGGCCTTGTACTCAATTCCGATTTTTGGAGTGAATCTAAATTTTTTTGTGGCCGTTCACACTATGACTGAAATGAGACATCAAACTCTCTCCAGTGTGAACGCTCCGCGGCCACAAAGCGACACGCATGCGCAGAAGACAAGAAGTCACACTCAGTGGAGCCGAAACCAGGAGCACCGGAGTTGTGATGTAATACTGATCCTTAGGGCTGTAGCGAAGCGTCGACGGCTCGATTCTAAAAATTCGTCGACGTCAGATCCGGTAGTCGACGCACCACGCCCACTTGTTGCATCCCCAGGAGTTTGTAAATAGAGATGGAATCTGCCTGTTTTTCTTCTAGTTCGCCTTCTTCTCCGCCTTCACTAACATCTCCGCCAAATACCGAAGACCCGGAACAACGTCCGTCCGCTACTAGATTCCTTTCCTGTTTTGCCCGTCTTCGTCTCCCGGCAAGGACAACAACTTCCGGGGTCAGATGCGCTGCTTCGTCTCTACCGCAGATGTAGAACATCACCGGGAGCGTTTCTCCCTTCATAAAGGAGCTTCTTTCAGACATTAGGAGAGCTGGTTTGGTGGTAGCAGTCTCTCCTCCGTGCTGGTCTGTTTGCTGCTGGGTGTTTTTGGTTTATTTAAACTTGGTAACTTGAACTTAACGTTGGTAAAGCTACTGTTAGCATTTTCGCTAACAGTTTCTTGCGTTTGGATAAGCGGTTACGTTTTGGTTTAGAGTTCATCTTTTTTGTGGTGCAGATCTCCCTTTTATTACATTTAGTGTTGTGGGTTTTCGGGTTTAGGTTAAAATATCACCTTGAGTTTGGTTTAACCACCCAGTTTAGAGTTTGGACCTTTGGAGATCCTTATTTTGGTCCAGAACCCAGTAATCTTTGCCCAGTGGGACATCGCTACTTATTTGTACATTTGTTTTAATTCCAGACAGGCAGAATTAGTTTTGTTATTCCCAACCTGTAGATGGAAAGATTTATGTTTTTTTGTAGTTGTAAATAAACCTGATCATCATTTTAACTTTTAAATCCCGTGTTATTGTCCCTTCCTTTTTGCACACGAGCCAAACTCCCCAGGAAGGGTCGTAACACCACTCGCCTCACGCACATAAGTGACCAAAACAAAGCAGTATGGAGACTTGTCTCCAACCACCTCTCAGGCAACAGCCTGCACTCTTAAGTTCTACATGTCACCAGAACATAACCAACCAACAAAATAAAAGCAGTGTTATACAAAATGGAAGGCCTGTAGTGTTTATTCTCTTACAGTAACAATTTATCAATTTTTTTGAGGAATTTATTTGAGATTTTTTTGTTTTTATTAACTGTGCAATAAAAAAAATCACTAGATTAATTGTCTAGTCATTAGACTAGTCGGCTACTCAATAATCGTCAGAATAATTGTTTTAAAAATAATCGTTTACCCCCGGCCCTACTGATCCTGTGAATAAACTGAAAACTTTCACACCTTTTATTTCTTCTGCTTTGGGCTGGAAACTGTTTTAAAAACTTTAAACTATTTTCCTCCTTGTTCCCGCCATCTACCTGAATTATTATTCATCGAAAATATTCCGGTATTAATTCATTCACGGAGATTCCCCCTCTCACGGAGACCTGCTAGGCTAGCTTGTTGTCAACTTTAGAGACCGTCTTAAACTCTCAGCTGCTTTTTTGCTTAACATGTTAGCTCCAGTTTTATAAATTAAACTGTTTTCCTGTACGAGAGTCAGAGAATTTCACTCCGTGTGTTAGAGAGGAGATAGTCCTGCAGCGTCTGCACTCATTAATAGATGAGTGTTGTTTAAACGTTTCTCTAATATTTATTATATTTATTATGGACTGTAATATGATGAGTCCTCCTCTGCTCTTTCCGCTAGACTGAAGATGGATGCTCTACACAAACACCAACAACAGTTTCTCCTGTTTAGTTTCTGTTTGATGGCTGAACCAAAGTCAGATCCAGCATGGCAGCAAGTCATGGAGCCAAACCAAGGAAAGGAGGGTGTGAAATTAGCAGGAGGCTGGTGAGCTGGGAGCTGGTGTACCCATCTCCAGGCTAACACAGAAGCTGCTGCTGAGTCAAGAGCACTTAAGGGTTAGTTAATACTGAAGGGTATTTCACATGAAGATGTTTAAAAAGACTGAAAAAACATTAGCAATCTGATGACCATCTCTTCCGTCGATCATAATGGGCAATGTGAGATCACTGGCCAACAGGAGGAACTCCAAGCCCTTTCAAGGACTCAGCCAGAGTTTCGGCAGTTTCAGAACTGCTGGAGGAGATAATGCAAAGAAGGATTCTCCAGAGAATCAAGAAAATGATGGACAACCCTGAGCATTCTCTTCACAAGACTGTCGTAACAACGGAAGAGTGTCTTCAGTCAGAGGCTTCTTCAGTTTCGCTGCAACACTGACCGCTACTGGAGATCCTTCCTGCCAACAGCCATTGTAATATACAATAACTCTTTTATGACTTGATTATTATTATTCTGAGCTACTACAGCAATCAATTTCCCTCTGGGATTAATAAAGTATTTTTAAATTGAATTGAATAAGGTGTCAAACATTGAGATATCGGCCATCAACTGACCACGACCGCCTCATATCGGTATCGGCTGTTGAAAAACGAATATCGGTCAACCTCTAGTTATGTCTGTCATTTTATAAAGTTAAGTCTGACATTTTCCACCCAATTCCGATCTTTTGAAAATCCTAATCAGACCAGAGCACCCAGAGTTTGCAAAATTAATGAGTTAACATACCTGCAAACTTGGAAAATATGAAAAAAATTAACACTAAAATCACATCCACCCCTGCGGATCAGTCCCTTAATGTACAGGCAGCATGTGTAACTTCATCTGCCTGCCACACTTGGCTATTGTTTTGCAGCATTTATTTATAATTGTTTTTAAATGTTTACAAATCAATAATAAATTTACATGTGCCACATTGCAATGGATTGACTAAATGGTGAATTGACGCACTTTTACTCTGATATTACCCAGCAAACATTGTCACAGTGGCAATATGGTGTTGGCCAAAAATGGTTGCGGTTGGATGTCTTAAATTTGTTAAAATATATGTAACAGGAAATTCCCTAAAAATCTATTCAGATATATTTGCACATGTCAAAAGTTACATGAATAATTGATATTTTGACAATTAGTTACGTGTAAAACATCCAGTAAATATTGGTCCATGGTGTCCACGGCCAAAAATGGTCTTCATAGGACAGCTTAAACTGGTAAAAACAAAAATTGTAACGGAATTTTTCCGTAAAAATCCATTCAGATATATTTTTACATGTTTACAGTTATGGTTCTCGACCGGAAAAGGGTGGCTTGCCAACTCCGGGTCGGGGGAGAGGTCCTACCTCAAGTGGTGGAGTTTAAGTATCTCGGCGTCTTGTTCACGAGTGAGGGTAGGAGGGATCGGGAGATCGACAGGCGGATTGGTTCAGCGTCTGCAGTGATGCGGACGCTGAACCAATCTGTCGTGGGGAAGAGGGAGCTGAGCCAGAAAGTCAGGCTCTCGATTTACCGGTCGATCTACGTCCCAATCCTCACCTATGGTCATGAGCTTTGGGTAATGACCGAAAGAACCAGATACAAGCGGCCAAAATGAGTTTCCCCCATAGGGTGGCCGGGCTCAGCCTTAGAGATAGGGTGAGGAGCTCGGACATTCGGGAGGGACTCAGAGTAGAACCGCTGCTCCTCCGGATTGAAAGGAGCCAGTTGAGGTGGTTTGGGCATCTGGTCAGGATGCCTCCTGGGCGCCTCCCCGGGGAGGTGTTTCGGGCAGGTCCTGCCGGCAGGAGGCCCCCGGGTCGACCCAGGACATGTTGGAGAGGTTACATCTCCAATCTGGTCTGGGAACGCCTTGGGGTCCTGCCGGAGGAGCTGGTGGAGGTGGCTGGGGAGAAGATGGTCTGGAGCTCCCTAGTTGGGATGCTGCCCCCCGCGACCCGGATAAGCGGAGGAAGACAACGACAACGACGTTTACAGTTACATGTGTAATTGTTATTTCGACAGTTGGTTACATGTAGTTCAACATATAACATCCCAGCAAATATTGGTCTGACAGCGACTTCTACTCATGTCAAGAGAGATAGCTCAACTGGTAAGGCATCCACCTACACGCTGAGGACCTGCGTTCGAATCCAGACTGGGACATACAAGATTCCATCTCAGATGGCATGCAAAAATGCTTTTCTTTATTACAGTAATGATATATAATTTTAAACATTAACACAGTAATAAGAAGCCTAAATTTTAATTATTAAATGTCCAAATGAGACACGCTGAAAAAAGTCGGTTCAACTTTCATTTTGGAACTACTCTTCAATCATGAAGGAACGTGTCGGTTTGACAATGTTTCAATGGTCTAGGGCTGCAACAAACGATTATTTGGATAATCGATTAATCGGATGGGGTCTCGACACGATTAATCGATTAATCGGATTACATGGGGAAATTTTTAAAAACTGCTAGGGAAACGTTATTTCTCTCCTTCCTTCACTTTATTTAACACAACATTATTAGAAAACAGTTCAATAGCAGAAAAACAACATGCCATCACCTAAATTGTCTTATAAAGTGTATAGACAGAGACCCTAAGCTACATCTATCTGTGACCTAAAATGCTTGGTCCAAGTTAAACAGCTTAAGGGCAATTCTCATCTGTTTTGTTTGATCTCATCTGTTAATATTTATTTTAAATGTAATTAAACATAGGCTGTGAATTAATCAAAATTGATCAATATTTCCAAAACTGACTGAAAAAATACCAAATAAAACAAAAGTAAATGAATGCCATCCTCCTTGCGATGATGCCCTGGGCAACTGCCATAAAGTCACATCAAGAAATGCTGCTGATCATTCCAATGATCCCAAATAGACTCACATTAGGCCACATGAAAGCAACTGAACCCAAAAATATATTAACCAGTATATAACTGCACTCTCACACAACACGCCTGCAGCAACAGTTAGGACTCCTCCCTCCCTTTTAAAAGTGTTTTTGCTTCTGAGGACATTGTGGTTGTAAAACCACATGCTAGTAGTCTGGCCCCGGTGTGATCAACCAGTTTCTGCGGGAATGTGACGGCGGAACCAGGGCCAGATTAACACTTTGTTGTACCCTGGGCAACAATATTCAAGGGCTCCATCATCACGACCCAAGGATCACCATAATGTGGTCACATACAGAATATTTTACTGTAATATGCAGTAAATATACTCAATACTTGAATGCCTGACAACACGTAACCCGCCCAGAGTAACCTTTGACCCACCTCGTGTGGACTGACCAATGAGGAGAGGGTCTTAACTTGAGGCCCTCTCTTCATTGGTCAGTCTGCATGAGACTGACTCTCAACTGACATTCAGTCGTAGGCAGCGAAGCTTCTCTGTGCAGTGCAAAAGCCCGGGTGGACAGTTTAATGTAGGGTGACCATATTTCCATTTCCAAACAAGAGGACAGGGGATCTGTGCCTATGACGTCACACTATGGCAATGCCACACAAACCATGTTGGGACCCATTTTTTGTAAGAACTAAATTAATATCAGATTCTGCCAATTAAAGGGCTCTAAAACAATTCATATGTAAATATTTTGCATATTTAATGCAAAATCTAATTTTTCTGCTTTAGTGCTGCAACAAGGTTTTATTAATAATAAATTATTATACCTTTTGTTTTACTACAGCATCGGTAAGCTTCCTGTGCACAGATTATTAAGGATGCTTGTTTCAGCTGTGAGATTAGACGATAGGATCAATGAAAAAATAAGTTGTCACACACTCCATGGAAACTTTCAGAGAATCCACAAATAGTGGCTTTCAAATGGTTTTGTTACTTTTTGCAAGTTTTTAAAAGAAGCAGATGAGACAGCATGTCTGATAATTTAGTTTTTCATCTGATAATATTAGAACATGTCAGTAATGTCTGAGGGGCTTTATAAACACTGTATAACTAACACTCCTGGAGAGGGCATGAATTACACAGAGGCTTCTGGGGAGCCCAGTTATGGGGGGGGCGGGGGGGGGGCGGGCATTTTGCCTTGGCCCCCAAAATGTCTTGAAACGGCCCTGGGTGTGTGACTGAGTTTTGAAGGTGATCTGAATTGTATCAGATGTATAAATATGACATGTGTATAACTTATTGTTTTTTACTGGTAAAAACGTGTCGTGGAGATAAATCTACCTACATTTTACTTTTCAACACTTTGTTTTGTTTTCTTGTTTTTATTGAACTATTTTCCTGTCCTGTCTGTCTCTCATCTTCCTGCATCTCCTCTTAATTCTCCAGAAAATCTGTTGCCTGGATTCTTACTTTTTCACCTCATCAGTTACTTTTGAGCAGATCAAAGGGATCTCCTGACCGAAAAGCGCAGAGCGCGTTTTCGATGCTGCGTGAGGTGACATCACCACAGCACAGGTGATGAGCTCCGCAGTAGCGAGCTTCAGGCACAAATAAGACAGAAAATAGAGAACATGTGCGGACATGAACGATCGTGTGCTAATTATAGTTTTTTGGTTGCGCCACTTTGAGAATGGACCGTGCGCTGGAAGCAGCTGCCTGGATCGCTGCACAACAATGCGGAACCGGTTCGCAGCAGCGCAAGTCTGCCGGCTCTCCCTTGCGCTGATCTGCCGGCTCTCCCTCGCACTGATCTGACTTGCTCTGGTCTGCGCGCAACGGCGGGCGGGAAGGGGGGGCGCTTTTGGAAGAGTTGTGCGACACAACGAATCGATGACGCAATTCGTTGCCAACGCTTTTAGTAATCGATTTTCATCGAATTTATCGATTCGTTGTTGCAGCCCTACAATGGTCATTAAATGTCCAAATGTTTGCTGGGTATGCACCATAAACATCGCACTAAAATGCAGTGTCATAGTCATATTGATTCAAAGCCTAAAGTTGCAAGATTATAAAAATCAAACCAAAGATTGGACGTCTCAGTGAAAGCTTCGCTTTTAGCAGGACCTACCAAGATTGGTCCATTCGACACATGAAGGTTGAATTGGTCCAATGTCTGGACACATTTCAGGCACATTGTAAGAGCAGTTGTCTTGGCTTGACTTGTTCATCCTGCAATGAAAAGAAAAATTAATCCATTGCCTTCTCCCCAATCATGTATTGACAAATGTGCAAACTTTAGTGTCTTCTTCCATCCAACTTTAGGTTCTCTTTCATGGTTGAGTCCAGTTTGGCTGTTAGGTTGATGGTATTGCTCCAGATGTCTCCAGTATTTGAAAAGGCAAGCTTGCAGAAAAGGCTTCAACATTGAGAAAATTGTTCCTAATTTGTTTATACCTGGCTTTTGTTTTTATTCAAAAACACTTGTGAAGCAAATAAAAATACTGAGGTCAATCTTTTGTCTGGAATTGAACAACTTGCTAAGCAAATTGTAACTTTGATGGCTCAAATGGGTGATAAATGTTGATCGAGAGGGCTCTTCCTGGGTTCTTTCTGTACTTCAAGTTTTTAGCTGACTTAAAAAAATATATCAGACTACAATGAGATGGGCTTTTTTTTCGGTTGATCTCCTTTTTGCTTTGTTCCATGAGGCAAATATTGTCTTGAATGTCACCTTTTTAGTGAAGATTTCATTATAGGACAATGAGAAACTCATTTACAGATGAGAAACAAAAAGGGTTGCTTTGCTTACCAGCGGTTGACTATCAGTTGAGTTGCATTTGGTTGTTGTCTTTGGTTTTGTTGTTGCATGTCATCAAATAGCTCAACGGTGATGGATCCATTTCCAAGAGAACTAAAGTAGAACATTTGACAGTGACATTTTCCTGATCTTGCAAACAGATTCCCGTTGGAACTCATTTGCTTGTGAACTGAATCCACTCCAACTGAGTACGAACAGACTCACCTATGCATTCGAGAATTTTTTACTTGGTGTTGTTGCTTAACATCCAGCTGGTCTTGTGTTGACAAATAGAGGAGTAGATGCCATAGTTCAACTAAAAGCTTTATTAGAGTATGAAAGCAAGTACGCATAAGGTATTGCAGGTTCCAACAGCACTAAATGTACAAAAACTAACACTTTGTTACTGTAATGTGACATAAGCAGGAACAACTAAAAAAGGAAAATAAAAATTTTGTACACATACAAAACTGGGAGAGTCGAGATACAAAGCCAAGCTTCCTACTCCACAGTTAGACATGCCTATTTTGATTTCACAGATTTCTTCCAAAGCACGTGTTTAAGTGTGTATGGAGACCAGCGTTCACGTTTATGCGCTTTCCCAGTCCATGTCAGTATCTACTGCGAGCCATGCCCCTATCAGCTCGGATTCCACCTCGGCCTCCTCGTGGCCCGCCACGACTTGAGCCATACGAGTCACGAGGAGGGTAGCCTCTATCAGCAGGGGGGGCTGGGCCCCTTTCCTGCCTGCCCATTCGCTCTCCGCGGCTAGGTGGATATTGGTCACTCCGACTGCTGGGGTAACTGTCACGACTGCCATATCCATCCCGGGAGCTGCTTCCATAGTCATCGTAACGACTGCTTCCACTGCTTCCACCATAGGATGGTGGGGGGCCCCGTGAGGGTGGGGCGCTGCGAGAGTTACCTGCAGGGTCAATGGTTCAGGTAATTGGAAAGGTTCAATTTATACATTTTTCTGCACTGTCAAGTGCTCACTGTTTTGCCAATAGCAATCACTCTGAAACAAATTAGACTGTAAGTTTCAAATCTTCCAATTTGAGTTTAACATGGACATTTTGGTTGATACGTGCAGTAATACATCCAAGCACACGGAATGAGTAGGAAGTGAGTACCCTTTTGTGCATGCCATTTTTTGAGTTGCCATTTTTCCTTTTTAGAGGTCCAGGTGATAGGAAGGATGAGGTTTTCAGACTCAGCTTGATGATATTTTACTCCTTGAGGGAGTGCTTTGCTACTCATTGCATACTGGACGGAGACTTCCAAGGATTTTGGGGGAAGGAGTTTCCTTTTGGTGGCATACATTGGTAGGTACATCAATGTTTCAGTGTTACTTTACATACTGCCACACATTTCCTTGACTAATGTCGTGGCAATGGAAATGTATTAGTTCAACTCAGCTTTTTAAAAGTCTGTTTGTACTTGCGATGCCAATGAACAAACATTCTGAGTGAGGTCAAAATGTAGACGTTGAAGATCAGGGGAAGATTGTTTCTCTCTTACGATGCAAAAAAAAAAAAAAAAAAAAAAAACGGACGTTTCTTGTGGCTGGACAAAATGGTGGTCAGTGCCATGACTTGGTTTGTTATTTGAGCAGCTCTTCGTTGTGCAATGGTCAATCTGTCATTATGCTCATGGGGTTTTCTCTTACCGTAACCATCATATGAATCTCTGTAGGAGCCACCACTGGGTCGTTCAACGTAGCCTCTTGGTTCCCGACCACCCCCATAACTATCACGGTCACTATAAAATAGGAACAACTGTTATCCAACTACCAGGTGAAAATTCTCCCTAGCTCCTCTAATTCTGTACCAACCCATACCTGTATCCTCTCGACATTGAGCCATAGTCATCACGGGAGCTGGAATTAGAATACTCTCTGTACGAGTAATCTCTTGAAGGAGGTCCGTAGTCCCTTGAATCTCTAGAATTATAATCCCGACTGGAGTAACTGAAAAAATTTTTTTACAAGATGCTCCAATTATAAGGTGACAATGAAAACAATTCAAATTGTTGACTAAGCAATTGTGAAATACCAAAAATTAAGTTAAACTAATTGGAAAAGTTGTATTTACTTTTATACAAATTAAGTGAAATTTGATTCAAGATGCACGTCAACAATCTAAAAAGGAATAATCTCGTATTTCTAACAGCATAAAAAACATTAAAGGTAAAACTATTAGCTAAAGAGCATAGTGCAAGAAAGCAAATTTCTATTGCTTTTGTTTTAGTTTTTATTCTATTAAGTATGTTTGTGCAGACACAAGACATTTCCTACCTGTCTTTAGAGCTGTAATGGTCATCTCTTGGTGATGGATAATCATCCCTCCTTGACATCATCGAGTCTCTACGAGGTGGGGGTGGACCATAGGGATCCCGGTCTCTGGACATTGGGGCTGTAATATGTAAAATATTAGCCAGTTAGTTACCAAACAGAAAAAAGACAAAATCCTCACCTAAGCAACAGGAGGTAATTACAATTATTACAAACACCACCTTGTCCAAAAAAAAAAAAAAGGCACCACTTTTATTTATAATGGAGCTGGTTAGATCTAGGCTCAGCAACATGATGTGAACAGAGAATGAGATTGTTTCATTCATGGCTCGGCCACCACAGCCTGGACCCCATTCCCATTGAGAATCTTAGGGATGTGCTGGAGTAGGCTCTGCATAGTTTTTAGACTCTCCAGTCATCAACACAAATTCATAGTGACACTGCAGAAGCTTTTAATAACAACGCCACAGCAAATACACGCTGTTGTCAAAGCTAAAGGCAAAGAGGATAGTCTTTTATGAGATGGCAACTTTTCCCTTAGCCAGGCAGTGTGCATCTATTCTGGAAACTGTGCAATGAATTTTGGAAGGTACAGACACTTACGTCTACTCATGGGACCAGATGGTGCAGACCTTTTAGGAGGGGGACCTCCATCACGGATCGGGGGACCTCGTTTCATTGGAGGGGGGCCTCTAGATGACATCCCTTTATAGTAGGAATCCCCTTCATCGTAGTAGTCTACTCCATCAAAATATGCAAAAAGTAGAATACAGATTTCAAACAACATCTTTAAAATAAACAAATTTAAACATTTTAAATTTCACAATATATTGTGGTTTTATGAACTTAAAGGGATACTACGCAACTTCTTCATATTTTTAAATCGTTTTCTTGAGTCAGTATGCACTAAAATGACTCTTTACAGGGTTAATGAAAGGTCACTCAGCCCTTATAGCCCCCTGTGGCCAGAATACCCCACTGGCAACATCACAGTTGCCGGTCTGGTCTGTTGGGGGGGGGGGGGGGAATTGAGCTGACCTACCTGGTGCTGCTGTCTGACTTCAGCACATTTTCTGCATGTTTTAGATCATGAACACAGCTGATTTGTTTAATATAGTGACAGATCAAACCTCTAGACACTTAGGAATGCTGGGAGATACTTCAGCTGTTAGAATAAGGTGTTAAAAAGACGAACGTACAGAGACGAGTTTTGGTTCCGCTTTGGACATTAGGAGGTGCTAAATGCAAGCAAAACTGCCTAGTATCCCTTTAAAAACTGACACTTTACCTCTGGATGGGGGACCCCTGAAACCACCTCTGGAACCACGAGGACCTCTGGGTGGACCACGACCGCGGGAGTGCATAGGTGGTCCACGCCTGCCAGCACTCTCAAACTGAGGCTTTGTAGCTTGCTCCACTTTAATAGGCTTGCCATCAAGAGACTGGTGAAAAAGTCTCAATGTTAGCAAACTTTGATTCTGTTTAATAATGTGTGATAAAAAAAATTACCTTTCCATTCATCTCGTGAGCTGCATCTTTCGCATCAGCGGGATTTTCAAACGTAACAAATGCAAAGCCCCTTGATTTGTTTGTTTCACGATCTTTCATCAGAAGAACTGAAGGAAACATGAGAGCAGAGCTTAGTCATGGCAAATAACTACAAGGGGTTTTTAACTACAAGAGTGCAGTTGTTTTGCCTTATTAACAAATGCAAAGTCTGCTTTGGTAAGTCGTTTATCATTATTTATTTATATACATGAACCTTACAAAAATGTGGATTAATGACATCAGCTGCGCCGAGGCTTGTAGAAAATAACGCATGTTATTGAAAATGTGCAACACAGGAATGAAACTTGATCATTTCGAATTATGATACAGGACGTCTTGTCTTTATTATATAATGAAACATTGAAAAACGAGATGTGTAAGAAGCAACTCAAGGTTCCGTTCCCACCTTCAACAATCCTGCCATATTTGCTGAAGTACTGCTCCAAGGCCTTCTCGGTGGTCTCCGTGTTTAACCCACCGATGAAGAGCTTCCCTGGTATGTCTGCTTCAACCATTCTGCTAAACGCTCTGCCTGCAATAGAAAAAAAGTGTGTCGTTATAAGTGAAATATGTATTTAAACGGAATACCACACATACAACTGACACCAATTTGTTATCCAGTACTAGTTATGGATTACCTTGTTGCACGCGAAGTCTTGAGGCGTTGAACGCTCAAAATGGCGATTTACGCGCCTGCAGTTTCAGCGAGGCAATTACTCAACCTTAGCTTGTTAGATTTTTCTCCTACAACTGACAAGATTACGCTTTACACGAGCCGTCGCGCTACATTTAAAACGTATAAAAGTATACTTCTCGAATCACACTAAGCATACATGTAAGAATGTAACTTAATCCAAACCTCTTCCAGACGACGACAGCGAACAAGGGATCTTCTTCTTCTTCTTCTTGTCTTCTTTTTCCGGTTGAATATTGCACTAGAAGCAGAAATGCTCTTTACTGCCAACTGTCGGTCACCTAAGGCGTTACACTGTTTTCAACTATCATTGACCGCCGCATGTTTCTTTTTTTTCTCTTGCTTATATTTTTGTGCTGTTTTAAACGACAAATTATCTCCCGCAGCCACAATCGCAAAGTTTATCATTTAAATAAACGCAGCTAGTTTATTTCCTGCATTATGTTCATAGCCCATTCTTCTGATATATCCCTTTATATAATCAAATTTTATTGTTTTTGTCTAACACAGTGGAAAGAGTTTGCTAACATATTTCTATTAAAACAACGAATTCACAATAATTTGGCTTCGGTAAAGTTTTTTAATTTGATAAATTAAATCATCAGAATAAGAATGAGGTTGAGGGTGAAAAAATGATGAGTAATTTCCAACAGTCTCAGAACGTTTAAACAAACAACTCTAACAATTACAAAATTGACCTACATTCAATATCAGCTAAAAAGCTGTAGTTTAACACTAAGGTATTTTATTTATAAATATAAATATATGATATGAATTAGCTATTCATAATGTGTTTTGAATTAAGCATGAAATTAAAAACGGAGTGATTTGTTGACACTACAGTATGTTCTATTAACCCTCTCAGGCTCAAAATAAATTTTGATAAAAGGACAAACAACTAAGTCCTTCAGGAGTACTTCTGAGTTTATAGATGCTCATGTAATAATTATGTGGAGTAACCAAGTAGGTAGGTTTTAACTGTTGCAAATCTGCAACACCTGCCTCCAGAGGGTTAAAGATGTAGAACATAAATCCCTTCATTATTGTTGATTTTCCCAGGGCCATGTATTGTATTTATCACTTCACCCTGAAAACACACCTGCACCCAAGAAACAAAAACACAGTTGTAAATTCATTAGTGTGTATTTTTGCATGAATATGGGCATTTCAATGAGTTGAGAGAAAAAAATTAATGAATGAATTCGTTTATCTGATGGACATAGCAATTACATTGGGCAAACCAGATGCATTGATGTGTTTGTAGCACTAGTGCTAATTCACAACACTTGTCCATATCAGCAATTCAAAAAAACATCAATCAGCATATCAGTTAAACTACAGCAATGTCCTGTCTAAAAGCATAACTTAGACACAAAGCCAATGGTAACTGATAACAGTCAGCTGTTTTAACCCTCCCACTGTTTTCATGAGTGACCCTGCCAGGAAAGTTGACCATTGAGCAGGGTTGATTGTTTATCCATTGAGATCCACATGGCAGGGGTGAGGAGTGAGCACCACGATATATTCCGGCTTCTGGCCAAGTGCTCCAAACACACCCACATCACCCCGCTTCTCCCCCAGCTTCATTGGCTGCCAGTCAACTTCAGGGTTCATTTCAAGATCCTGATTCTGGTCTATAGGGCCTTACATGGACAAGCACCATCTTCTATTGGTGATCTCCTTAGTCCCTACACCCCCAGCAGGTCCCTGAGGTCCAGTGATCAAAGCCTACTGGTTGTGCAGCGCACCAGGCTAAAGACCAAAGGTGACAGATCATTTGCTGCTGTGGCCCCCAGACTCTGGAACTCTCTCCCCCTGAGCCTGAGATCAGTGGACTCAGTGGTCTCCTTTAAAAAGCAGCTGAAGACTCACTTGTTCAAGCTGGCTTTTGAATGATCTTCTTCACCACTCTTTATTCTGCTCTCCCCACCTATTCCACCTTCCTCAGGATCCACTGATTTCCCTCTTTCTTTTTCATTCTCTCTCTTTCTTAACATTTTTTAATCACAATTGTCTATTTTTGCACATTCTAAATATATTTTTAAACATTTTCTAAATGCTTTTTTATATTTTTACATTTTTTGTTTTTGTGAAGCGCCTCGTGATTTTTATCTTGAGAGGTGCTATAGAAATGATATTTTCTTCTTCTTCTTCTTCTATTCATAATCATATAATCCAACTAAATTTAGAATTAACTCAACAGCCAGATTTGTGAGTCGATACACTCAATTATACTATTAAAGTATTTGTGGGCTTTACATTGTTTAGTTCCAGTAAATAGAGGAATAAGATAGTTGCAAGAGTATTTTGTGGACTATTAATACAAGAAGGATGCACAAAGCTTTGTGTTATGGCTAATTCTGTATCAGATCATTTATATAGACTATTTTGGGTAATTAAAAAAGATAAACGTTATGCTAAAACCTGCAATGCAGTGTTAATTTACTGGGGCATTCACACAAGGAGCCAACAATAGCAGATTTGCTCATTCTGAGGATTTTATTTAGCTTTAGGACATGAATAAAGAGCTGCAAGGCTTCACTCTACTCCTCTTTCCCAGCTCCTCCTCCTTGGGATTCTCCTCAGGAGTGTTGTCTTCTCTTTTTTACAGAAGGTGCATTTCCACCTCTGTTTATTCCTTATGAACCTTAACACAATACTGCCAATAAAGGGAATGAAGCTGATTAATAAGGCATCACAGTGTGCGCCAATCAGACCCACCTGGTGCCCAAGAGCACCTGGCTGCGGCCGCTGTGGTTTCCTTGACACCCCCAACCCCCCCCCCCCCCCCATGTTGTGTTTACAATTCCAGTTTTACTAGTCGCCATTTACAGGTTTTTTTATTTAAGTGTTGTCTTTGAAATTCCCTCCCCCTGCTACTATATATATGTTCTCTTTACAACTATACCATGGTGTTTTCATACACAATGTTTCCCCAATACAGTTTTTTTCTAATTCTGCGCAAATATAACAAAAGAAAACAAGCATGCTGTTGAAGGCCACGGTAAGTTCCACGGTGTCAAAAAATGCCTCCAAATGAAGTGCTTGTCAAAATAAAACGACTACCTGTGTATCCGGCTAATTTGGATATGAAATTACGGATTATCAAAGTACACGTAATACTTATTTATATAAATTGTCCTTCTAAATTTTATCGCAGGTCTATCTACGCTTGGTAAAAATCCCAAATCCAAATGTGCAGAATGGAGTACGTATGGCATGCATTTATTTAGAAGGTGACTGTCTTCTGGTGAAAACCCCGTGACTTCCGCATAGCTTGACAGCGTCACCAATGCTCCTGAATGTCCAGCTCAGTCTCCGACTTTAGATTAGAAAGACGGCGCTTTGCTAACTTAACGGAGCTGGTAAACTAAAGCTTCCACTAGAAGAAAGGCTACTTTGTAATACCTCAATATACTCAGCGAACCGTCTCCGCGAGAAAATGAAGAGGCGCATACCACTTGGTTTTGTTCTGGTGGCTTATTTCTGTTCGTGCTCGGCGTTTTATCTTCCGGGTTTAGCCCCTGTGAGTTTTTGTGAGAAAGTTAAGGATAACGAAGAATGCGAGGTAGGTTTAAGTCTGACGAATCACAATTCTTGGAAACTGAAGTATAATTTTCTCTTTTAGGTTATGTTGGCTTTTTAAAAATGTTTTCTGTAGTAGTTGTTTGTCAGTCGCCCTCTAGGCCTCGGCTACTACCTGGATGTAGGACACATACACTCACAAACTTTGGCATATTTATTGCTTTTCAAAATATATTTACACTTATAGTTTGTCGAAAGAGTAAATATGTTGTTGTTTGTGCCTTTTTGGGGGTTTTGCGTCTTTGGCCTGTCATCTTACCTTAAGATATATTATTTTAGCCGTTTCAAGGAGGGAGATGACGTCGTATTTTAGCCACCGCCGGACTCTTGTTTGTTGGAGATGTCCAGGAAAGTCGGATGAAAAATGAAACAAGTTCCGCTTCAATATTTGTTCTCAAGAGTTTGAGCTGTTTTTCATATTTTTTAAACGCCTGTTAACAGTTTAGAAACCCATCACTTAAAACGAGTTTGCTATTTTTAACCGTCCTGCTGTCTATTAGGGTACGTTTTATTTTACCCAAACGTGATAATTCGAGTTCATGTCGTTCACAGACAGAAATTCAGCTGTTCGTTAATCGCTTGGACTCAGTGGAGTCAGTTCTGCCTTACGAATATGATGTGTGAGTAACAAATTAACCTCGTTTTTCTTGTTATCTTCCTTCAAAGACACATTTTCTGCGTGATTGTCTCTAAATCACGAATAACAATCTCTCTCTGTTGAAGGTTTGACTTTTGCAAAGACGAGAAGGAGAAGAGACCCTCTGAGAACCTGGGACAGGTATTGTTTGGGGAGCGAATTGAGTCATCACCATACAAGGTGAGTGCTTTTGTGTTGATCAGTGTCTTGACACTTATCTCGCGTCTTTTCCATGTAAAATGCTTGAGTCAGTCCTGCTTCTTACAGTTCAAGTTCAAGTCAGCTGCCACTTGTCAGCCAGTATGCACAAAGACGTACAAGAAAGACAGCAAACTGGATGCGGCCAAACTGGACTTTCTCAAGATGGGAATGCAGCTGAATTATCAGCATCACTGGTTAGCTGACCTTACTGTCATCTGATATTTTTTAAACATCTTTGATTACTTGTTCAAAGCTGTTAGTCCGAGTAAGTTGACATGTTACAAATTGTAGTGGAGAGAGGCGACTACTGTCATGTAGCAGATTTGGTAGTCCAGTGGTTAGTGGGCTGGGCTGGGATGCAGTTTTGCGCAGGTTTACATCCTGGTCTCAGCAGTAACGTTTTTTTCTTATTTTTTCACTGCACTTGCCAGCAATGTTTTCAACCCTTTATTGGTAAACTGTTTAAAAGTAAGGACTAATCTGTTTTTTTTTTAGCTTCATTAGTTTATTTAGCCAGTTTGAGTCCATGTGAACAGAGTAAATCAATCAGGAAATAATGAATAAAACTAAAATATACAACACAAAATCTGCTTCAGCTCCCTAAAGAAATTACTGCTGACACTACTGGGCTTTGAACCCATGTGATGTCAGCACATGGCAAGACTGAGATGGCGGACAGATGCCTTAACCAATGGACTGCCATAGCCAATACAGCAACTGACTCACCTAAGACGCATTAAGAGGCATGCTTTGTTGGAGCAGAGTTTCACTGAAACCGTTTTCTTTCTGGGTATAAAGGCTAACATAAATGACTCATATTTATTATAAATGGCATCTCAATAGTGCCAACAGTAATATTTTAATTATACTGCATATATTTTCTTTCAAAGGTTTAAAATGGCATGATACAGAACCTTTAAAACCGGGCACTTTTTTCCCCCAGGATCATTGACAACATGCCAGTGACATGGTGCTATGATGTTGAAGATAATCAGAAGTACTGCAACCCTGGCTTCCCCATTGGCTGCCTTGTCACAGATGGTGGTATAGCTAAAGATGCTTGTGTTATTAATGTGAGTTTTTTATTTTATTTTAACATCTTAAGTGGTTTTCAAACTGAAAACCTTTGCATTTCTGCAGGGATTTTATAATGCTTCAACTGCTAATAAGCAAGGGGTTTAATTCTTCATGTCATTCCAAGTAAAGAATAAAGTTGCATTGAGTGTTTACAGTAAATCAATCCAACATGTACAGTTTCCTCCTGGCTGCCGTGACTGTGAAAGGCTGTTCTCCTGAGCCGCGGTACAGCTAAAGCTAACAAGTCATTCTTGAACAGCCAGTAAAACTTGAAAAGCAAAGTGTTGACCCTTTTCTCTGCAGCACAAGAATGAGAACGAGAGTCTTGGACAGACATGAATACTTCTAGTTGATAAGCACTTTAAAGTCTCATGGAATAAGAATACATTTTTATTTTATTCAGTCTAAACATTAGAAGCAAGTTTACCTTAAATTTCGACCCCTTTTTAAACAGTTTATTATAGTATAGATTTTATATTGGTGCCTCTCAAGTTACTCAGTAAATCCATTATATGAACCAATAAAGTTGGTGTGTTAAATGAAAAGGATCTTGGAAGACTAATCTGCTCCTTATTAACCCTTTTCAGGCCGAGTTCAACAAGAAAAACACATTTTATGTCTTTAACCACGTTGACATAAAGATCTCCTACCATAGTGGAGAATCAGAGGGTTGGACTGGCGATCGCCTGGTTGCTGCCACCCTGGAACCAAAGAGGTGCATGTTGAATACTAGTACATGGACTACTTATTGTTTGTAACATTTAAACAATATTTATAATAAATATTAAATATTTTTTTTCACTACAGCATCAAGCACGCTGTTGACAAACCCCCAAGCTGTGATAATGGTAGCCCGATGGAAGTCCCAGTAGAATTTAAAGAAGATGTTTCAATCACTTACACCTACTCTGTCACCTTTGTGGTAGGCTTTTAAATCATGTGATATGTTTCTATGAGAATTTGTCAAACCAAAGTCATTTATGCCTTCTTTTCATTCTTATAGGAGAATAATGACATCAAGTGGGCCTCTAGGTGGGACTACATCCTGGTGTCAATGCCCCACACCAACATCCAGTGGTTTAGGTCTGAAGATTTGTCTCTACAGAATTTTCTCCTGGAACGTCTCCTGTGGGTGTTATATTTGTTGAAGAAAAAGATGTGTTGTGTTTGTTTTCCAGCATTATGAACTCCTTGGTCATTGTGCTCTTCCTATCTGGCATGGTTGCTATGATCATGCTGAGAACCTTGCACAAGGACATTGCCAGATACAACCAAGTGGACCAGGTAAAGTCATCTTTTAATGGCCTGATTATAAAGTGGATAAAAAGTAAACCTTCATTCAAAGTGGGGTTATTAGATTTGCCAAAACCAGAAAATACTTGGGACAGTTTATTTATTTATTTTTTGCACAGCTGACTGTAAATCACTGTCACCAAAGTATTTTTCAAACTAGCTGCTTCATTTTTGAGAGAGCTGCTTTTTAGTAGCTTGGGTCATATTACTGATATTTTTTTGTTATCACTACTAAATATTTAAACCATAGGAAGAATGACTATCTTCATATTATCACAAGTGCTTTTAAACAGGTGTTTTTATTCACACACACACGCGCACGCACGCACGCACGCACGCACACACACACACTTTATAAGTAGACTGAAGCAGATTTCTAGGTATGAGACGACTAAGCCTGCCCCAGAGGTTATGACAGGATAACTGCCATGTGTGTGAAGTGGGAGTGGCTCAGGCAGCACACCTACTTTCAGTGGAAGTTCTTCAGCTCATTCTGCTTCCTATTTGAATTGTGAATTCTAAAGAGGAACAGAAGGAATGTAACAAGAACATTTTTGAGCCATTCATGGTCAGCTAATGAGGTTGCTTCCAGATGAAGCTTCACTTGAAGACCACTGATATTTATCAGGGCACATTCACTAACATTTTTTTGCTTCACAAACTGCCAGTGACATTGCCTCGCTTACAGTTCTGTTTCTTCAGATTAGTTGTGTCGGTGCCGCAGGATAAGACCATTTTTATCTCGCTGTAGTTTCATGTTACTGGTACTAATGTTTTCTCTGCTTATATTTAACCACATTGAGAGTGGCATCTTTTCCACAAGCCACATGTTCTCATCTAGCTTTTTCACCAATGGTGCTACATCACTTTCTTACCATAGATTTTGTTCTCAGTGGTCTTCATTTATTATGTTTTAGGTGTCTCTCCATCACACCTGATTTGACTAATTGGTGGGCCTAATCAGTTTAGGAACAGGTGATTAAGCCGTTCAATCAGGTGCAGGGAAACTACTAAAACATGGAGGATGATGGTTCTGGTGAAACAGGATTGGACACCACTACTGTAGATTAGAAAACTTGGTCAGTGCAATGGATGATGACTCGGGTAAATTTAAAGAGAAAGTTAAGTAATAAACAGTCTTTATTTTAATTACAATTGATCACTGTTGAGTTTCACATGCAGGCTGAATGTGGAAATGGTTTTCTACCCCCATGTCCTGCATTAGCCACCATAGAAATAAGACTGGGGAAACAGTTGGATTAAAAATCCAGGTCGGTTCAACATCACGCTGAAAACTAACAATCATGTGTGAATGGATGAATGATGCACTGTAGTGTAAAGCACTTTGGAGTCCTCTGACTCTGAAGGGCAAGTAAGGGTCATTTATCATGAACTCACCCATCTTGGCTCGGAAGTCTGTTTTTGATTTAGGGACCAGGAAACAGCCAAGTGCATCTAGACTAGTATAAGCTAACTGTTAGCATTAGCAACTCCACAACACGGCAGAGCTCCTTCAGGCTTGTGTTATTTGTGAAGATAAAACATCAACATTGTAAAGCAGATTCAGTGGTAGAGTCGCATTACTGTTAGCCAATCTGAGGAGAGATATCCAGAAATAATGTAACTCCAAAACCTGCCGTCTTCTGCCTCCCCCTGCTCCGTCCATCTTCTACATCCTGAAACAGGAGCACCAGAGTTTTTTCCACAGAAATCGACTCACAAGACATTCATTTATACTAGAGATCACTGCAAGTGTCTTGAAAAAACAAATGAACTTGTATTTTTTCCTCTCATTGTTCTGATGACTTGGTGTTCTGGTAATTTTCATGAACTCATTTGGTTTCTTGTGTAACACAGGCATGCAAATACTTTCTACTGTAAACACTTTGATTACTATTGAAAAATTATTCTTTTTAAAAATTTGAAATACGTTTCTAGAAATGATTACAAATTGTGATTGAGTTGTTAGTTTTGAAGTTGGATAAACTGGCGGTGTCATTGTGGTTTCCAAGGGAAACAAATATCTATTGATGCCACTGCAAATAAGTACATAATTATAAACCGCTTTTAAAATTACTTTTGAAAATAATAGTTGTTGTTGAGGTATAAAAGTCACTGGGAGAGATTTTAATGTTTCTAATCCACCTAGTAAATAAACGAATCATAAACTGAAACATTTTGATGTTGGGTTTTAAAGGTGAACTTTTTTTCTCTTGGCAGTAATGCATTTTGCTGATCTACATGTGTGGTTTTGTGGCTTATGCTTTCAGTCTGCAATGTTGAATACCACCCAGCACGATGAGTGCACTGTACCCCAAATTATCAATATTTTGTTACATTTTACAGGAAAACTTGATTAAGATTCCACCGGCCAAGGAAAAATCTTCTCTACCTTATGTAAGCGTAATGCAAGCTATTCCAAAAATGTTTGTTTTAATTAAATCAGGTGCTTGGGTGTGTATGATTGTAGTAACCAGGTATGTGTGTGTAAGAAATGTAAAATGTGGTGTGAAAGTTTGCAATTGGGAGTAAAAGGTAAAGAATTAAACCAAGTTAAAAGCCTTTTTTAAGGAGAAGTGAAAAAAGTGTCCACACCAGATTTTACATCTTTGGTAAACCAAGTCTTCACTTCTTTTTGCTTTGCTAGCAGGTGTCAGTTTTTAAAGCAGCAGCAGCAGTTGCTGACTGGTGGTTGGTGAACCTTTCACTCTTAGAATTTTCAACATGTCAAATCAATGTTAATTGACCGTCCGGGCTGCCATCTCTTCACAGGAGGATGCTCAGGAAGAATCTGGGTGGAAGCAGGTACACGGGGATGTTTTCCGTCCCCCCAGGAAGGGAATGCTCCTCTCCGTGTTCCTTGGACAGGGCACACAGATCTTCATCATGACCTTCATCACACTCTGTAAGTTCCATTAAACCTTATGTAGAACACTCACTGATGTTGCTTTTGTTGCAGAGTTACGCTCAATTCATGGTTCACAGTCCACTTGATCTTCCACAAGGCAGTGTGCAGCCCAGAGGTTTGGGAAAGCGGTCAGGAGGTGGAAAAACAGCTAGGACTCTTATTTCGATGAGTTATTGTTTAAGGTTTACTATTATCTCAGATTAGAGTTATCACACAGAGACTACAAGGACACAGTGTGTTGAATTTATGGTGGGATGTTGTTCACATTATTCCAAATAGACAAACAATAAACCAACCAGTGCATTATAAGTGTGAACTTGTAGAATTAGAATACAAACGTTGTGGTGCAGCTGAATCCCAAAGGGTTTAAATTGGGAGTTCTGGAAGAGCCAGATGCATCAGTCGAACATGTTCATAGCTTTTCATCTTGTGGTGTCACTTATTTATAACTACCTTAATTATTTTAGTCAGGAGGTCAGTCTGACATGCTATTTATCTTTATGTGAGATAAACTGTCAGCAGGGCGACGTGTGACGTTGACTGCTGTGATCTGATATCAATTCCACAGTTATGTAGGGTTGGAAATGAAACGTTTCTTCTTGAAGGTGGCTTCTTGGAATACCCTAGATGGACATTTTGGTATTGACCCTTTGCACCGATGTCGCCTAATCACGTGGGTCCACCATGCTGGACGGCAAAAGCATGTAAACAGTGAGCGACACGAGTACTAAACAAAGGGAAAAGTAGAGCCTGAAATTGTTTTTGCTATCAAAACAAAAACAAAACTCCTCCAGCATTCCTTCAGCTAGTTCATGCCCAGTTCAGTTATCAGAAGAAGTAGCTCATCTAGCCGGGGCTCATAGAGAGCGGTGTGTTAACTAGGGATGCACCGATCAGGTTTTTGCTGCCGATCACCGATACCGATATCAAAGAATGCTGATCACCGATACCGATCACGTGGATTGGCCAGAAATTTTCTACAACATTATAATGAGTGCTACAAACTACATAATCTGGGAATAAAGGAAATGCAACCTAATCTAAAATGGTCTGTATTGGGTTGTCACGGTGTGAAAATTTAACCTCACGGTTATTGTGACCAAAATTATCACGGTTTTCAGTATTATTGCGGTATTTTTTTTAAACGTGTTACATTTTCACACAATTAAATAAACCCTGTATGTCAGGAAATATTGTCCTCAGTTTGTGTCTAAATTTTGCCTAAAATGTGTTATTTTGTAATTATGTTGTTTATTTGTTTACATTTTTCCCCTTTAGTCTTTAAAATACCAATATTTGCCCATAACTTCTTATTTTATGTCTGTTTAATGTCATCATTTTAAAAATATTAGATCAGATGATACTCAGTACTCAAGTAGCCTTCTAATCAGATACTTTTTTACCCTTACTTGAGTAATCCGTATATCAGGAGAATATCATCCTCGGTTTGTGTCCTTCCAGTGAGCTTTGCAGATGTGGGAAAATGTCATCAGGCAGTAATCATTGTTAAATTCATAATTATTCTGGGAGAGAGACCAACTCTTATCTGCCCCTGGGAGCCCCGTAACGCATAGCATCATTTCAACATGGGGGTGCCCGCGACACGGTTTATATGCAGGTAGCGGGCGCTGCGGCTGCTTTATACAGCGACTCGTTGCATTCTCCCTCAACCCAATTCCTCGGATCACGCATTTTAGCTAAAACGCTAACGTTAGCTTGCCTTGCATTGACTGTAGAGTTGTGGGTGATGGTCACGCAGATGTGTCATGAGATTTGAAGCGTTGCTGTCTTTCACAGACACTTTTTCTGCACGTGCTGCAAACAGGATAGCCGTCTTCTATCAACTCCCTCGGCATTCTTCAAATATCTAAAAGATGCCCGTACTTCTGACTTTGTCTTCTTTGAGGGATAATAAATGTCCTCCTGAGCGCTGCCGTCTCCTCCTTTGGCCATTATTTCAGCTTTAGCTTCAAGAAAGTTTTGTTGTAAACAACGAAGCGCGCATGTGCCGCCGGCAACTTCAGCCGATGATACGGTGGCTGGTAAGGGTCACCGCGCCTACACCGTAGCCACGGTAAACCCACCAAGATAATATATTTTTTTTAAAACAAGACGGTTATTATTATTGTCAACTTTTTTTTTTACCGGGGTTTACCGCTACACTGGTTACCGTGACAACCCTACCTGATCGGTTTGCTTTGATCTATTTTGAAAATTCCGATCAAAACCGATAGGGGCGCTATCGGCCGATTACGATCAAATGCCGATCCATCGGTGCATCCCTAGTGTTAACTAGCTTACCAACGTTAGCTTACGTTCTCTCTGCAGCTGTTCACCGATGTAAACATGTTGCTGACTTTGCCTAAATTCACCCCTCTGGATTTATAACCTTATGTTATAAACAGCGTTTCACTTCACACCAAAGCTGATTTTTAAAAAGTCCGGATCCCTACCAGCTTCTGTTGCTGGTGGTGTTACCGGGTTCAGCTGCTGCTCTCACACCGGAATGAGAAGATCTCTGAACGCCGACGCTCATATAAATAAATAATGTAATTTTAACAAACGTAATCATACATTGGAGCTTTAATATTAATAATTATCTCGCTTTACACTACAGTGGACGGCGCGCATCCTGTCGCTGCATTTCATCTCCATCAAAGTTATTAAAAAAAAACGAGTTGAGTTTACATCCTTGTCTGTTAGTGCAGCCAACCACGCAGCAAGCTAAAACCATTTTACTGTCAAATCAACTAAAGAAAAGCAATAAAAGGATACAAACTGGCTTGTTTTGACTAGCTTTACTGGAGTTTCAACGGGTGTAAACGGTCTTTTTGCCGTCCATCATGGCGAAGGGGTCAGTCGGTCACAGGAGTGGCGTGACGTCACGTCCAAAGGGTCAATAGGAGGGTCTTTGTTGACATATGTTTTCATCTTTGTGCACATGTGCGAGTGGGTGGGTACACAAAATGGCTTGCTATTATTATGCGATGTAAACTGAGTTTGCGGGTGAAATCCCTGATATATGAACACTTTACCGTCTAAAGACAGGAGGAGGTTTAGAGAGAAGCTTAAAATCTGTTTTGAAGACAAAATTAAAGTTATTAAAAGCTCGTATGAGCTCTCAGATGACGGAAAATGATGGTTTGATGCACCAGTGTTTTTTTTAACAAACCTTCAGGGGAGATATTTATTCCTATTCAACAGAAAGCCCTGTGCTCTTGACTCTTAAAAAAATTAAGGCTTTCAAACGTCTGGAGGCCTACAATTATTTTGATTTAAGGAAAGTTGAGCCGTTCTCTTTAGAAAACATAAAGCGGTGGTCATGCTAATAGCATCAGTTAGCTCCAACAACCGTCACAGCATTGCTTACATCACCTGCTGGTGATGGCCAAAGAAAACTGATAAATTCTCACAGCAACTGCGAATCTGGTTATGTTTTAATTAATCTGTGTCCTTATTTGTTTATTGATGATCGCAGGTTTAGACACCTGAATCAGAATGCAAAAACATAACAATGTGGATTTAAAATACATGAAGATGAATGTTTTTAAAACGTAAACTTCTCTAACAAATACTTAGTCACAAGGACTTGCCGTGGAATTAAATGAGCCTCACAAACTGTTCGTTGTTGCAGGAGTCCAGGCTTTCTTCGGAGAGTTTGTGTCACTTCCTATCGTCTTTTGTACTTTTGCGGTCGTTTACAGAGGAAATTCCAATAAAACTTTATCAAGCCTCCCACAGGCCGAACAATCAACCACACAGCAAGAAAGATCGATCAGCTTCGCTGAATCCTCGTCCAAACATGCAAAACAATCCAATTATAGGCAAAATACGCAGTTTCTTACCATATGCACTCCCATGATGTAATGCGAGAAACATAAACACTGACGTCACAAAACATCCTCCTATAATTTACACTAGTTTTCTCTGATCTTGTTTCTTTCAAGGAAAACTACAATTTGTGGAGAGCAGATCGTGAGATTTGGCTTATGTTCATAATCAGATTTGATCTCCTACTCAGAAATGAGTAATAATCTGTAAACAAGTTTCATAATTATCACTCAGATTTTATACAACATTTTTTTGAGTCTATGTTACAGTATTTTAGAAATGGTTTGTTTCATCCGTCCGTCTGTCCATCCAATTTCTTCTGCTTATCCTTAGTTGGGTCACGGGGGCAGTAGCCTAAGTGGAGAGGCCCAGACTTCCCTCTCCTCAGCCACTTGGGCCAGCTCTTCCTAGGGAATCCCAGGCTTCTCACCCTATCTCTAAGAGAGAGCCCAACCAACCTGTGGAGAAAACTCATTTCGGCCACTTTTATCCAAGACCTCGTTCTTTCGGTTCCTACCCAAAGCTCGTGACCACAGTTGAAGCGTAAATCGAGAGCTTCACGTTCCGTCAGACCGGTACAATGCCCGCATCACTGCAGAAGCAGCGCTGCGATGGTTACAATGTCACTCAAATGTATTACTTTTGTATTTCTGTGAAAATAATGACATTTGATTGTATGAAAGCATGAAATCTCTTTCTCCTCTGCAGTCCTGGCCTGTCTGGGGTTCCTGTCTCCTGCCAATAGAGGAGCTCTGATGACGTGTGCTGTGGTACTCTGGGTCCTGCTGGGTACTCCTGCTGGCTACGTGTCTGCACGTCTTTATAAAAGTAAGTGCTCTTTATTCCTACTTTCTTCACTTTTTTTGTGAAGTGATTTGAAAAAATGCCTTTTAATATGTAGTGTTTTAACTGCAGAACATACTGATTCAGAGGTGTGAATCTTGACTAATTTGCTGAAAGTTCACCTGGATATTTTTGAGATTGAGCCAAGTCTGAAAGCAGTTCAGAGCCCAGGCTGTCTGCCTCACAGGGTTGACTTCATTTTTGCTCTAATTCGTCGAGGTCCGCTGTTGACATGTCAGCACACCTGGTTTGCGCTGATGTATTCGGTCCACTTTCCTTCCCTTCAGTGTCAGTCTGATGACCATTCATACTGTAGATCGAATGTTATCTGGGCCCTGGGTGTGTGACTATGTTTTGATGGGTGATCTGAATTCTATCAGATGTATAAATATGACATGTGTATAACTTATTGCTTTATGCAGGTAAAAACGTGTAGTGGAGATAAATCTCCTTACATTTTAGTTTTTAAACCCATTGCTTTGTTTTCTTGCTTTTATTTGACTTATTTTCCTGTCCTGTTTCTCATCTTCCTGCATCTCTAAATTCTCCATAAAACTGCTGCCTGGCTTCTTACTTTTTCACCTCATTAGTTACTTTTGAACTAAGTAGATCAAAGGGATCTCCTGACAGCAAAGCAGAGTGCACGTTTCGATGCTGTGTCAGTGAGGTGAAATCGCTGAGGTGACGAGCTCCGCAGTAGTGGAGTAGTAAGAAACCACCCTGGACAGAGAGTAAAAATGTGGACATGTCTGGGGAAAAGAGGACGTATGGTCACTCTATCCTACAAACCACCAAATACAAAAATGAGCAGCCAACCTCTGAGCCACGGCTGCACATGAAACTGTCTCAGGAAACGGCCCAGACAAAGCCATCCGAGATCTGCAGGTGGCGACGGGGCTGCAACGTCACAATATCGGACACAGTTCAGAAAAAACTCAGCAGATTCCTGACAGATGAGCAAGTTTAAATAATGGAGAACATTAAAAATGACCCATAAAAAATTACTGTCCATTAAAAGATGAAGTGTGAAATTTTACTCTGCATCCTGTTTCTGTTTTTAAATGACAAACTATTATTCTGTTTTTCCTGGTATGGACCCTATAATTCAGTTGATCTATTAGTGACAGTATTGAGTGCTTACTCCTGTACTATTAGTCATACACACACACACACACTCTCTCTCTCTCCTTTCTCTCTTTCTCTCTCTCCTCTCTCTTAAATAAATCATCCTTCCTTTTAACAGACCAAACCGATAACACTAAGCTGTGTCATTGTTTCTCTCATGCTGATCTCATTCTCGTCTCTCCTTATCAGCTTTTGGAGGTGAAAAGTGGAAAACCAACGTCTTACTGACGGCGCTTTTATGCCCAGGGTATGTTCACTAACCGGACTGACTTAGGGAGTCTTTAAGTCATCTCATATTTCTGTAAAATGTCTACTCTCCAGGGCTGAATCCAGTCTAGCTTAGCACAAATGTGTTATCCTTCTCATGTTTCATCTTTACTCGTGTCATCTTCGTCTTCCTTCTTCTTTAGGATTGTGTTTGCTGACTTCTTCCTAATGAACCTGATTCTTTGGGTGGAAGGATCCTCAGCAGCAATTCCCTTTGGAACTTTGGTGGCCATTTTGGCCATGTGGTTTGGAATATCTGTGCCCCTCACCTTCATTGGTGCTTACTTTGGATTCAAGAAAGCTGTGAGTTTGATCCTATCAGATTTGTTGTAGTTACAAAGTCTAATTTTAGAGAAAACAGGTATTTTTGGTGCAACATCTAATACCCATTTTTATGCTCGTGCAGGCAATTGAGCAGCCAGTTCGAACAAATCAAATCCCTCGTCAAATTCCCGAGCAGTCCTTCTTCACTAAACCTATCCCTGGTATCATAATGGGTGGGATCCTGCCCTTTGGCTGCATCTTCATTCAGCTTTTCTTCATTCTTAACAGCATTTGGTAAGAGGACAATGGGGCGTTTGTCCTGAGCCTCATTATTTTGAATGTCAAGATGAATAACAGCTTTGTTCTTGTTGCCTCATATTTCACAGTAACTGTTTGTATTTTAGGTCTCATCAGATGTACTACATGTTTGGATTTCTGTTCCTGGTTTTCATTATTCTGCTCATCACCTGCTCTGAGGCCACAATTCTGCTGTGTTACTTCCACCTGTGTGCAGAGGTACCTGAATGCCCAGAGTTAAGCTTCTTGATTTTTTTTTTGTATTCTAAAAAATAATTTGTCTTGTGCATCAAGGACTACCATTGGTGGTGGCGTTCCTTCCTGACCAGCGGCTTCACTGCGGTCTACTTGTTTGTTTATGCTGTGCACTACTTCTTCTCAAAGTTGCAAATCATTGGAGCGGCCAGTACTATACTGTACTTTGGATACACCATGATTATGGTCCTCATCTTCTTCCTCTTTACAGGTGAGAATTTATCTTTTGATATTTTAACTATATACCGTAAATCCTCTAATACAGGCCGGTATTCAATTAAAGGCCGGGTCTCCAATTTTGGCCGGTGTCAGAGTCGGCGGAGGTGAATAAAGGCCGGTCTCTTATTGTGGCCAGGTGGAATGTAGTAACAAGCAAGTACAGGGGGCGGTTGTGTTATCGTCTCACTTTTGATTTGCCAGTGATAGACCGCGAGGGTAACTTTAACCGTGCGGAGACAAGAGGAGGCTGTGCCAGCTCGTCGGTACTGACACGCGATCGTTCATGTCGGTTCATTTCCTTTAAAGATTTCTGTCTTTTACTTGCGCCTGATGTGTTTCGCTGCATGCTGTGGAGCGGGGCACATCAGCTTGTCCTCCGGTGATGCACCGATCATTGATGCGCCCGCCAAGCACGGAGCACTCCGCTGTTTTTGCGGTAGATCTGCCTCCTGAGCACGACCACAGTAACAATCGGGTGTCGCCACATTTAACACGCGATCGTTCATGTCGGTTCATTTCCTTTAAAGATTTCTGTCTTTTATTTGCGCCTGATGTGTTTCGCTGTGGAGCGGGGCACATCAGCTTGTCCTCCGGTGCGCCCGCCAAGCACGGAGCACTCCGCTGTTTTTGCGGTCGGTAGATCTTTTAGAACTGCAGTTCAAAGGTAACTCATGAGGTGAATATATATGAACCCAGGTAGCAGTTTCTCTTTAGGATTGAGAGGAGATGCAGGAAGATAATAAACAGGCAGGACAGAAAAATAGTCAAATAAAAACAAGTTAGTTTTTGTACCTGGTGGTTGCAACAGACAGACACCATTGAAGGTAATCACAAGTGAGGAACAGAAAATGAAGTAATTATTTTAATGTTTAGAGCAGCAGGAACTCCGAGAGGCTGCAGGCGCATCAGTGAGTTTGCGGCTGCTGCGCAGGGGGAGGGGGTAGAGGGCTGAAGCAGAAACTACTGTTGTTAAAAGAAATGTTTAACTTTGAAAATGTGGGCGCAATTTTGTCAAAAACTCCAGCGAACCATTAGTTCATTTTGCTCAAATAGAAATAGAGGCCTGCCTCTAATACTGGCCCTCCTTCCAATAAAGGCCCGGAGCTTGATGAGCTTCAGTCAAATACAGGCCCGGGCCTGTACTAGAGGATTTACGGTATATAATTTTTATTTTTTGACTTTTCAGTCAACAGCTGACAATATTGCCTCAGTAATATCTATTGGATCATATATGGGGTTGTAAACAAAGGCATGCCAACACTGGTTATGATGATAAAAGGTATTTGAAGGAATTTTTATTCTTTAAGTGGGGAAATATGTTGGCCTGTGAAAGTAAGAATTGTTGTGGACTGTTTTATTGGAGGAGATTGTTTAGAGCCTTGTGGATGTAAGAAGACAGTTTTTGTTTGAGATGGCTCTGTTCTGTCGATATGAGGTTTTGAATAGTAAATTAGAATATCCAAGTCTGTGTCTACAGATGGTGTGCCTAACCCTGGTCCTCGAGATTCCACATCCAGCATATTTCTGATGGGTCCCTGTTTCAGCACACTTGATTAGAATCAGTGGTGATTAACAGGCTTCTGCAGAACCTGATGAGCTGCTGGACAGGCGATTCAGCCACTGAATCAGCAGGAAAACACATAAAACATGCCGAGTTGGAGATCTCAAGGACCAGGGTTGGGCACTCTACAGTTATGGTCATGTCCTTGGTTGGTATTGGAATTCTAGCTTTCTACTGGTTTGTAATCTGTATATTATTTACATAGAAAAGGTGCTGCAATAAGACTGATTTAACATAGAATTAGGGCTTCACAATATATCGAAAAATTATCGTTATCGGGATAACAGGACGTGCGATAGGCCCATCGCAAAGCACGTCCACAAAAACGGCGAAAAATATTTGGTTCAAACATTTCCATCCGTGTCATACATCAACTTTTTGTAAACCAGCTCTGTTTTTTTTATGCGGAAGTATTATTTGACCAATCAAATGTAGCCCTTCTGATATGCGGTCAATCAGATGGGTCCGTTCACGTAATACACCCGCCCCCTACATAGACTGTTAGGATGGAAAGCAACACCCGAACTGAGTTAGCGGCGCCGTTCCCTTGTTCGTCATGCTAGCTCAGAGCAACTAACGCACTTTGTGCTGAGGTTTATGGATTCAGCGCTGCTTTCAAACGTGAACGTGAGTCCTCTCGGTGTCGTTAATCATTTTTACCGGGCTGACTCCGACACGTGCCGGTGAACCAACCCACCTTCATGTCGCTAGTGTTCCACCGGGTGGTGATGTTAGCCCCAGGCTCTGGTTAGCTTCCAGCTAAGAGGCTACAGCACGCTCCTCCCAGTCCCACCCTGCTAAAGAGGGCCTGGAAAAGTTCCCCCACACATCAAAGTGATTTTTCATTTATGAGCTTTTATAACCTTGTTAATCAGGATAGTTGATTTGCTGCTGCACATAAACTGTCAGTCAGAAGCTCTGCTAGTCATTTATCTTAAGAGGAGCTAGTTCAATTTGTTAGCTTGTTACCAGAATCATAGTTGCAGTTTCATCATCTGAGCTGCTTTTTAAGATCTAGGTAAACTTGTTCAATTTGGGGTTAAAAACAAACGTTTTCACATATTTTCCATGTAGTTTTTTTGCCAGTTCCTCTTCTGAAAGGTAGACAATTGTTTTTCTCTTTCCCTCAGAAAATCTTAATTTTCTCCTAGTTTGGCCCAGCACAGATCACTTCCCAATTGCAGCAACAGCCTTATATCATAACCACATATGCGGAGAAAATGTTCAGTAGCAATGAGAGAATTTGCTATTGCATGTAAGTGATGTTAACTATTATTTAACATTTAAACTTATTTTCTGATTTTTTTTTTTTTTTTATTCAAAAAACCCTGGTAAGGGATGTTTTTCTGTATTTGGAGCATCAGAAAAAGTTTTATGGTGGAGGTGATGTTTTAAAGTCACTGAGAAACTGCATGCATGCAGTTTGTTGTTTTGCTGCTAATACAGTAGCAGGTGCAGCTGCATATTTTTTCAATGAAAATGTGATGTTGTAATGGAATTCATGCATTAGTTTTTGTTTGCTTTGAACCCAGAGCAGACGTCACACGCCAGACGACATCAACACTGCATACTTTAGTATTTGTTCATTTATCGTGAGTAATATCAATATCGCAATATTAAGCACTGTTATCGAATATCGCAGGTTTTCCTAATATCGTGCAGCCCTGCGTAGAATTTTGTCATCCCATCTGTGAGACTAATTCATTGGCATATAACATCGCCCTTAAAATAACAATTGAAGGGCTTGCCAATGTTCGATAAAATTGTCCCATCAGCCGACCTTTATTTTTTTAACTTTTACTTATTTTTGTATTTAACCACAATGGTCACATTGAGATTAACAACCTCAGTTTGAAGAGTCCTGGCCAAGAAGCAGCGAAAGATGGTCACAAAATTTCTCAGTTACACAGAAAGTTATGTGCAAAATTATAGAAGGCAGTTACAACACAGGGAATCCTTACAGGCAGAAAGACATGTAGTTTTTTTTATCAGTTGCTCTGTTTATTCAGACATATTTAATTATTGCCTCACTTTAGTAGCAGGATTCAGGATCCTGTTCTTAGAATAAACAGCAGGAAACATTGTAAATGATAAATGAGAAAGTCAAACACTGGTTTCCCCATCAGGTAGTGACAACAGGGTCAGATTTAATTAAAGACAAGATTTCTTGGGTCACAATTCGAGTCTGAAGTTGAAGGAAAAACCAAATAGATTAATAATAATAATAATTATGTAGATTGTCTTTTGGTCTTAGTTGCAGTTTGAGATAAGTGATATTATCGTGGATTAGCCTGTGGTAAAACGGTACTTTAGCAGTTTTTTTGTTTTCATAATGTATTTGAATAAGACGATGACAGACTGTATCACGGCAATGATATAAAACAATGTCACCCCCAACTGGTGTTGTACGTTTTATAGTAACAGTCTAGTGGCGCTGTTGAGCTTTCTGTTGCCAAAGCTTAATGAATTTCAGGCTGTGTGCAAAGGAGTATTAGGTTATAAATAAAGTGCAAATACTTGCCTAGACTGTTGCACAAGAATATCTGGCTCACCATGATGTCAGATAAGGAAGCTGGAATTATTCTGTATCTTCTTGTCACCACTGCACTGTTTGACAATGTCTGAAGACAGAGTTATAAGTAGCTGAGATGTCAAAGATTATCACCCTAAAGTAGCCCAAGGAGCAGGAAAGGATGATCAGTTCCCCTCCTTACTTCAAGTTCTGATCCTAATAATCCTAATCCCTGTCACTTCCCTTTTCAAAGTTTTTGTCTGTCACCTCATCCCAACTTTGGTCACATGGTAGTTTGGGCTTGTGCTCTTTAGCGTGTTCCCCTATTGAGCAGTCGGATAGGGTTTAATACTAAGATGAACCGATCCAGGATTTCCACCAATCAGGCTTTGAGAAGGAAGCTGAGCTCAGGCAGATATGTTTGTTCCTTGACTAAATTAAATGTGTTTCTTTTGCATACTATGAGGTTGTTCTGTTAACTCTAACAAAGGCCCCCATCCAAAGGCTTCCACTGGTCTGATGCTTACTAGCTGTTCAGAATATGTCTCAAACTTATCAGTTTGGACTTTTCAGTGTTTCCTGCCATCACAGACTTGTCCAATTGAATTTAGTGTACAAGTAACACAATAGAACAAACATACCCAACATGCTTTCATGTATTAATTAAATGACTCCAACCAACTATTTTTTTAGGAAATTATTAGGACCAAATGAGAGATGGTAGCATGTTTGAGGACACAATATTTGACCTAATGCTGCTTCCTTAAACCATTATTGTGCTATTATACTTTAATAAATAGAACATTATAGATTTTGTGCCTTTTTCCTTATTTGCTAAACTAACGGAGTATTTTAGTGGGATAATGTTTTGTTGTCAGTTGAATAATACTGTTGTTCATTTAAATATAGCATGTTATAGTGTGCTTGATAGATAAAAACTGTTATTTCAGTTGTTTCAAGACCTTTTTAGTAGAAAATATGAGAACAACCAAATGTGATAAAATTCAGAAGGAATTGGGTTGATTATGATTTTTATTTTACTGTTAAATCTGTAGAATAAACAAATATCTGTCTTGATAATTTAGTGTCAAGTAGATCTGACATTTTAAAAATATTATTTTGTGATTGTTGCTTGAAAAAGCAAGCATCTGAGTCCTGCCATCAGTAGTTATGTCATCCTAAATATCTTTGTCAACGTCAAGAAGGTTTGATTAAGTGTTCCTGGTTGGTTTTCATTCTTTTGTTTTAACTAAATCTGCTAAATCGTAAGATGGTAAAATTAAACAGCTAAACAGTGTTTTACGTTGTAAATGTGTTGTGTGCCACTTTCCTTTTTGGTAACCGTCTTGTCTTCTTTCTTTAGGGACAATTGGCTTCTTTGCTTGCTTCTGGTTTGTAAACAAGATCTACAGTGTGGTGAAAGTGGACTAGCGGCCTGAAGGATGGACTAACTTGTTGCTGCCCCAGCGCTGGGCTCCTCAGTGCTGCTGTGTAATAAAGTGGTCTGAGTAAACATGAACTGAATACATCTCATGTGATAAAAAATCCCACAGAGCAGAGCCCGTCCTCTTTTGTGCTTTAAACCTCTGTTGCTTTTTCTTTTTGATTAAATCTATAAGTTTGTGTTCACGGTGACTTGTAATATTTCGAATGGCGCCTTGTAAAATCAGTGGGGGGGTTCCAGTTTGAAGTTGGCACCTTGTGCCACTTATCTGCTGAAACGTTTAACTTTCATTTTCTAAAGAAAGTAAAATATTTAGCCATTTGTTGTTTTTATTTCTATTCTTTCAAAGCTAAATGTTCCTTTTTTCACGATCTGTTCAGTACTGAAGAAGTGTGTACATATATTGTATAGAGAAGGGAGAACTTGTGAGATAAAGATTGTCATCATTTTTTTTATTTTCATTAGAAGTTTTTCGTTTTCTTTTAGTTTTTAAGGTGTGAATTGGGCTGTAATTCTTTAAGTATCAACCTATATTGTAGTTAGAGCATATAAAACATCACTGTTTGTATCATACATGTCCATTTTGTTGAATTAAAGATTCATTAGAGTAGCAGGATCCAGCAGGCACAGGAGGCACATCGGTGTTGTAGATCTGCTTCAGTGTGTCGAGGGTGTGTTTGGCTACAGAGAAGATTAATCATAACATAATCAATGAGTTTACTGTTTAAATAAATGGCTTGTTGAGCTCTTAACTTAAACATTGCTGCTGTCTGCTTCAAGCAGCATGACGTCATCAAAGGTGATAACTTTACAAATAAAAAATTCAGAGAGAAAACTTTGTTTTTGGCCTCTTACTAATCATTCCCATTGTTAAAATGACTGTTTAGATGCAACACTGTTATTAACCATTCACTGTACAGTTCTTAGTTTCTAAAACTAATATTTGAATGTGAAGCTCAGAGTAATAAAGATGTTGTTTAAATTGATTATAAGTTGTTAGAATATTTTGATGACAAATGCAGTGAATCGTGTCACTTTATGATGATTCCGATTGTTTGGGTGGATTTATGTGTTAGATGTTGGCTCCATGAATAATATTAGTTTGGAATAATGGAGATGAGTTCTATTCAACCAAGCTTACTAAGAGCCATGGCAGGCATTAAAGTGGCAAATGTGCTTAAAACATTGTTTTCATGCCTTACAGCTATAAATATATATGTATATAAAAGAAAACAATGAAATGGTTCTCATGCATTTGTCTAAAACCTCTACCAATGTCACCATTTTTGGACCAAAAGCAACTTAGACCATTGTCTCGTTGAATTGCTGCACTTCCCTGGGTCCTTCCTTACGCTATTGCATATTTAGCAACAGAACAGCACTGGTGTAATATAATAGAGAAGGAGAAACAGCTGGCTGCGCTCACTTGAACCTTACGACAAACCATCAGAGTCTCAAAAAGAAAAACACAATTTGAGGTCTCGGCTACTGAATACTGGTGACTAGTGTTTAGCACCAACTCGTTTTCCTCTAGCATCGCGGGTTTCCAGTTCCAACAGAAGCATCTCAGGGAAGTTACCTGAGGAGAGGGGCGAGTGTTCCGTGACCATGGTTGCATTCAAAACCTAGCTTGTTTGCAGATTCCTTATAACAGGAAGAGTGTGGATTCATAAACAACTAATCCCAGTTTTATTGTATTATCTGCAACAGATAAGATACTAGTCCTTATGAACCAGTTCAAAGAGAACCACTTAATTTTAAGGCTTTGAAAAAAAAGCAGCTTGATCATTCATTGTAATTCAAGTAAACTAAAACTCCTGTTAAATTTTGATGCATCAGTGGTTTCCAAAGTTGTGGTTGGGACCACACTATGGGTCACAGAGGGCTACACGGGATCTCTAGATGATTTCCAGAAATCGAAACAACATTGAAAAATAATTGCTGAAGCTATATTTTTAGTGTAATTTTTACAAAGACTCAACCAATTGTAAATAATTGAATATGAGCTGAAGCATGTTTCTGTATTACTTGAATTATCTAACCTTGGTGTTACCTTGGTTACCTGTAACCTTGGTCATGTTGGTGTTGGTGTTGCATGCCTTAACAGTCAGTATTTTGTAGTTCTGAAGCTGAAAAGTTTGGGAACCACTGTCCAACCCTTACAGGTAAAACTCGAACAATTAGAATATGGTGCAAAAGTTCATTCATGTCAATAACTCAACTTAAAAGGTGAAACTGATATATGAGCTAAGGAATCCAAAACACCTGCAAACGGTTCCTGAGCCTTTACATTGTTTCTCAGTCTAAGATTAATCACAGAAATAAATTGACTTTTGCAGGACAGTCTAATTTTTGTAGTTTCACCAGTATAGAATTGCAGCATCTGTCATTTACCCATTGCAAAATTATTCTTTTGTGTCCTCAAGGTGTCAAATCCAGTAAGCAATATAATTACACATGTGCACATATTTTAAATAAAATTTTCTTCTCAGTGTTTAATAAAAACAAAAATTAATTCAAACACAAAATTCATCACAAAATGTTGGTGTTTTTAAAGAGAAAACTCTTTATTCCAGTTTGCTGAAATATACATTGTTCTCTAGGAGAGTCTGACAAGTGTGATTGTCAATTATAATGTCGGGTTTCTCCTTAACCTGCTGAATAAATTAAAATTCATATACAGGGCAGGTCTGATACTTAGTAAAATGTCTATCACAGTATTTTAGGAGAAATAAAATACACTAGGAGCACCCAGGCTCAGTCAGCTGAACATATATATATTTTCATATTTTACCAAAAATATACAAAAACATATAAAAACTGAGATTGAACACTTCTTTTTTAAAGTAATGCACTCAAAGCATACTTTCAACTCACTGAATTGAGATGAGTTATAATAAGCATACAACTTTTACAATAATATGGATTCTATCTGTGAGTTTTAAGTATTTTTTAAATGAAAAATACTTTATCAAGAGGTATCTTTACAAATCTACATGTGTTCAATAGAGAGTAAGAAATCAGTTACATAAGCTCTTCGGGCATGCAGCCTACTTCAAAGAATGGGTGCACAGAGTCCGTTGGAGTTATATTTTTATCACACGTTGCTCTCTGTGCACTGTGGTGTTCAGAGGAAAAAAAGCTGACATTACAAAAGGCAGCAAATGCTGATTCCAAATACGGCACGCTGTAGTAGGAGGTAAAACTCCCCCTAAAGTTACAGTAGGCTTTAGTTAGAGACAAACTAGAGCAGAGAGTTACGTTTACACGCTTGGCCATCCCGTCGGCGGGAAGGAGACACGGACATTTCTGTGTTCCCTACCTGACAGGCACAAATAATCAATTTTTCTTTTTTTTTTTTTTTGTTGAAGGCGCTTCGAGACTGAATGATGCAACACATTCACATATGTCACAGATTTACCAAGGTTAAACAAACTGAGATGAACACCACACTTTCACAATACCCTGAGTTTATAAATTGTGGTAACACTTTAAAATAAGGGTCCCTTTATTAACTTTACTTGGTGCATTATTAAGCTTTAATAAACAAAGGGTCCCATCCTGACATTGTTAAGGTTAGGACAAAGGGCCAGGGGATGGGGTGTCTGCTACATACCACATAACGTGATATTAACATTAATATTAAGCTGTTGTTAATACTTTATTTAATATTTTATTAATGCTTAATAATGCACTAAGTAACATTCATAAATGGACCCTTGTTGTAGTGTTGCCAAAGCTATCGTTCTAAAGGATTTTGTGCCCTCCGTTATGCCCGACTATGCATCACATAACAGAAACATAAATATTATTATATTAATTTATTAATATGAATAACAAGGTTTGAAAATTTTAAGGGCTCTTTTTTTAATACTATGAGTAGACAAAACATTATCTCTGGTTTTGTACACATACTCCATGTGGTAACTCTTGAAAATGTTTCTCTTCCTTCTCTCTCCCTCACAGCTATTTTTATTCAATCTCATTGATACAAGATTGGAAAAAAGTTTTTCTCTATTCAAACATTTATTAATCAGTCATTCACACTTCTAATGTCAGCAGATTGAAATCATCTTGGTGTGCTGAAGATCCACAAAGAATAAAATCCCTTATTTTCCCGAGGCATTCTAAGAGCTTTGTTTGCTGTGAACAGGGAGCTCCCTGTCCGAGCTGACGCTGGTAGAGGTGGTCTCTTTACGGCTGTCCCCTGACTTCCTCTCACAAGTAGGAGAGGAGGATGTCATGCACTCCTCCCAGGTCTGCAGAGGAAAGACCCGAGCAGTCAGACTGGGAAGGTGAGGGTGAGCCCCGGAACGTCCCTCCGTCGTAGTGATGCAGCTCTCCACGGCCGAGCTCTGGCGGGGCCGACCCTGCTTGCATAGCAGACTGTAGAGCAAAGCCAGGAACTCTTTCCTCACGCTACGATGCATGTAACCATAAATGTACGGGTGTAGGCAGCACTGTAAAAAGAAGAGCACAAGGGCAAGAGAAGACAACCACGGGGGCACAGCTGCTCTGTGACTCATTGATATAATGTTCAGTATACTGTAAGGACCCATACTGAAGATATATGAAGCCATGATCACAAAGACCACACGAGCCGCCTTGCAGTGGTAATGGAAACGCCTGTGTTTAACTCGAACGGGGTGTCGTCTGGCAGCATAGGGACCCTCGGGCGAACTGACCTGCTGAGGATGATGTGGACTGCCGGGTCCCTGGAAGTCCTGCGGGCAGGGCTGGGAGTAGGATTGAGTCTGTATGGGATGCACAAGAGCGTTCTGCCTCCGGGCTGCTCTGAACACCATCCAATAACATCCGAGCATGATGAGCACGGGCAGCCAGAATGAAAAGGTAGACACCACAGCAGAGTATGACAGACTGGAGGACCACACCACGGTGCAGACTTTGTGATGATGGTCAAAGTCGATGTTTCCCCAGCCGTAAATAGGAGGCGTGCTCTGCAGGAAACTCAGCACCCAGGTGAAGACAATCAGGTTGGTGCCCAAATGTGGGGTCATTCTGGTTGGATATGACAAAGGGTGGATGATGGCCAGATAGCGATCCACTGAGACAACTATGATGGTGTTGACCCCAGCAAATGCAAAAAGGTGCATGGATACCACCAGAGCCTGGCACAACCGAGCATCTAGGGGCCACACACCTGGCACAGAAGCAGCAATGGCAAAGGGCATGACTAATATTGTCTGGAGAAGGTCTGCCAACAGGAGGTTGAGGACAAAGCGGTTGGCGACATGAAGGAGCTGAGGCTTCCTTTGGAAAACCAGCAGTACGACCACATTCCCAAACAAGGACAAGCATACGATCACAGATATGAGCACCATCTTCACCACACTGCCAGCCGTGGAGGACCAGCCTGGTTCCTGATTGGAGCCTGTGAAAGTAAGCTCCAGACGAACATCAGTGGTATTTGAGCCCATGCCAGGTGCCTGAGAGGTTGACATCGTAGATCTGACACCCAGCAGGGTGTTAACGCAAAGTCAGGTAAGTCCCATTCGGATCAGGAGGTAAAACCAACCCATCTGCTTTTTTGCTGCTTTTCTCTCATTTTTTCATTGGATTTCAGGAGCACAAATCCAACATGTATCTCTTTTTTAAAGCGTTTCAGCTAACTTGACACATCATCATGTGAAATTTGAGTCTAATCCACCAGAAACTGGAGATAACCAACGGTGTTTCGCTGTTCATCGTGATCAGTGATTAATCCCTGAAAGCTTCACCATGAGAGCAGGCCCTCAGCTTGCAGCCTGCAGGATGAAAAATTGAATTCTGACGGCAGCAGATGCCACCGTTCCAGCCGCCGGTAAAGATGTCCGCCCAGTGACGAATGTCACGGTCTCCTGGGCTGTAATCGATGTTTAATTAATACCTCCCGACGATTAGTAACGCGGTCGTTTGGCTGATGATGCTCGATCTCCGTCGCCTCGCTTCCATTTCAGCCCAGCTTCCAGTGATCGGCGCTGGGCTTTCACGGCTGCACGTCTTCACCCAGCGGGGGTCTCATCCAGCCAAGCACATCCCTCCACCGCTGCAGCCGCTGCTGCTCTTTTCGGATTTCAGGGCGGATCAAGCGTTTATTATTTCATCGGCTTTGACTCCTCCAGAGGAATATTGTTGGAAAATCGTCTCCGAGGTGTCAAGAAGGGACACCTGTACAGAAATCTCCCACTGGAGCTCGTCAGCGACCCCCTCCCACTTGTCTCCCCCCCTCCCGTTGTCATGAATGTGAGCGCGTTTCAGCATCCTGTCTGGTTCACTTTATACATGATGCAAACGTGAGGGTTATATAAATGGATTTGATGCTTTTTAGTAAAAGGAAAATAAACGCGTATGAAATAAGCCATAAATGGGCATTTACTTTAGTTTTTTCTACCACTATAGGAAACTTGTTTCAAAATGTTTGATTTTGCCTAAGTTCTCAGAAGACAAAATAGTTAAATTAAAGTAATTATGAGGACATCATCACGAGTCCAGATAGATTATGTAATATGTGATAAAAGCAAAATGTCTCAACTAGAAATTACTTCAATTTGTTCCGTATCCCAGTGAAAGTGCAAGGGCATCCAAGTTAAACTAACAAAACTGATACAACTGGTTAAATCAATGTTTCCCAATCTGAGGTCTGCATCCTCCAAGGGGTCACCGGATATTGCAGGGTTCTCCACATTTTTTTCCTGTGCTGAGGTCATAAATGATAAATTACCTGCATTTGTTTTGTGCCTTTCAGAGGACAGTCAGTGGACTCCAAAGTGCTTTACACTACTACAGTGTACTTTTATTTTCTTTATTCGCACAATAGAGAAACATATACAATAAACAATTAAAACAATTAAAATTACGGTACTGGAGGAGGCAAAATGGCCTGTAAATGGCTTGTATTCGATATAGCACCTTCTAGAGTCTGAACCCCCCAAGGTGCTTTACAGCACAACCAGTCATTCACCCATTCACACACACATTCACACCCTGGTGGTGATGAGCTACATTGTAGCCACTGCTGCCCTGGGGCACATGTGACAGAGGCGAGTCTGTCACTGGCGCCACCGGTCTCTCTGAACACCACCAGAAAGCAAGGTGGGTTAAGTGTCTTGCCCAAGGACACAACGACAGCGACAGACTGAGCGGGGCTTGCAACACAAGGTCACAAGGCGGGCACTTACCTCCTGTGCCACCGTCGGCAAACAAAAGCAAAAGCCAGTGAGTCTTATCTGAAACCTTCACCAAACACATTTAGACATAAAATCATAAAACCATAAAACCATTGATCAAAAGATTAAGACATTAGTTGAAGAGAGTCTCGGGGTTTGCTAAAAAACAAATTAATACCCTCCTTTAATTAAATTAAATGATTTTAAAAGTATCAATTGCATATAGGGAAAAGATTACATTTGCACCCCTAAAGAGGATAAATGCGAGTACGGAATGTATTCTGACCCCTGTCAATTTTTCACTTTTGTTATTTTGCAGCCATTCGCTAAAATTAAATTAATTCCCCCCTCATTAATGAGAGCACCCCATACTGACAGAAAACCACATTTTAAAAATGTATGGAGATTTATTGAAAATGAAAAACCAAAATATCATATGGTCCTAATTATTCAGACACCTTGCTCAGTATTTAGTAGAAGCACTCTTGAGTTATCGGTCTTTGACAGACAAGTGTGTAACACCCGCAGATCAGCCCCCAAGATGTTGCACGAAGTGAATCTGACCAACCAGTGTTACTGTGGACAATGTAGTACAAGATCAGATCACTTCAAAAATAGATAATTTATTAGAAATAATTGCAAAATCTAAAAGTCCATATCAAAGCTCAGTCTGTGCAGGTTGTGCCTATAAAACAGGGTAGGGAGACCAGTTAAAATCCAGGGGTAAGCTGAATTGTCTTTACCAAACCAACATGTATGAAGCCAGGTAGTGACGATGACTTGAGCTTCCCCCAATCAGCCCAGTGCCTCCACCCGTCCGACTCAGTGCTGGACAGGTGTTTGGTCCTTCTGATCAGTGAGTCCTGGTCTCCCTTTTTATGGCACACCTGTGTTGCGACACACACACACACACACACACACACACACACACACACACACACACACACACACACACACACACACACACACACACACACACACACACACACACACACACAGTACCAGGTTACATGTGACCTGCTTGTCAACCCCAGCCCCCCACCCCCCAGCGCCATCTTTAGTGTATTCACGTTGCTAGGGGAAGCCGCAGCCAAAGTTGAAACAGCACACGAGACTGATGGAATAGAAAGGGACACTGGTGAAAATATTGAAAGGAATAGAAGCTCGATGTTTTTGAGAGAATTGGAAGAGAATGATATCTATGACATAGTTAGAGGACTTAAGAACAAAACCAGTACAGATTGGAATGATATTGACATGGTAACAGTAAAGACAATTATTTATGGTATTGTAAAACCCTTAAAATATATATTCAACTTGTCATTTCAAAAAGGGGTTTTTCCACAAGATATGAAAGTTGCTAAAGTTATTCCCATTTACAAAACTGGTGAAAGGCATCATTTTACAAACTATAGACCAGTGTCGATACTCTCCCAGTTCTCTAAGATACTGGAACAACTTTTCATAAAAAGATTTGACAGTTTTGTGGAAAAATATGAATTACTGACAGATAGCCAATTTGGGTTCAGAAGCAACAGATCAACAGCTTTGGCATTGATTTAATGGAAAAGATAACGGACTGTAAGGACAATAAGAGGTATGTAATCAGAGTTTTTTTTAGATCTAAAAAAGGCGTTCGATACTGTTAATCATGAAATTCTATTAAATAAAATGGAAAGGTACGGGTTTAGGGGAATCGTTGGGGACTGGTTAAAAAGCTATGTAGGGAATAGGAAACATTATGTACAAATAAATGAATATAAATCTGATTTGATGGATATAGCTTGTGGAGTACCTCAAGGTTCAGTACTGGGCCCTAAATTGTTTATTATGTACTTAAATGATATCTGCAGAGTATCAAAAATTTTAAAGTTTGTAATATTTGCAGATGACACAAATATACTGTGTTCAGATGCGGAATTGCCACAGGTTTTGGAGATGATCACACAGGAATTGACAATATTAAAAAAAGTGGTTTGATATAAATAAATTATCATTGAATCTAGATAAAACCAGATTTACGTTATTTGGAAACCAAAAGAAAAACAGCAAAATAGAAATATGTGTGGACAATGTATATTTAGAAAGAGTAAATTAAATAAAATTTCTTGGTGTGATCATTGACCATAAGCTCTGTTGGAAGCCACACATTACTTATGTTCGGGGGAAATTGGCACGGGTTGTTGCCATCCTGGGGCAAGCAAAGAATATGCTGGAGAAAGCACTGCACATATTATACTGTGCTTTACTACTGCCATATATAAGTTAATGTGTAGAGGTCTGGGGAAACATACACAAAAGTAACATACAGACGATAACTATTATACAGAAAAAGGCCATTAGAATTATAAATATTGTGGGGTACAGGGGCCATACAAAAGCACTCTTTGTCGAAATGCAAGCTGTTAAATTCCAAGACTTGGTGAAGCTCAAAACAGCGCAAATAATGTATAAAGTTAGACATAAACTGCTTCCAAAAGAAATCTGTTTATTGTTCAAAGAAAGAGAAGGTGGGTATAACTTAAGAGGGAAATGGAATTTAAAAATACAAAGTGCTAGAACAACTTTAAAAACTATGTCAATCGCAATTGCAGGAGTTAAATTATGGAACAGTCTAACAGAAGAAATGAAAGAAAGTAAAAACATAAACCAGTTTAAAGTAAAATATAAAAACCTAATTTTAAATAAGTATAAGAATGAAGAAAACAGGGTTAACCCCGAACGGTAATGTGGCTGGTTATGCTGTTGTTCTTCTTTTTCAGTGTTTTTGTTTTTTCTTTTCTTTCCATAACTGGTGAATCTGCAAATTTACACATTCTCTGTTTTTCATATGTTGTTTTGTTTTTTGTTTTTTATATATTTTTTCTCATATGTAGTTTGTTTAAGACTGAGAGAAAATTAAATGAATAAGAGGTAGAAATTGGGGGTAGGGACAAACGAGTAAATACTCACACTCTAGACCTTGTTTTTACCCTGAGTCTAAATGCTGACAGTGTTTGTCCTGAGGGCGTTTATATTTCAGATCACCATTGCATTTTCTTTAACTTGTCAGTTTCTGCGTCCCCACCTCCTGCTCGCCGTATGGTTAGTTCTCGTTTTCTTAATGAGAGCACAACTAGCAATTTTTCTGCTGCTTTTGATCCACCCTGTTCTTCTGATAATGACCCAGATTCCTTAACTTCTCAGTTTAATGAGCACTGCCTCTCCATTCTGGACAACATCTGTCCTGTCAGAACCAGATCAGTTCCTGCAGTGAACCCTACTCCCTGGTTTAATGACAGCCTTCACAGCCTGAAGCGCCAATGCAGAAAAATTGAGCGTTTGTGGAAGAAAACCCATCTCCGCGTCCATCTGCTGCACCTAAAGGATCTTCTGACATCCTTTAACACTGCAGTCAGAGACGCTAGGGTTTCCTATTTCTCCATCCTGGTGTCCCAGAGCAAAGGGAACCCCAAGGTGCTGTTTAACACCATCAGCAGCATCGTCTCTCCTGCCTCTCCTACAGCCTCCACTCTGTTACAGACTGTGAGAACTTTGTCTTTCTTTGTGGACAAAGTCAATAAGGTTAGATCTAGCATCTCTCCTTCAGCCTTATCGCTGCCTCTCCCGACTCCAACCAGGCCCATCATCCTAGATAGCTTTGCTCCTGTTTCTTTGCCTGAGTTAACCAAACTAGTTAACTCTATGAAGACCTCTTCATGCCCCCTTGATATCTTACCGTCATCTTTGTTTAAAAGTGCTTTTCAGTCCATCAGTCTCAGCGTGCTCTCTATAATTAATGCTTCTCTGGTTTCTGGTCAGATCCCTGCTTACTTTAAGAACGCTGTAATCCACCCGCTTCTTAAAAAACCGAGTCTCGACCCCTCTCTCCATAGCAGCTTCAGAACATCTCTAAACTTCAGTTCATCTCCAAGATCTTGGAAAAGGTTGTGGTTAAACAACTCACAGCTGCTCTTGATGAACATAACATCTATGATAGCTTCCAGTCAGGTTTTTGTAGAGCTCATTCTACTGAAACAGCTCTTCTTAGGGTCTATAATGACCTTCTGACT